TCGCGATAATATGGTGATGGTTTTATAAACTTTTATATGTACGCGGAAATAATTGTAAATCGTGGTTACCCTAAGTAAAATGACCACAGTAAACGAATTTCGGTGTGACCATAGTTTGCGTGCGACACGCGATGTGGATTTTCGTTCAGCCACGATGGAATCTGGCTCTCGTTAATCACACCTGTATAATTGCAAGTAATACATATCTTAGTTAAACGTTAGTTTTTTCCCAATAATTGACGTTAACTGAGCTATTAGTAGAGTTTTCCGTCGCGGTATGTCGCACGAGGTATGTGACTTCTAGCCAATTTGAAATATTTTTATATGTTTTACCATACGCCATACTCCATACCTCTAACTTATAATAATACTGTAAATGCGAAAATTCAGATGGATCTATGGATTGTTGTTAGAGTTTTTTGTAGAGAAGAACATTGGCATTTCTTCGTGCAGTTGCTGAAGTTGTAAAAATGTTTTAATCTTACTTTGCGTATAGATAAATGTAATATCTAGCTGTATGCCAGGCGCATTGCTCCGACCTCCTTTGTCGCTATTTCTAATGTATTTATATTGTTACCATCTTCCATATCGTGCACAGCTGACTGTGACGTCAAACAATTCAAATATAAGAACGTTTGCAGTAAGTTATCTTCAAAGTTTTGTTGCTTGTTTGATAATTACTGGCAATTCAGAAAACGCGGCGACTTCTTTGTTAATGGACATTGGTCGGCACTCCTACGACTAAAATTAACTGGCAAAGAAATGTAACTTTGCAAACAATTATTTTAAAAAATAGTATCATACATTTGTGGTAAGACCGTGCCTACATTCTAGGAGTGGTCCATTTAACTAATGAAAGACTCATTTTTCTAACTGAAAGGAAATTATCTGCTATGCCATTTTAGTACTTATTAACAGGGAATTAAGTTCGTTTTCCTTGTATTTGTGGTTTATAATTTATGTAAAAAATAGCTTTTTCTACATTTTCATACCATTTATGCCACGTATGTAAGATTGGGGTTGAAATTGGTGACATCACTAGGTGATACGGTACTGTTGGGGTAAGCTACCCCTAGGGCATTGCATTCAATATTAAGGATGAAAGTACCATGTGTACTTGTATTGTGTATTTGTAGATTTTACCTATACTCGGTTTGATGTTATTAAAACGCATTATACAGGAATTAATTAACATAAATTTGTACAAAAATGTATAGTTTGTGATACATAAAAGTTATAAAATCGTTACTAAAGTCAGAGCAGCAAACGATATGGCACTTATGGTCGTAATAATATACTAACGTTATGATCGATTAGTGTAAATAACAGTATCACAAACATGCATGGATATAAGGATGTTATAACCTTCTACGTTTGCTTGATTAAAATTTACATAACTCATTAAGATCGGCGGTCCACCCAGTTTTAGAAAACCGGTATGGTGATAACTTTCTTTTTCTCGACACGACAAGATGGATTTGTGAATCATAAAAGACCATTAAAATATCAACACTTTTACTTTTCTATAAGACCCTGTTAGTTTACAAAATCTTATTATGAGATAGTAGATCTATAATTTTTAAGCAATATTTGGATTTAAATATTCAATTCAGCTACCGTGTATTAAAATTTAATTGCCTGCTGTTTGAATTAGTTTGAGGCACGTATTTGTAGTATAAAGCTTGCTTAGGCGCACAGTTCTGACAACGAATCCGGTATTAATAACGAAGTAACCGCCCGAGCCGAGGCTCCTGTGGAAACCCTCGAGTTTAGTTACCCATAATCGAGGTTTAGGCTAAGCGCCATTTGCGCTCGGCTACCTCAAGCTCGGTGAATCTGTAAATGTCTCTTCAAGGCAATTCAGTGACAAGAAAAAAAACAGTTATGACAGTTTCGACTGAAGAGTCAAACTGTTCAGTTAAAACTGCGTGCTTTGAATATAATTCACTGGAGCATTATTTTTCGTGTGTTTTATCTAATGTAAACAGATAGTAATCTGAAAGCATCCTGCATGTAAGGTTTTCGCTAGTTAATTTATGTTAAGAATTTTCCACTCTATATACTCAAGGCAATGAAATCATAGATGTTAACTAAAGTATAGTAAAGTTATTCTCAAGGTTATTGTTCTTAATCATAGTATACGTTTGTACTTATTAATAGACATGAACACTTGAGATATAGTTTTCCACATGACGAAGTAAATGTGTTAAGTGCACCAGATTTTAAGTGCTAACCTCCTTAGAGCATCTGCAGTAAAGAGAAAGGTGTGTAAAATTTGCTTGCAAAACTCGTGAAAACCTTGCTGTGTATCTCCTATCTAAAATTAGATGTCTACCAGTACTAGCTTGTATATTAAAAAGGTCTGTCAGCAATGGCATGGAAATAGTTAAAACAGCTGGGAAATGTTGAGCTCTTGTTTTTTTTATATTTATTCTACATGTTTATGTTTGACCTAATTTTAGTATCGAATGGGCAACTCTACAGTTAACCCTGACACGTTTTAGTTCAAAGGTCTTTTGCATTTAACTTGAAGTTGTTATTTTGACTTCGACAATACTTTAAAATGTTCGCATTTCTAAGACATTTTATATTGGATTTTCTTTTGTTTTTCGTCACTATAACTGTTTATCTTTTGTCTGTATAAATCTTCTGCCAACCACATTTTGTAGTAATATACTTTAAGCACGAGGAAGTGTAACAGATTATAGATAAAAAGAAACAAAAAGGCATCGTTTTAATATAGCATTCGTAACATGGGTGACTGCCCCAGCTTGACACTATTCCAATTAAAAATAGACGTTTTCGCAACCGAACGGTGTGAGTAACACGGGGATATTTATTTATATCTAAGCTATATCTGACAAACTAGTTATTTTATGCAACTGGCAGTTAACGGTTTTTAAAATAATAAATAATTTTATCTTCCAAATATTAGTATGGATCTGATTGGTTCTTATTGTTTTCTTTAAATATTGATTAACTAATTTTAAACCCATTTATTTAGCCTTTGGAAAACTATTTTTGCACTTCATACAAAAATTATAAATGCGAAAGTTTAGATGGATGTTTGTTAGAGTTTGTAGCCTAAACGGCTGAACGGGTTTCGATGTAATTTGGTATAGATGTAGAGGTTGGTCTGTAAGAACAAAAGGCTACTCACTTTTGTTTTTTTTTAATCCACGAGGACGGAGTCGCGGGTGAAAGCTAGTATTAATAAAATATTGTACATGCGATACCATACTAATAAATGCGACCACACGATTTAAAGAAGGTCGGTCAATACACAATTTGTAAACTTATGTCCATTTTATTTTTTTAAAGTACTTATTCAATTACCATATTTGTGTAATAGCAGTCTGAAACGAGTGGATGGCACTAAATATAACGGCACGCGGTATACCGTACTTCTGCTAATATTTTACGTACTTAGACCTATTAGATACACACTATCTAATTTTACGATGACAATATATTTTGTGTTTTTAAATAAAGACGATAAAACAGCCGCTTAAATTGTAAAAAAAAAAAACTTTCATCAAGTGATGCTATTTAATAGCTTTGAGGTCGGCAGTTATTTTAAATTTTAATGTAGATTATTAATATTTCATTTGGTTCACAACTTATTTCTATTTTAGCTCTAACGGATAGTTAAATCCGTTATATAAATGCGACCATGACATAAAAAAAGACTTGCAAACACCACATTAGGCAATTCCTAATTCTGTCTTACACGTAGTTGGTGTTGTCCATTCATTAAGATTTAAAAGGAATTACAAGTTTTATTCAGTTCAATGAACTCGTGGTTTTGAAATGATTTAATATTATTTATAAGTTACTAGCTATCGCCCGCGACTCCGTCCGTGTGGAATTAAAAAAAAAAACAAAAGTGAGTAGCCTATGTGTTCTTCCAGACTATCCTCCACATCTATACCAAATTTCATCGAAACCCATTTAGCCATTTAGGCTACAAACTCTAACAAACATTCATCTAAACTTTCGCATTTATATTAGTAAGAGTAAAATATCCAATTATTTTAGATTGGATGTTTATTAGACAATAACCAAACCTAATTACGTAGACTTTGGTCTTTGTTAGAAGCGGAGTATATAGCAATATCATTCCATTAAAGTATTACGTAGGTATTACAACGTGCCTATATACCATAACTAGGTGCTGTTCCCGACTTGGTCTCCGTGAAATTAAAAGATATAGTCTATGTTACTCACAGAATTTTTGAATTCGTCCCAGTAGTTTTTGAGTTATTTTAATAGACGCAAATATACAAATCTTTCCTCTTAATAACATTAGTAAAGATGTACCCAGCTGTAAACGATGTGACTTATATTCGTGTTCATTATTAATAAAACCTTGGTCTATATTACATTGTAGTTGAGGTTATCATATACCAACAGGTAAATGACCTGCTGTACGTGTCCTCTTTATGAAAAAAAAAACATACCCAACGAAGGCATGAAACGTAAGATAAACCGCATCCTAGATAATATTTCAAGATCCACCAATCACGCATAAGAACAGGTTGAAATTACAGACGACTTTAGACGGTAACAACTTCTTCGACTATGAACTCCTTTGAAACTCTCTTATATTATCGAAAATTCTAAGGTCATAGATAATGCAGATTCAATAAGTTCCTTTTTTATGCTTGTCTAAGTATCCGTCACTAACCACTCGCAACAGTTACATGTACTGACATAATTGCCGGCGCACGTAAAGCGCCGACTGCGCACGCGCATCGAATCGCAAGCAAACTTAGTACACGCAGACGAACGGCCTTGACGTGCCTCTGTCACGAATCATGATATTCTCTTGTCAGATGTTGCCATAAATTTCTTGTAGTTTACTAACTCTATTTCTGAATATTTATTTACTTGTATTATGTAACACAGCTGAGATCCAGGTCGGTGTCTCACGCATGGTGATATGTACTCTTTTTACGATTTTACGTAAATTCTTATCTAATATTTTTTTTTGTTACCAGGGGCGCAGAACTTGGCGATGTTAGCCTTCTGAGACAGATGCCCAACGTCGAAGTCTTGGCTTTTAGGTGAGTATTTAATATGTGAGTTTAAACATTTGTTTTTAAATTACCAAAGAAAAAAAAACTCTTCCTGAGACACGTCAGTTATCACATGATTAATTGTAATTACTACACTTATAAGTAAATATTTATTAAAAACAGTTAAGTCGACGACATTCTTTGTCTTAAACGTATAAATTACGCATTTAATTGTACAATCAAAGCAATTAAACCGGTACACTATTTCTATGTATGTAACATATAAAATAGGTAATTCTACTACTAAGAAATACTTCTTTGTTTTAATTTCCGCGTCAATGTCTTAGCTAAAATTTCTGGTAAATCTTATTTGTTAATTATTTTGCGTAACGCGGCAAATGTGTTCTAATATAGATAAGTTTCTAGCAGCGATATTTTGATGTGGCATTACACATTACCAGATTTTTTCCATAGTGTTGATAGTGAATAGTGTTGAGGTCAAGTATTGGAGTTCCGACTCAGTGAGCACGGCGAGTAGCTTTGCCGCACTGCGTCTCACCGACAGTTATATTGGATTTGTATGTTAGTCCTTGTGCCACAGTATGCTACATCTACTCGCCTTGACCCTTTCACATATTATACTTTATCAAGAAAACGTTCGAAACTACTAATTACTAACCAATTTTAAGTGATATACAACATCTGTCCAAAAATATATCGTCATCCTTCTCTGTTTCATGAAGAAAATGAAGATAGAAATATATCTTAAAGTGTGTAGACACTGGAATCTCATTTGTTTTAGTCATTCATAAAATTAAAGACACTTTCACGATACAATCGTGTTTACAAAAGCTATTTGAAAAGTTTTAATGAAACAATTACGATAAAAGATTTAACCACTTAACATTTTCGTTTTCACTATGACCTCTTAAATGACTATTGTTAATAAGTTCAGTAAGCATTACGCTGCAAAAATGGATGGGCTTTCGAATATTAGCGAGAGCGGTGAAAGGAAACGATCATAAGTCCGAAAGAGTGCTTATCTCTGAAGATGCGGTGGCATCATTAAGGCTGCGTTTACACTGCAATTAATGTAATTATTTTAAAGAAATCTTACTAGTGGGGTTTTAAGCCATAAATGATCTTTGCTTTATTCTATGCACTATGTGTTTTGATGCAATTCTATTATATTTTTGCCATTAGAAAACTTTAGTTGTTTAAGAAACGTTTTATATCGGTGTTTCGGCAGTGTAAACGCTTAGCAATTGGAGCGCCTCACCGCTTTAATCGCGGGTCATTGTCGCCCGTTGAAAGGATGTTTGAATCATACTTTGTTCTTTATGAAACGTTCATTAGCGCTAACAAGCGGGCTATTACTGTACGCAGTCGTGACCGTCGGCGCAAGGCGTTAACTCTCGTTTTAGATTTTTTTATTTGTCTTACGTGAGAAGTCTTAATTTATGAGGTTTAATTAATTTAGGCTTTTTGTAATAGAAGTAGAGAAACGAGATTGGCTATCTTAGTAATATTATAAATGCGAAATTTTAGATGGATGAATGGAAGTTTATTAGAGTTTGTAACCTAAACCTCAACGGATATAGATGTAGTGTATAATATGGAAGAACACAGCAACTTCCATTGTTTTTTTAATTTCACGCAGACAGAATTGCGGGCGAAAGCTAGTTAATTCTAAAGTACAATGCATCGGTATACTACGCATTGGGTCCTAGCATTAGAAATCTGGCACTTCTATATGAGGGGTGTGTACTTTTAAACTTCTCGTATGACCTTTTTATTTTTTTTTATTGTGGCCAAGCTACGCATTACAATATCGCCTGCCAGTTGGAAACAGATAAGCCTATTTATAAAATTAATTACTGCAGCTGCACTATAGTGATTCGTATGCACTAGGGTTTCACGCCTGGATTACGATCAAATCTTATTATCTTGTTAGCAGTTTTATAAGGGATGAGTAAAAAAATTAATGTAGTTTACGCTAAATAAGTTATACTCTTGTTTAATGGATTACTTCAATGTTATTCTATTATGATAGCTTGCAAGCTTCTGGTACTTTAATAATTGCCTAAAGTTGCATATGGCGGAGAAAAACTGTGCATGTGAAGTATAATTTTTATATTGCTAGTAACATATAATCGTCTAATTTAATACTAATACTCATTTCTGTTAGAATTAATTCGTTCATTTATAGGAAAACTGATACATCAATATGTTTTCGTTTGAGTTTTATAAAAGTCGAAACGTAAATACTCAACCTACTAGTATCTTACGACTGCAAATGTCAACATTTCAGCATACATGATAAATTTTTTTGACCTTGTAGGATCGACATTGAAGGTCTAAAGCTGGTTATTATTCGAAATATGCAATGGTGAACCTGACCAGTATTTTTGTGGTTGTTTTTTTTTTTATTTTAAGAACAATTATTTCCGGACATTATTGTACCGGTAGCGTAGTGGCGTGGATAATTCCGATTCGAGTGGAGAGCGTAGCTCCGTCTTCAAGAATAAACATTGAACCCATTATAGTATCACTTTAATCTGTTTCGCTTTCCAGATGTTTTTTATTTATTTATTAAACCAGTGCAAGTATACGAATATTATATGAAATTCTTGTCACCTATTTACATTATTATTTTAAAGTAACTGTTGCTCGCGACAACGTAGCTTTCTAATAGTGAGAGAATTTTTGATATCGGCCCAGTAGTTTTTGAGTTTTTTCAATACATACAAAAATAAAAATCTTTCCTCTTTATAATATTAGTATAGAAAACAACCACAAAAAGTATGTTTATAGGTGAATTGTGATAAAATCTGTTAATCAATGAAACTCCTTGATTTATCCAAAAGCTAGGAGAAAGTGGCAAATAAAATTCAACGATTCGAAATGGTTATAGCATTTTTAATATTCGGAAATAAATCATTTAAAATATTTTAGAAAGTTCTTATTAATAACATTTAAACGAAAGGTAATAATTTAGGAATAATATCGCTAGCATCTAATCTATACAAATCTTTCCACATTTTAGTTTTGTATTTTTGTAAGTATTGAAATAACACAAAAACTGCTAGGCTGATTTTTAAAGTTCTTTCACCGCTAGATAGGTAATTTATCTGCGAGTAACATAGGCTATATTTTCTCATTTTAAGCGTACGGAGTTGCGAGCAACAGCTAGTTATATGTTTTGTATAGGCAAATCTTTGTTGCTGTGGAAGCTGACGTTAATACACTAAACAAATGAAAAAATAACCAATTTCCTGTATTACGGCATTGTAAGTCCGTGCCCAATTAGAGCGTGGCCCACCTTACCCAACTGCGTCGGTAGCGCGTTTGTTGTGCAAGACAGCAGTCGTTGATTCACAACGGTATCCTTCAATTCAAACACTAAAGTTTATAAACAAAAGGTCATGAAGACAGAACCTTTTATGCTAAAACTTTAACAGCTAAAATTCATAAATTAATATCGTTTTCAATCTTAACTGTGATATTAACCTTTTTCACAAAAATGTTTTCAATCTCTGTAATTTTTCTTTTGTGATAAAAGCAATATTAACTTATTTTTGCCATTAGTTTACTAAATTGTCTTTTAAATCTCAACAATAGAATTGATTTGTAAGACCTTGAAAGACTGCACGTCTCGAAAATTGCAACACTTTTTTTTACATTTTACTTTAATCTAAGAATCAAAAGGTTTCTTTGTAAATTTTACAGTGTCATTTACAGTCTAAAAATGCCTATATTTAACTTTTTTTTCTTTAATTAAAATATGAGTAGATTTTTGTTAATCTACTAATATTTCCTTTAACCAATCTAACTAAGCTCTAGGCTTGTGCTAGGAAAAGGTTCACGACAACAGTCGAATGGCGGGATTCGAATCCTCAACCGCAAGATCGGTAGTGAGTACACCAAACCATTAGGCTATTGGCGCGTAAAATTATACGTATAAGCATTGAATAGTAATATAAATAATGTTTCGCCTATTTGAGAAGGCAAGTCTAGACGGAGTATTGATTCTAAACTATGTATTATGTACACAGATTGTATGTATCGATTGCCAGACATATGCTCTTTCAACTAACTACTATGTGTATTTCTAAACACACGCTACAGTACTTTGTACTCTTTTCATGTATTTAATATCTTGTTTTGTTAAAAGTGATAACATGTCTTGTAGCAATTATGATCTTTTTATTTACTATCCTTTAAAATATATATTTACGAGACAGGCTAACGTCTTAAATCATACTTCATACTAATATTATAAATGCGAAAGTTTAGATGAATTAGAGTTTGTAGCCTAAACGGCTGAACGGGTTTCTATGTGATTTGGTATAGATGTAGAGGTTGGTCTGGAAGAATACATAGGCTACTCACTTTTGTTTTTTTTTTATCCCACGCGGACGGAGTCTCGGACGAAAGCTAGTACATAATATAGCAATAAAATTTAACTAAAAACAATTTTTTACTGGTTTCTTTATATTTAATGTTTCGATTGAAAACTAAAGTGGAAGACAATGGTTTTGTATACAACTGGTAGTGAAGTTTGAATTAATTACAAATTCTAGTTATAACTTCCGTCTATAACACCGTGTCTACAAAACTTTGCAATGTTTAAAAAACATTTCCGTATTTACCATTATTCGAAACACACAGACATACTTCTAGAAAGTTCATTTTTTTGTAATTCTTAGTTTAGACGTCAAAACTTGCAAAAATAGTTTTTTTTGTCCTCTCATTCTCTTCAAAAACGGAAAACAGAACGAAAACAACAAGACAACAATATTTTTGTATAAGAGAAAACCACGGTAAAGGTACACATGTACAATAGAATGATTAATAAATACATTTTTTTTAAACATAAGTAAACCAGCGCTTGACCACGACTCCACCTAACCTAAGTGAAGACGCGGCCGAAGGATAGAGCGCGCTACCATAATAAATGCCGATTCACCCTGCTCTTGAAGGCTATGTATTAACGTTTATGTGTTCCACTGCTTTCAGTTTAAACAAGATCCGTACATTGGGCGACTTTGCCGGCTGTCGACGATTGCGGGAGCTCTACATACGCAAGAATGAAATCCGCAATTTAGCAGAGATCCGACACCTTAGGCATTTACCGGATCTCACCAGTCTCTGGCTGGATGAGAACCCCTGTACACAGCACCCGGAGTAAGTGAACTTATACAGTGATGTACAAACTTTATAAAGGCTCTCAATTCTGTATACAAGATCATGAGCTCGAGTCCGTTTTACATTTTTTTATTTCCTTCACGATAAACCCACTTGATTAATAAATTGGTACTACAAGCCACTATAAAGTTCAACACTCAAAACTATTGTATCTATACCAATATTATAAAGATTTGTATTTTGCATTTTTGTATGAATTTTACTCACGTAAAAACTACGGGCCGTTTTTAAAAATTCTTTCACCATTAGAAAGGTAACTTATCTATGAGTAACATAGGCTACATTTTATTACTATTTTCTAATTCCACGTAGCAACCGCTAGTAGTCCATAATGCTATTGCATTGATGCAAAAGTTGCCATAATGATTAATTTTATTAGCTGTTCTACGAGACTTCGTCACCATAGAAATAAAAAAAAAATCTAGTTTATAACAGCCAGTGATTTTGTACCTTTCTAATGGAGAAAGAATTTTGAAAATAGCTCTAGTATTATTTGATGTTAGATGTATTTCTTAAGATATATGTTTTTATTTTCAGATACAGGATGACGGTGCTAAGGAATCTACCGAATTTAGAGAAGCTCGATAATGTAATTGTACAACCTGAAGAGGTATGAATTTACTGCATTTAAATAGTGTAACTGTTTTTGTGAATTTGTATGTCTTTAAACATCTCGATGACAATGTATCATGCTTCAAGGAGCATAGCCTTTTAAATAAGATAAAATAATGCTAGTTTGTTGGGAGAATTCATATCAGATTTTACTTATCTAAATCTCTTTAAGACATTCATAATAAATCCTTCAATCATATGGCACGTATTATGTAATTGCGTTAAGAGGAATATTCTTTGTTAGGTACAAGAAGCAATGAGACGAGGTGCACATATACCTGACTCCGACGATGAAGGGTACCCACAACAGGTGAGATATACTTTTATTATTTTACTCCATTAAATGTGTGAATTATTGTTAGTAGTAAAACGACAATATTCTCTTTTCTTACCCAAAGTGAAAACAAGATGCAGAGATTTATACTTCACAATATGGTCCTTGGAGTCAGATAAAAACTTGTCTGTAATGAAATATCTGTGTACCTTTTTAAATCTCTGCCATACTTTCGTTTAAAGATAAGTTAAGCTGCTTAGCGAAGATTTATCTTCTAATTCCACACTAAGGGTCTTCCATACCTGATATGTAGACTTATATCATCGCTTTATATTACAGCAGGAGACATACGGTCAATACAGACGACAGAGGTCGTGTGAATCTAGTCCCGACAGAGAACCGGAGCCTTACTACGGTAGACCAGCACAGAGACATGAACAGGTATGAATTATTTGTTACTTACGGACATTTTTATGACTTTAAAGTTGTTAGTTTCTGTTGAATTGCTCTTTGCTACTGGGAATTTGGCTACGCAATACCGAGAAAGGTTTTCTTTTTAAACTTTATTGTATGACAGTTGCAATGCGTGTACGATAACATAAGACGTGCCCCGAAAGTAATGGTCCTGTTACTTTCTAATGTTATAACTATGTATCTTTGACGTCATCGGATCGAGGTCTCATGTTATCGTGTACGCGTAGCACGGAGCTTAGTATGACTACTTTAGTCAAATTCTCTGTATTTTCGCTATTACAGTGCATTATCATTTCATGTTAAAGAAACCGGTGTGCCAAAAAGAAAATGTCAGAAATGGACCGAATCACGCTAAACATAAGGTTTATTATTATTTTAGCTATTTTATGTTGTAATGCATGGGGAGTGCTTTTTATGCTGTCGGTACTTTAATTTCCGATATGTGTTGTAATTAATGCATCATGTAATTTTGTATATAATTATGTTTTTAAATGTATTTGTATGTATGTCTATTTTTCATGTTCTTATAATCGATGTTAGTGCCATTATTTTAAGATTTAAAAATTGAAATGGAAATTCGAAATTAAAATCTTACTACCATTTTACAAAATACTTGAAAAATATAAATAAGCGTTTTTTGTGTTAGTAACATTGCTTATTTTTATAATCCGGACTAATCAATAGAAAATATCAATTTTTGTCGGGAAATTTAAAATGTATTAATCCGATTTTAAAAATCATTCATTAATAGAAACCTTTTCTACGGAACATTTTATTTATTTTTATGAAGAATGTATCTGTCGTGGGTTGCTATATAAAATAATGTGCTCTAAGTGTTGCCTTGCTAACGTACATTAACAACTAACGTGGGGGCGCAGGGAAGCGACGGCTCGCCCGACGGAGGCTCCGAGCCTGCGACGGAGCCCCCGCGATCAGAAAACCACCAGGTTCGTGTTTGGTCTATAATCATTACTAGCGATTGTCCAGTATTCAAAATTTTACTATGTTTAGTTAAATAAAATAAAAAATTGTCGTAAATGTCTTAGTTATATTATAAATACGATTATTTGGAAGGATGGAAGTTTGTAAACTGCTCAACGAATTTCGATGAAATTTAACATAGATGTAGAACATAATCTGGAATAAATCATAGGCTACTTACTTTTTTTTTAGTTCCACGCAGCCGGAGTCCGGAATATAAATATTGTTTCTCAAATTCTCTTTAGTAGAAACTCTTCAATCTATTTCTGTTATAGAGATGTTTAACTTTTTTAACTAAAATCTTCAATTCTTTATGTATAACTCTTGTATGACTTATTGTATAGAAGCTATTGCTAAGCTGTTGGTGGAGTATATATGTTGCATGTTTGTTTAGTATAGCAACGCATTAACTCTTCCTTAGATGTTTCAATGGTACGACGTGAGCGTTCAGGCATTGAATATAAATTTTAACTTTATAGGAAGAAAATAAAAGATTTTGAATTTCAATCAAACTTTTAATAATAAAAGCAGGGTGATCTTTAATAATAAAAAAAAATTAAGAAGTGTGATTCCCTTCTTTAAAAATACGTCATATATGGAATAATATGATTTTTATAGACCGATAAGATGTAGGTTTTATATATTTTCTGATATAACCAACAGATTGGAATATTTTAATTTGAATTTCAAACACAATGACATTTAATTATAAAATAGTTTAAGTTAAGTAAATATTTAAACACGAGTTATGTACATTAAATTGACAGTTTTGGACATATGGTTAGGGTCGTTAAAAAGTATGGTTGTTTACCAGTTAAGTTTCAATGCGGCAATAAATGTATTATCTGTTTGCAGCCTTGCCCCCTATCGCCTACCCGACGGGCCCCCACTCCGGAACCTGATGAACGATACGAGCACCCCGCTATGACCAGCTCACACTATGAAGTAACATATTCAGATTTTCTTAATAATCATCAAAACATACTTTGAAAGTTAAAAGACAGTTTAACACGAGGTGTAAGGATGTGCTTTTATAAAAATATTAATATTTATAAATAAGTATAAATGTAAATATTTTTGTAATTGTAATTGCAATCTACAAACGCAGACAGGTGTACAGGTACCTGTATGTGTTAGTGAATTGCGGCTGTTAGTAGATTGCAATTAAACTATCTAAAATACGATGTAATTACAAAATTTTGGAAATATATAGACTAGACATAGGAAACAACATTTTCCCACCGGTAACTTTTTTGTACTGTAATATCTCAACATTTGACACGACGAGACTCTTCTCGGAGTTTGAATTTTTTGTTTGTGATTTTGACTATAAGACACCAGGTAGCGCTGGTGAGATTATGTCAAAAATGTTTCAAGTGTCAACTATGACTACTCTCTATATTTTTGAATCTCTAAATTACGCACACGTATACTTAAACGCGTACGTTACGTCACAAAAACATGTTTTATTGACCAGGAATATAAAAAGACTTACCATATCGCTGCAAAATATAGAATTAATTCCTTTACGTAACTTTGGAGATTGATGTAATATAAATGCGCACATTAGAATGCATTTAAAGAGCTCCTAAGCCAATTTTTGAAGTCATAAGTCTTAAATATCACTTCATTGTTAATTTAAACGCACGTAAAATTCGTAAAACATAGCTACATTCGAGATTCACAAGAGCTTTGTATTGCAGACACGCACTCGCCCGCGCTCGCCCGACGCCGCCTCACTGCGCCACTCTGTGTCCGCTCATAATGTTAAGGTAACACCGCACTCATAGTCATTAAATGTCCACTAAATCCAGTAATGTAGATATATGACATTTGAAAATGTCATCATCAAACCCTTATCTTACGGAAGGTCGGCATTATGTGCTGCCATACATTTCTATCAGCCGTCATATCTGAATCCACTCCCTTAAGCATATCCACATTCACACAATCCATACATACTTTCTTCGGCCTTAATCTACCTTTGTAGCCATACATTAAATTACCACTTTCTGGTTTATGTCCCCGTCATAAGACATTTGAAAATGTACCATAGTCTAATGATATAAATTTTGGCCTTTAGTGTCCGGCCATTGATTCCGACAGTTATGGCCGATTATAACAAATTTTAAACTTTATTCCGCTTATAATCTCACGAACGTAAAATTTTTGCGCGTAAAAGCGTAAATGTATTGCAAATATTAAATGCTTTAATGCCGTTAGTCATACAAATTGTCATACACCAAATTCATTTAATGGCTGATCATGCTATAATCATTACGTTATTTTTCATACAAATACACATTTTAGTACTGTTATTGTACATCTTACATTATAAAGAGGAAAGATTTGTATGTATGGATTTTTGTATGTATTTAATTCACGTAAAAACTACTGGGTCGATTTTAAAAATTGTCTCACCAATAAAACGGTAATTTATCTGTGACATAGACTATTTTTTAATTTCATGCGGACACAAGTCATATTTACTTAAGAAAGAAATAGGTTTTTAAATAATTATTATTAATTTGTTTTTCAGGAGTATACATATGCAGCTAATGGTGAATGGAGGCATTGCGGAGGTGCGGCTTCAACATCCGATAGGTAACAACTTAATACAGAAGTTCGCGTGCATCTTACTAGTATTATAAACGCGCAAATGAATGGATGGATATTTGTAAGAGTTTGTAGCCTACACAGCTGAACAGATCTTAATGAAACTTGGCCTAGATGTAGAGGTCTAGAAGAATACATAGGCTACTTATCTTTGTTTTTTTTTTTAAATTTGAAGTTGAAATGACAACTAAGGCCTTTTCAATAGAAATAGCCAGTAGGCTGCCTACCATTGCCATTGCAATTTTGCGTCATTACTGCTATTGGCAAGTTTTTGTCATTTTCTAGCATGAAGCCTTTTTCTAATTTAATCTCATTCTAAATTAAATAGCGTGAAAAGAAAACGAGACTTGTTTAAAAATATACTGTGTTTGCTGACATCCTACATAACACAAGTTTAAGTAACATAGCTTAAAGTGAACTTAAATTTTGGCGTAACGTTATAACCTAAATCATAAATGTATGAATGTAAGCTCAGTCATGTTTTATGTAATTGTTTTCTTGTTTTGTAGATCAGAAACATACCAAACACGTGAGTGGGAGCGAGAAAGAGAAACGGAGAAGGAGCGGAGAGAGAGAGAGTACCCGTCCGCGGTGATGGCGGAGCATCGCGGCTTCACGCGGCGACCTGTCACCAGAGTGAGTCGATAGGAATAGTACAATTTACTACAAAATAGTGATATAATATTATAAAGAGAGATTCGTATTTTTGTATGTATTGATATAACACAAAAACTACTGAGCCGATTTCAAAACTTCTTTCACTATTAAGAAGCTAAATTATCAGTGAGTAACATAGGCTATGTTTTTACTTTTTTAATTCGATGTGGACGAAGTCGCGATCAATAGCTAGTAATATCTATACAGTTAATAAAATTGAACGGGAATACTATAAACCATTTTTACTCGCTAACGAAGTTTGCGGCGCACCGGGTTTTCGTCCTCCAAAGCACTCTGTCATCCGTCATCTCAGTCATCACTCCCTTCTTGATCGTCTCCTTTCACGCAATCCATCCATCTCTTTCTAGGTCTACCTCTACCGGTGTACCCCGCCACATTCATAACTAACGTCCGTCCATAATATAATTTAACGAATTTAGTTTTAAATGGCGCAGTGTGCAATGTCACATAGGTTTAGGTCCTGTCACACTTACTTGTAAATTATCTGATAATAATGCAACGTGTAAAATATGTGATTGAAATATCGGATTTCGTTTCTCTATCTAATAGCGACGTCATTTTTAAGCTACCTGAGCCTCTATCAACCTGTAGTGGGACAGGCCCTTAGAGTTTCAATATATATGGAAATAACCCTATTACTAAGGATTTTTCCTCCAATCGTAGTTAGCATTTCGTTTTTTGATATTTCAAGTTTATACAATTCTCTTTTTCTTGTTTCCAGAATTCGAACCTACTATCCGCCTTGCTGTGTCTTGTCAAAGAGCTCGACTACCCGAGCCTAGAGGTAGCAGAAATGGCTGTAAGGTAGGAAAAATTATTATTTATTGCTGGTGATAAGTAAATTAACACTTTTGTTAGCCTATAAATACAGACTTCCGCACTTTTTTTTACTGTTTTTGTACTTTTTTAACAGACTTCTAAAAGAAGGTGGTTCTCACGTCGTCTGTAATTTTGTTTGTATTGGGGCTGACTAGCTGACTGATTGCTACAATATCCCTTATTGTCTAAGTAATTTAAGGGATTATTTCGTAACTTTTTATTGTTTTTGGAAGGCGGTATTGTTTTTTATTCCATTAAATCATGGCTAAAAGGCACTTAGTGACTAATATCTGAATATTCCAGATGTCGTATGGACGAGTTGGCGAACAGCCAGTGACGTAACGCCGACGCCAAATGCTAAACACACCGATGACACGCGACTTGCGACCTTAGCTTCGACAACACAAGGCCGAGAATAGCGTGCGGCTTGGTGACAGCACTGGCGTTAGCTTGCTATGTTGGACTGTTGGCCCAAACATTTGTAAAGGTGCCCAAACACGTAGTCGATTTTTAGAAATATCAGGGCTGCGAACTATTTTAATAAATTATAATTATTAATTTGCCTAATATGCAATAATTGTGACTTAATTGCCGTAATAAATTTATAAAAATAATGAAAATGGCAATATAGGTTTTAACGGCAGGAATGATTCGTTGTATAAAAAACATCACAATTTTAGAAACGCTTCAATAGCTTTAATAGATTTTTTAGTGCTTAGTAATTAATGAAATATCACTATTAAATTAAAAAATTGCCTAAATATAACTGTTAAGGTTAGGCCTGCAAGTTTGTAAGCCCTGATTATACAATGCAGTAAATTGCAGTACAGTTAAAAAAATATCTATGTACATAATTCGTATATATAAATACGCTTTAATTGTCTAATTTTAGATCTGTGCAATTATAATCATAAATCAAATTAATTTTCGCCTATTTGGCGAATAATATTATTCAACAATCGTTTGATCAAAATTGTCTATACTTTTTTTTCTATTTTTTATTTTTCAATGTCCATGGAATTGGTTAAATGTTGAGATGCGGAAAAGCTTTAATTTTTTTTTCCAAGTGCTATTTAACCCACTTATAACAATATTAAAAAACATGAAATAATTGTTCAATAAATATATATTTATAAATGTATACTACTTATGTATAATGTATACTTAATATTTGTTATTTGTTAATATCGTTGTTATATTTTTATCCGAGAAATAATTACGTTTTTTAAACCAGGGGCTTCCAAAGTCCACTCCGCATTGTATGCCTCGATTTTTAGAGCAATTTCATTGTACTTTAAAAACCTTTAAAAAGAATGTTTTGCCTTTAAAAGGTATTTGAATAAATTAACCTCAGTTGGAATTATATATACTAGTTTGGTTTAAAACTCTATCAGCTCAAGTTTGACCTTGAATTGTTATATTTGGAGTGAAATAAACTAAAAAATAAGTACAGTATCATTTTTCTAAACAAAGGTTTTAGAAACTTAACAATGCAATGAGATTTTAGCGTCAAAGTTAATAAAAGATATAACTTGATTTTAAATATGTGAAATAAGTACAGAACAGATTTGTTTTAGCAAATAAATTCGAGAATATAGAAATTCTCATATGTAATGTTTGATTATTACCATTTTGTACCTTTATTTTTATATATTCCACTATATATATGTTTGTACATTATTTTGTATAATTTTCATTATGGAAAACTACAAATATTAAAAGAATTAATTACAATGTATGTTTGTATTATTTTCCCTATAATTTTGTCATTCTTCATACTAATATTATAAATGTGAAAGTTTGGATGGATGGACGTTTCAAATACTGTGACGTCATATTGGAGTACCTTTTAATATATTGAAAAACCTATAACAGGGTTACAAAGTACTAAAGGACTTTAGGTCACTGACCTCTTTAAATGGACGTGACATAAGACGTTACATTTGAGCAAAGTTGGATCTAGGGGGGGTTTACATATTTTGTCAAGCTGCTGACTTGACCACGAATATGCGACCTCCCCCCCCCCCAGCGCCAAAGCAGGATTCGCCCTTGCATTTGAGCCCATTTGATACTTGATATCTTGGCGCTGATGAACGCTGTTGGTGGCCCTAATGAGAATTGAAACTAAAAATAGGGATAGAATTAACTGGTCACTAACATCAACAGGCCTGTTTAACGATGTTAAGTGGGAACGAAGCAAAAGCTGTCATTTCCAAGTATAGACCTATCCATTCAATATAGATCAGGGATCTGTATAGACTGTGCGTGATAGACAACCTACGAGAGTTTTGACGGTTACAATTTAAAAAGAAACATTTGACACATCACACGTCAATATGACAAGTGACAGGTGCTGTCGGCATGAGGAGTTCCCAGCATCAGCGATGGCCGTACTCGCCGCAGCAGACCAGAGCCCCGTGCTGAGGACACATCTCCTGTCACGTGGCCACACGACAACTAAACAATACAAATTGGTCAGTCACAGGAAACAGCTCTACTTTACAAAGGTAGCCACGGTTGGGTATTGCTGTTATGTCAGTTTTGTTTACATTACACGTTCAAGACAAACCCAGAGTTAGGACACAGTGGAAACTTACTATTTTGAATAAAATCCGCTATAATACTACTGCTCATCGTAATTGGACGCTGCAAAGATATTAACCAACAAAACCTTATGTTATGTAGGTACTCAACAAACTTGTAATACTTTATGTTAATAGTAAATTGTTAATACCCAATACCATTTTAGACAACTGAAAGCTGATTAAAATACGGCTTATGTTATTTTAACAATGATAATTTCACGCAGTAAACAATTCTAAGTTGTCCTTTTTGCATACCGTGATTTGTAGCTTATAACGGGTAGAGATAGCGGGCATGTCCGCGCGTTCGTCCCTGTCGTCGGGCTCGGGGCGGCTGCCGGGCGCCACCGACATCATCGACCTGGACCGCTATATGCGGGCCGCTGTACGACCCGGCATCTCGCCCAGGCACGACCGACGGTAACTTTGAACTTTAGATAGTTTATGTGATTAACAATATAACATCCTAACTAGTACGGACGAAGTACTCTTGATAGCATTTAGTAGTGCACAGCACCGTTACTTGTAGCGAACGCTTGGTAGTGGACGCGGGAGGGTTCGGTCGCAAGGCGGGCCGCGGACCACGCGCCAGCAATGCCAGCAGCAGCAGTGCGAGCGCCGCCAGCAACAGCGAACCTCCGCACATGAAACGCTTCTCCCACGACTCCGGCCTTTCCGACGGTAGTAACCCTCAGCACAGGCATCGCTCGCACAGGTCATTTCACGCTATACATATTACCTTATCCTAATCGTCACTCTTCTAAAGTATAAACCTGTACTTTCAAATTACTTTAGGCGGGTGAGCGGAGACGTAACAACACATAGGTGTAGGGAATCAGCTCGTGGGCGGGGGTCCGCGTCGTCGTTGCTCGCTTTCCGCACGGCCTGCGAGAGGGCGTTGCGAGAGCAGCAGGAGCAAATCGCCCGCGTGGCGCAGCTCTGCGAGCGTCTCGGCGAACGCCGGAACGAACGCCGCAACGAGAGGCACGGCGAACGACGCAACGAGCGCCGAACCGAACGTGTGAAGTGCGTCAGACCGAAGCCGGAACGACCGAAGGTGGACCGATCGAAACCAGACCGATCGAAGCCGGAACGATTGAAACCGGAACGTTCGAAACCAGAGCGACCGAAGCCAAAGCGTCCCAAGCCAGAGTGTTCGACCACGAGTATGGAATCTAGCAATATTTCATCTAGTAGCCGTAGTTCAAGAGAACGTCATAAAGACAAGCATCGGGTAAGAGGTTGTTTTATGTGTCGGTAATAGATATGACAATGAACTTAGACGAAAACTATCTGAGCTTAATACATTTCAGACAGACGAATGCAAAACGTATAAGATAATAATGAACAAACTGGACGAGTTAAGTCGTCTCTTCGCAGCGCGACGTCCGATGCCTCCGTTGACGTTAAGCACAAAGCCATTGTCGTTGTATCGAGACGGCATCTCATCTGGTTCGGTTTCCGTGTCGGATAAAATAGTGGCAACGGAGCCTGATCTCCACACTTGCTTAACATCGAGGCAATTGTCTCCCACGGTTCAGGTACTGATACGTTTTTTTTTTATAGATACTAATCATCTCTGGCTTAGAGAGATTTAACTACGTTTTCATTGTGTGTTTGAAAACGTTAACACACACACACACGGTTTAATGTGAACGGTTAAAAAAAGAGTAGTGAAATGCAATGCAGAGGGAAAAGGCACACAGGACTACAGACATAAATAACGACTGGATCTGAATGCATCTTAAGCTATTTAAAGTGTGTGCTTATGACAGATATTGCTAACCCCACGTCCGACGGAAAGGAAGGTGGATCTGCAAATACAAACGAAAGCGACTGGCACGACGCCGATACCGTCGGGGGAACAGGTGCGTCAGAAGGATCGGCTGCTGCGCGCGGAGCGGCGGCGGGACGTCCGGCCGTGCGAGAACCGCCGACTGGCCGTCACTAGAGCCCACTTCCTAGAAATAGCACCGCTCCAGGAGAAGCGGCCTAATGTAGCTACGGAAAGGTTTTTAAAATGACAATTAAAAACCCTTAATAAGCTTAATCTAATAAGTATAAATTTTTTATGATGTATAATTTTAAATCTTAATTTCCCACGACAGGGTTGTACAGCGGGATCTGAATTCAGGTTGCAACACGACGCGCAATCACTTGACCAGTTTCGACCTGGATGATCCACTGTCTGTAAGTATATTCCTTGTCACTTAATAGATGACTAATGATTACACTAACAAGCTAATGCTACTGCTGCTTCTAAAATATCAACCTTAGATTATGTCTTCCAAATTTCTGTATTAAATTCCTTAATATTGATTTTGTTCCACAGTTGTACGCTCAAGCGAAACGCTTGCAGACGCTCCATGCAGAGCCGCGCCGGGCGCGGAGTGAGGATCGCGAGCTGCGCAACGAAAGGGCGTACGACATGAGGGGCTTCACCGTAGGGGGGCGTTTCGCGGAGCGGCTGGGCGAGGAATCCCTCTGCGCGCGCTGCCGGGTCTACTGGCGCGCGTTCAGAGACTGCTTCACCACCCAGCTGTTCTGCAGACCGGGGCGCGCGTGCGCCTGCTAACATATATCATATACATATCTTGTAGAAAATATATTATTTACTTCGGATATGTGTTCTTATTATATCATTTTCAACTCTACTTCTGAAGATTTTTTTTTTTGAAGAGACTTTCATAAAAATGTGCCCATTTGTCTTCCATAAACAAAAAAAGTATACGTCTATGACTACGTCAGCCAAAGAGGATAGAATGCTCTTCCATTTATTTTCTTACTACCGTCATTTTATTGCTTCTATGGAAGATGAAAAGGTATATTTATTAACTCTTACACCAGACAGACTTCAGATTGTATTAGATAGAATATTGCTCTTACAAATGCTAAACATTTTTTTAGGTCGCCCAAATCTTGGAGAATTTAAAAACTTTTTTTTGTTACAATTTGTCATACAGTTCATGACGCTGGCCGCATATCTATCAGATGCATCAATAAATTCTTCTTGACACAGTCAGACAGAACAAAAGAAATTTTCCGAAATGTCAATTGCAAAATTAATAGTAAAAATTTAACAAAATAAACAATAAACACCATGTAGTGATCCTATTCGGATTCAGCCATCTACTAATTGCAAATATGAAGTATACAAGTGATGCTTTCTGGTGGCTAGCGTGTCTTTTATTACAGGTAAATACCAAACTTGTGATACCATCACTACTCTAAGGTTACCATCGTTGTCAGGCGAAGGTAACCCACAGGTTACCCTAAAAAGTGTTCTCGGTGCGTCTCTGCTTTCATGTAAATCTTACAAAGTACTATGACAGTGTCAAACATGTTTGACCAAAAGAACAATCTGAAAATTTAGTTACCTGATTATCTTTCCTATTAAGAAGTCTATAAATAAATCAACATATTACCCGGTAACTTAAGTCTTTAACCAATTACACGAAATATAATTTCAAAGTATAATAAAATGTGAGTCGACCCTTTTCATAATGATATATGATTTAGTTTAGAAAATATTAGACCGTGTTATTTGTACCCAATTTACTTAAAAGTTATCATTTCGTCAAGAAGTTTTCAGACACAAACTGATGAATGGATTTATAGAAGTACATCTAAAGAAGCGAAGACAATGAAATGCTAATGATTTTTGAGACTTACAAACCGAGATATCAATTTTAATATACAAGACTAATATTGATGCCAAAAACTACTCAACATCTTTCCTAATTTTCGGGCCCGAAGTGGTAACGTTGTGATTTAAACCAGGTGGTCGGCGCCCTCGCCTGCAAGAAGAAATCTTCTTGCCGCCCACCTCGCTGCCCGGGCGGCTGCAAACCCAAGTACTGGTGATCGCAACACCAGCCGTCACAGCGTCACGTGAACACTGAACTTATGACGCTAGTCTACATCAAACTAAGTGAAAATAATATGGTTAGATATTTTAGAGCTATTCCGTTACACATAAATAGGTTATGTCAATATTAAATTACGATCTACAACTCAAATACAATCCAACAAAGCTTTAGGATTTTATTTTAAATAGGCTTTTGCGCTTTCAATTCTTTTTTTTTTAATTTGTGACAGAGAACTTTGCTGTGGTCGCTGTGGTGGTGTCTCTTGTGCCTCATAGCGACTGTGGGAGGCTGCTGCAAGAAGAAGACAATCTGCAGGCCGCCGCCCGGCGGCAAGCCCGGGTGCGGCCGTGGTTGGTGCGTAAATATTAATATTAATTAAACTAAAACTAAAATTCTGTAGGAAGAAAAAGTAGATAAAAAGACATTTGGACACTGACTTTTCGGCACACGTCATGGTAGGGCAGAATAAACAATCCTTTGGGTATCAATGTGATTTTTTTTAAAGAAATGTTGAAAGAAGTCATAGACGTGCAATTAAATATTTATACATTACTATTAGGAACATCTGTAGCGTAAAAATCTCTCTGGTTCACTCCTACAATACTCAATTCTATTCGAAAATATTGTTTCATTGATTCACCATCCCTGATGTAGGGTTTTTATTTTTAGTCCGAAAACAATTAGCCGTACAATTTTTCAGGTTGAACTGCTAGCTAAAATAAAATAAAGAGGAACAAGTGAACTGAAAGTTGGAAAATCGCGTCGCAAATAACCTAGTCTAATATTAGCAAAAATAATTTATGAAGGTAAGTATCATTTAATGTCCATCATAAATATCGCCATTCTCATTAATAATGTTTATACAGTTTTTATTGTAATTTCATTGGCTTTGGTTACCTTTAAATTTAAAATTAATGTCTTTCAGGTTATACAAGAATTTTTACAGAACGGATAGGTAGCAAAAAAAGAGAACTTGGAATTAAAAATACACAGCCAATACTAAAAAAGGTATCTGGTAAGTATTTCTCATTTTTTTCTAGAAATAGACTATCTATTGATTTTACGATAGTTGTCGATACATTTCAAATAAGCAGAAATGGAGTATGGATATGGTTTCTTACTTTTTTCTTACAGTTTTATAAGTGTGGGAATATCACTATTAAAAAAATGTATGCCATTCAATATTACAATAAACAGCCAACAAGAAGAAGATACTTGTTAAGATATACTTGTCAATAATCTTTTGTTTTTGAAATTTTTATAATCAACTACAAAAAACTCTGTAAACAATGCCTGTTAAGTTTTTATACATTGGTATCTTGTGTACACTGTTAAATTAAATAAAACAAAAATTCTTTGGCTTTTTAATTTTTTTATTTTGTCTTACAAAATAGCGCTTCTTACATAACTACATCAGTAGTTCCTGTAACAAATAGAGATAATTGTTTATTAAATATAATTTAATTTTAATAATGATAGGGGAAGGTAGCCAAAAGTGTGTTGCTGTTCACCTCTCGCTAGATGTTTGTAAAGCTCTGAACCAGATTGTATAGACTTGGACATATTGAGCGGCAACTCAAAATGGTAGCTTGCAGGATGATGTGATGAACTACAACTATGCTATCTGATAAACCACAAATTGCAGAGCAACTAATCCATATTTATTGCATTTGCACTTAAAAGGATGATTCTCATGTTAAAATTTGTTCTCTTACTTTACGGTCTATTCTACTTTAAACTTTTACTACAAAAGATGAAGTATGAACAAATATTTCTACTGTTAGAGTTCACAGTGATTTCACTATTCCAATGACAAAAGTCTTAAAACAGTTGCTTACTTGATCAATATGCCGTCTTTCTTGGTTAGTCTGACTATACAATCGTCTGACTCTCCCATCCGCCTGATGGCTCCACAGATGACGTACATCTTGGAGGTGTCTGCGGCGCGGCCGGTCGCCGGGTCGACGTCAGCGATCACCAGCTGCACGGACGCATGGTCCTTAGCGTGGATAAGGCGATTGCTGGCCGAGCTGGAACATTTGACGAATGTTTTGTAAATTTTTAATTGGGCAAGATTGAAAGGTGGCATTTGTTTACAAACATAAGTGAGGTATTTCGTAGTGTTAGTTATTTTCTTATTACAAGTCTAGCTTGGTTTAGAACCACCTTTTGTCCTAAATATTTGACAGGTTATAACAACTAGGGAAACAAAATACAAAACGTTTCGTGGATACAGATTTAGAAAAGTATTCAGTATTTAACTATTTAAAACTTGTATTTCTTTAAACTTGCGTAAACTATTTGAAAATAAGTATTCATACACGAAACATGCGTTATGGACAAAACAAGCATACCATTTCCTCGGGCAGTATAAGTCAACAAATTCACCAGCGTCGTTTTGCATTTTGTATCTGAAAAAAATCGGAAAAATACACTATTTTGAAACTAATAGAATGTATTTTTTGAATAACAATCAATTTTAATGCAAATCTAACCTAAATAACCACACGGATCACGTAAATGACAGAAGCAGAAAGAAAGATGGCTTCTAAAATGTTACAAGTTGTAAAAATTAATTATTTTTTAAATACTATTGTATTAGCCTAAACTACATGGCTTTTGAGCATTGTGGAGTTTTCTGTTTTTTTTTTTAATTTATTCCTGTAATTATGAGGACCAATACAAAAAAACTGTCGTGTTGTCCGTAGCTGAGGTAAAGGATACTAAATTAATTGAAATTTGCGATTCGTCAGTTTATTCCTCCTACATAATTTTGTATAATATCTTTAGGTAACCGTGTTGCGTATTGATTGTACGACGTGAGCGATCAGGCAAAACTTAACTTTATAAGGAGAAAATAAAAGATTTTAAATTTTAATCAAACTTTTAATAATAAAAACAACAGGGTGAACTTTAATAATAAAAAAAACAAGTGTGATTCCCTTATTTAAAAATACATCATATATGGAATAATAATTAACAAAATGAAGTCATCATAAATTATCAAATTAATAATTTGAGGTAGCAAAAACAGGCAGTAGAAGTAATATAAATAGTTTACTTACAGTTTGAGCTTACATTACTTTAATTACGAAAAAAATATATAAAACCTGGGAACTTGCGTCATCATTTTGTGTCAGTTACTTTGTTGTAGATGTTTCGATGTCTTGGTCATAAGGATAATTAAACTATAAGCTGGAATGAATCGAGGGAAGAAACATTGTCAAAAATAAGCTAAAGGGCAATCGTACAAAAATAATAAATAACAAGTGCTAGTAAAATTTAAAAAAAGTTCACATCATCTTGATTTTAAACATTTTTTCATGATTATAAAATTTGAATGTATAAATACTGTCCAATAGTTACAGCAACATAATATAAAATTTAGCTTTAAAGAAACCTGTAATATACATAACTGAACTTATAAAAATATTACAATATAAATGATTTGCGAAATAATCTTAATTTAATAAGTGACTTAAATAAGTCTTAGAATTAAATCTACAGAACTTCTGCCTCAGCTTCAGTATTCTCTTGTTCTTCTTCTCTTTCGTCAAATTCAACTTCATCGTCTTCGACACCAGCCTCCTGTTAAAATAAAAAAAAGTTAGTAATAGATGTCCATAAAGTTTCAATACTCAATGGTGTTGCCATTATTATGCAATTACCTGGTACTGCTGATATTCCGAAATAAGGTCGCTCATGTTACTGTCAGCCTCAGTGAATTCCATTTCGTCCATACCTTCACCAGTATACCAGTGAAGGAAAGCCTGCGAAAGTTGTTTTATTTGAATAAGATAAAAATTCATGTGGGTAGATTGTTAAATTACCCCATTTAGAATATGTTAAAGATTGAAATTCGTTGAGGTTAATACCTTTCTTCTAAACATGGCAGTAAACTGTTCTGAAATACGTTTAAAAACTTCTTGTATAGCCGTTGTGTTGCCGATAAAGGTGGCAGACATCTTGAGACCGCGTGGTGGCACGTCACAAACCGACACTTTGAGGTTATGAGGAATCCATTCTACGAAGTAGCTGTAAAATAAATATGTTTTTAATTTAATTGATATTAATATTATTCTAAAGCACTAGTATACTCTTTGACTAGAATATACCTTGAGTTCTTGTTCTGCACGGCGAGGATCTGTTCATCAACCTCACGCATGGACATGCGGCCGCGGAACATAGTGGCTGCGGTGAGGTATCGCCCATGCCGGGGGTCGCACGCCGTCATCATATTACCAGGGTTGAACATCTGTTATTTTTTAAACATTATTTTGATTTGCATTGAATTATGTTAAAAGTAACATTTTTCGGCTCTGGGTTCTTGCCTATTTGAGCCATGGGTTATTAATCAATGTTGCCATACTAACTTGACTCATCAATTCCGGGACAGTTTGAGCGCGGTAATTGAACGAGTTTTTCGCCGTCAATGGTGCAAATCCTGAAAACATTTGTTCGTGTAAACGTCTGAATATTGAAGTTTACACTTATAAATTGATGCTATAAGAATCGATATTAAATAAAAATGCCAACCTGGCATGAAGAAATGTAATCTAGGGAAAGGAACCATGTTGACAGCGAGTTTCCTCAAGCCAGCGTTAAGTTGTCCCGGGAATCGCAGGCAAGTTGTCACCCCTGACATCGTTAACTGGAAAAATACAACATTATTACAACGGTAACTTTATTGAATTGACTTTAAAAAGCGGAGAGTTGGTATATCGAGATTCAATGCATTCAAGAATTCAAGTAAGAACCTAAATAAAAAGTAAAAAAGAGAAAGATAAATCTTAATAATATTCTATATATTTTATCTTTTTAATATAAATGCGAAAGTTTAGATCCATCCATGGATGTTTGTTAGAATAGATTAAACTGCTGATCGGATCTAGATGTAATTTGACATATATGTTAAAGATAGTGTGGAAGAACGCAAAGGTTACTTTTGTTTATTTTATTCCACTCAGACGTAATCGCGGGAGAAAGCTAGTAAAATGATAAACAGTAAAAATAAAATAAACAGTTCTTACCGATATCAAATGATTAAGATCGCCGTACGTAGGACTACTAAGTCTTAATGTTCGGAAGCAGATATTGTAGAGAGCTTCATTGTCAATGCAGAAGGACATGTCCGTATTCTCTACCAGTTGGTGTACTGATAGCGTTGCGTTGTACGGCTCTAGTACTACTTCGCTCACCTATAAAACATTTTTTTAAAAGCGTAGGTAAACAAGCTATGGATGTAACTTAGTGTGGTGTTAACAATTTAAAAGTGATTATAGGTAGCCAAGTGAAAGGTTATATTAGAATAGTCTAGCTTTGGTACTATAGATATTCTATACATATAATAAAGCGACTACCGGTTCGAATCCCGCCATTCGACTATTATCGTGAACCATATCCTAGCACAAGCCTAGAGCTTAGTTGGACTGGTTAAAGGAAATATTAGTAAATTAACAAAAAACCACTAATATTTAAAAAAAAATTGGGGTGTCTGTTTGTAAAATCTAAAGATAAATTCCAGATTTCGGAAAGATGATGTATTTGCGTTGTTGACATCGAAAATCGAATTTAAAATTTTTATGTCTGTCTGTCTGTCCGCAAACCGCGTTTGTTTCAGGTAATATAGTAATCATATTCTTCGTATATAATAAAAACTAAATCTGGTAACAATTTTAGTAATAGTGGTCTTACTTTAGGTGAAGGTACAACACTAAATGTGTTCATAATCCTGTCAGGGAACTCCTCCCTGATCTTGCTGATGAGCAGCGTGCCCAGGCCTGAACCGGTACCTCCGCCCAAGGAATGTGCTAATTGGAATCCTGCAAATAAAAATCATCTATACTATAAGTTCATTTTTATACACAAGTAAGAAATACTAATATAACGATATTCGGAAATGTCTTCTATTTGTCAAGATTAGGCCCCTATTTGAATGATGATTAGTATTTGAATGTAAGTAGTTACCTAATATAAATAATTTTACTCTAACTATCTCATTTATGAGTGTTTCCCGTTGAACAGATTGATCGACCCGCAATTCGATCAACCTAAGATTTTATCCCATTAGACCGATTGATCGGTTAGTCGATCGGCCCAACGGGAAAAACCCTAATTTATTAATTTATACGTACCTTGTAAACAATCACACCCTTCAGCTTCTTTCCTCACGACGTCCAGCACTGAGTCGACCAGCTCCGCACCCTCCGTGTAGTGACCCTTTGCCCAGTTGTTGCCTAGAGGGGAATAAAGACTACGTAAGACGTGTTTCCACTGCGGAATTTAAAAGATACGTTCATTTATTTCATCAGGTATGATAAAATAAAGAACATTTGCTTGGAATACTCGCGGTCTTATTACTTACTAGCTTTCGCCCGCGACTCCGTCCGCGTGGAATTAAAACAAAAGTGAGTAACCTTATGTTCCTTCAGACTATCCACTAGGTCTATTTATATAGAGTATAGAAAAGTATTTTTAAATAAAAAATTCTGCGTATCATTTTCAACTAAATGATCGTAGAGTCCCACGTTTCCATACTTAACAACAGATTATAATTTTCTTATATCTATGGTTTGTTAGGAATAAAATATGAAATCACCAGCGCCGCTCTGTCCGAACACGAAGTTGTCCGGCCTGAACAACTGGCCGTATGGTCCGGAGCGCACCGCGTCCATCGTGCCCGGCTCCAAGTCGACCAGCACCGCACGAGGTACGTATCTACCTGAAGAATTACAAAGAACATAGTTGAAGACAGATAGAGAAAGATAGTCAATCTTCTCCTTTTTTTCACAGTGAACGATAGTAGATATTTTCAGATAACTTTAAAGAATCGTCTTCGTCTTGCGTCAACATAACTTCAGTGTTCTCTCGTTTAGTTACTTTTCAAGGGTAATCTCTCTTTTCAACATAAAGGTCAGTATTGGATTTTGCAAATCAATTTTGTTTGTGAAATTCAGAGGAATAGTTTTATACCACCACCAGAACTACTAAAAAATGAATGTTTTCATTATTCTACGAAAAACACGCGAAAATAATTTATTGTATTTACCTCCTGATGCTTCATTGTAGTAAACATTCAATCGCTCCTTTTGTAGGGGGTTGTCTCCGATACAAGCTCCCGTGGGGTCGATACCGTGTTCATCCGATATTATTTCCCAGAACTGCAACAGTTTTTGAAGTTAAAAAGGAAGAAATAGCTACAACAATTTTTGCAATTTCATCCATTTCTAAATATGATCTTTATTTATAATATCGAGTTGAATTCTCACGGTAAGGAATGTTGAATGTAAACAAGTTCATCTTTTGTAACTTGATCTTGCAAGACGTTCACATGTGTAGTGAAAGGCTAGAAAGAACCAACGAAGCGAAGCTTTGTGTAACGTTTTCTTATAATGATAAACTAAAGTATATCTAGATCGATACTATCTATATCAATACTATTATAATAAAGCGTAAACACACACTTCTTTGTTGCCTAAGATGTCAACAATTACAGCATATTTATGTTTAATTCATTTTTTTTAATAAAAAGCCCTACACTTGCGTCACGCTTTAGGCTATATATTTTAACACTAAAATTAGAAGGTAAAAGTTTTGAATAAAAACCCTAATGTGGGAAAGAGATCATAAGTTGCTGCCAACATCAAGGAAGCGAGGTTGTCGTCATGTCATGTCGTTTTGACATTTGTAATTGATAATTTGACAAATGTAGACAATAAAATAAAATTTTCATTATTTCAGCTAGCAGAACAGCTAGTTTATTTATATAATACGTTAACATTTATTTAATTAAGTAAGCTAAGATTATTCTCAATGGAATGTAAGAATTGTAAATAAACGTTCGCAGTTAATAGCATTAGGAATTATTGCTAACGCGTAATAACGTTTTAAATAACCGCTTACCACTTGTTCGCTTATGGCATTAAAATTATGATTTACTTATTAAATTATCAATACATTTGAAAAATCGTGGTAATTTTTTTCATATTCAGTGTTATAATTTTTTTCTTAGTTTGTTGCATGTAATAAAATTGTGTTACATATAACAATTTTATCTGACGGTTGCATAGCCTTTGCCTAAATTGTTGCGGTAATAAAAACTCTAAAATGGTAGTTATTATTATTTCCATGAAAAAAAAAAATGATCGTTAAGACATATTTGGTACTTAAAAATGGTTAATTAGCATTTAAACTTCGACTTTGCACATTGTATTAGTCGTGGCAATGATCGGGGAATCGTAGATTTTTTTTCTAAAACACTGCATTCTTATTGGTCCACCGTTTTAGCGCCAAAAGTGATGGATCATACAACAAATGTCATGCTGTCTACTCTAAATTGTTGTAGCAAAGTAAATTATATTTAGTTAATTCGTTGTTTTAGGTTATAATTATATTATTTCTCTGCTTTACACATTTATATCGATGGCGTCTTTGATGTTTTACATTCCATTGTTAAAATACCAAAAGGAGATAACGAAGAAAGATATAAGTATTTCCCTATAACCAAGATTCTATTAATACAACTTTCACAATCGTATGAAAGTATGCATCATATGAATACGTGACGAACACATCGCTCTTCTTCAATTGAGGTTAACTCGTGAGAATGTTTTAACAGATGATTTAATAAAAACACACACGTCATCCTCAATGCCACAGACTACGTCATTTTCAAGTTTAAAACTATTAAAACGGAATACAAACCTTTGATCCTATTTGATTTCCACATTGGCCTGCCTGAACATGCACTATTTCCGACATTTTAAACTTTTTCGCACTTAAATCGACTTTTAATATTCACCGGTAGCAAATACAATTCGACTTACGAGTATAATGTAGTTTGATACAGAATTGGGAACGCTATCGGAGCGTTTATCTTCGTTATCACGTTTATACTAAGTGTCTCAAATGACAAGAGGTCGGCGGGTATGCGTCATTTTTATTGTAAACACCGTCAATGTTTTAAGTTTATTTCACGTCTAAAAATATCTTAAAAGACTTGTAGTCGATGTCCTAATGGAAAAACTACAGTTTTAATAATATCTTAATAATAAGAGACACGTCTTAACAGAATTTTACTACAAAAGTTACTGATTTTCACTTCGTTCCGTCTCATCGCATACATTCCCCACTTCAGACGCGCAATTCCATTGATGTTATCACAATTTTTCTTTGCGGTTCTGCTATCTGTGTAACTGTTATGTAAACGTATTAATTAAAAAAATGTTTCAAGTATTTTTGATGAGTCATCGCTACGTGTATTGTTATAATCACAATAGGTGTGGCATGTTTAGGTAATTTTTTTCTTTGTTAACCATTAAATTTTATTTTATTTACATTAATTTGGTAGAACATATCTATAGAGCAGAATGATGGTATAATTATTAATTCCTCGTATATTTATTTAACAAAAAACTTTCTCTTGTAGTTGTATATATACAGTACTAACTGGATTTATTTAGTGTGGTTCGACCCTCAAATTCCACTTAAATTAAAGGGAAAAGACCTGTCATGATGCATGGATCTGAATGTTGGGCAGTAAAAGAAACGGATGAAAGGAGAATGTAACAGAAATGCGAATGTTAAGATGGATGTGTGGGGTAACATGAATGGATAAGATACGAAATGAGTATATTAGAGGAAGTTTGAGAGTAGCTCCCATAGTAGAGAAGGTTAGGAGTAAAAGGTTAGCATGGTATGGGCATGTTATGAGGAGGGATGAATCGCATGTTACAAGGAGAACGTTAGTTATGAGTGTGGAAGGGTACATCGGTAGAGGTAGACCTAGAAAGAGATGGATGGATTGTGTAAAAGGTGACATGATCAAAAAGGGAGTGATGACTGAGATGACGTATGATAGAGTTATGCGGAGGAAAAAACCTATTGCGCCGACCCTACGGGACTAGGATAAGGAGATGATGATGATGATGATGATGATGATGATGATTTAGTGTGGTTCGATGGCTAGGTTCGATTCTAGAAATGATTGCGTGATGTATATTCAAAATTAAAAATCTGTAATTGAAAAATTACAAATATTTGTCCAATATCATCCCTCCGTCACATGTAGATCGTAAAGTAATTGAGAATCCGATAGAGGTCGCTGATCTTTTCGTTTAAGAGTATATTTGTAATTGACGAATTAAAAATAAAAAAATAATAATTACATTCTATTTTACATTTAAATATACAATCGATTGTAACAATTTTCGGAATTCTGTTATCACTATATCATTATCAACATCGTTGATAAATTATGCAGTTACTAACAGATATATTTATATCCATAGATAAGTAATTTCAAGTTATTCTTGCATGTAAATGTTAAGGTCAATTTACCCGTTTTCAGCAGTGGAAATCAACGGTCAAATGTTTCTAATTTTGACCTTGGTAGTACGGGTTTTTTCCTGGTATTATATTTATAAATGCCGACAAAAAGCTGATTAAATAAATAATCAATCTTCCTAGTGTATAATCTATTTACGAATGTTTTCCTATACTGTTTTAAGCGTCGGTTTCCACTACCGGAACATTCATACAAAACATTCTCATCTAGCTTATGCTCTTTAAAAACTGCAATTTTACTGTATTTGACACCTGCGTAATTTTTTTAATCCTGTGTTTAACCACTTTTTATTTGTTGTGTAAAATGTTATTTGTTATTTACTTTGCACTCTAGCTTCTAGAAAAGATGACTTTTTAACCCTTTCACGCAGAACGGAAATATTTTTCTCTTCTACAAAAATCGTTATCGATTATTTAATTATTATTGTATCGATATTTATTTTAATGAATGTCAAAATAAAACGTATATCCAAGGCGGCAAATGTGTTTTTGAACGATTAGAAAAACAAAGAACTGTCAAACTTTATTGCGCCAAAATCAAATGTAAAAAAAAATTAGTCTCAGCCATCTTATAGTTAAGATACAGAAAAAAGCAATTAGTTTAAAACGGATATCTAACACTTACATAAAAGTTTTCTGCTTGCACTATATGGCTTTCTAATTTCACTTGAGTTAAATGCATTCCATTGTAGTAAGTTTCAAGTTCTCACAATACTTTAAGCCAATTACACTCGTATTCATAACACGGATTTGCTAACTGTAGAACTGCACTAACACTTGTATTGACACATATGTTCTATCTCTTTTATCCTGAGAATGTAAGGGACGACATTTTGTACTAATAAAAGTATCATAGCAGTGAAGTTCTGCGGCAATTTTACTTGGTCCTTCGAGCCGGATGATACTAAATGTTCTAACACTTATAAGTAGATCATAAAATATCTTTATTTTATTACTATACTCGTAGAATTAAATAAAAAGTAACAATTTATAAAATATTCTTCTAGTTGATAATATTTACATTTTTCACTCTGATTTATATAAATTGTATTAAACTTAAAAAGCATACAAATATTCTTCTTAAATTACAAAACATATTCAAACTATAAATAAAAGTTGTTCAATGACATTACAAATATAATAGAAGTCTAAAATCTATTTATTTCATCACATTATATTTAATTACTAAAAACTATACAGTAGAAGAAGTAATAGAAGTAAGTACTAAAAGATAAAATAAATTCTTTAAAGTAAAATTTAAAGAACAAATTAATTTAAGAGGAAAAGAAAAACATTTCACTTGTTAAAATTAATAAATAATAGTAAATTTTCTTTTTGTTTCACACCAAAAATGTATCACTTTGTAAGGGAAGTCCTTGGCTACTTAAAAACAGGGATCCTAGTTAAGTAGTCAAGGCAACACTGATTTATGTAATCAACATTAGAGAGCAATAAAGATATTCTTATTCTTAATTTATTATTGCTGTGAGCTTGGACTGCAGTATTAAATATTGTTCTGTTTTTAACCGACTTCCCGAAAAATGGAGGTTCTCAATTTGTCTATATATTTTTTAAGTATTTATATCATTGTAGTTGTTGAGAATGAAACGATTTATTTACTTCTTAATTATCTTTTAATCATAGGTCTGATTTAACAAATACATCACCCTATCAACGCATTTACATTTGACAATCAAAGAGTAAGAAAATTATAAAACATTTCATAAATTAAAAAGCTTATTATCAAAGAATATTTACACCTAACACTAGTTTTAGGGTCATGTATTAACTTTATCAGCATGTGTACATCTATGCCGTTTAAGTCCACTGCTTTGTGTAAATTGGCTATTACATAAATCACAAGCAAACGGTCTTTCCCCCGTATGAATTCTCATATGAAGTTTCAAATTACCATTTATTGTGAATTGTTTATTACATACACTGCAATTAAACGGCCTTTCATCAGAATGTACACGCATATGTTTTGATAAATTACCAATTTGTTTGTTACAAATCTTACAAGTATATGGTTTTATACCTGTATGTACTCTCATATGACGTTTTAATTGTCCTGTCTCTCTAAATGACCGTTTACATACTTCACAATTGTACGGTTTCTCACCAGTGTGTACACGCATATGGATCTTCAAGTAACCATTATCAGAAAATGGTTTCTTACACACTTTACACGAATAAGGTCTTTCACCTGTATGAGTTCGTTCATGTAATTTAAAACTGGCCATTTGAGCGAACTGTCTATCACAAAAGCTGCATGTATATGGTTTGCGACCTGTATGTACTCGCATATGCACTTTCAAAGTTGTATATGCTGTGAAATCTTTTTTACATACTTCACAAGTATGAGGTCTTTCACCTGTGTGCTGACGGGCGTGGATTGCCAAGTAACTCTTACTTGAAAATTGTTTATTACAATCTTTACATGAATATGGTTTAACACCAGTATGTATTATAAATATATGCCTTTTCAAATGTGTCCTCTGTGAAAATCTTCGTCCACATACATCACAAACGAAAGGCTTTTCTCCTGTATGTGTTAATATATGTGATTTTAGTGTTTGATTATGACCGAATGATTTATGACATATTTCACATGTGTACATTTTCTCTTTAGTATGTGTTTTCATATGTTCTTTTAGTCCTTTATTCCTTTGGAACTGCTTTCCGCAGATTTTACATTTATACTTGTCTATATAGTGAGTTGATAAATGACTTTTCAAAAGGTGAGCTTTATCAAATATTTTGGTACACATATTACAAGGATATGTACCATTATGTGAATGATCTATTGATATATGTTTAGTTAGATCTTTGTTTTGTATAAATTTATTATTACATATAAGGCATTGATAAGTTTTCTCTCCACTATGTGTTAATAAATGAACTTGTAATGAACCATAATAAGTGAATTGTTTGCAACAGACGTCACATGAATATTTCTTGGATCCATTCCTATTTCCCGATTTTGATACCTCATCTGCAACAAAAGAACTTTTGTTTAAATATCAAAGAGTTGCTTTGGAAAATGGAAAAATTGAAATTCTTCACAGATATATACAAATTACATCTCAATGTTTTTTTTTTCAAATGTACATAATTTAGAAATTTAATATACATTGCTACATGGCAGGAACAAAACCTGGACTTATAGATAATTCTTCCACCCAGTCAAGCACTTAACAGCTGCACCACTATTGCTTTTTATTTATATACTAGATGTTCATGTGCGACTTCATCCGCATAAAATTACGAAAATTTAATTTTATTATTTACATGTGGCAAATTATCAATTACAAATGTCAAAATGACATGACATGATGACAAACCATGGCAACCTTGCTTCCTTGATGTCGGCAGCAACTTATGGTCTCTTTCCCATATTAGGGTTATCCAAAATATTTTCCCCCTATGTTTAATGGTGTGAAAACATATAGCCTAAAGTGTGACGTAGGTGTAGGGCTTTTTATTAAAAAAATATTCAAAAATATACTATAATTACTATTATAATAGTATAGAAGTATAGATAGTATAGATATCGAAGTATAGATGAATATAATAAACAAAATCTTACAATCACTGAGTTCATGTCCACTTGCCCAGTCTGCTTCAGGCTCTGATTCTTGATAAGGTTCCTTGTTTTTCAGTATAGATAGTGGCTGATCATCAGGAGTATCAATAGATTCATTAAAACTTTCCAAGGTAATTTTATTTTCTGTAACAGTGCAAAAAAATTTTAGTTGTTTCTACTGAAATTAATAAAATTGAGGGAATTAAACATTATCTTACCAAATTTAGTTTCAGTGTCATTTTCATGAAGAGTTTCCTCCTTTAACCCTAAACGAATAAGAAATCTATTAAAATGTTTCATAAAAAAAAACTTGAGATGTTTTTGCTAAAGGTTAAAAATTATTACCAATATGTATTTCTGTCACCTCTTCCTTCACTGTATTGATATAAGATGTATTGCCTGAAAAGAAAAAGGTAATTCATACTTGAATTTTATTTTTTAATTTGTTTTTAATCATTTCTTGACTGATTGATGCATATTATAGCTTAAATAAAAATAGTAGTGTTTTATTAACACTGCTTACCTTTGTAATTAAGGTTACTATAATGTGTAAATAGTAATTGTTCACAAGTCACCACTTGCTTTTTAAATATTAGTGCATCTTGTAAATGAGAAATGCATATATCACAGATGGAGTAAGAAATAGTATTTGACTCTCCAATTACTGGACTTATCTGAAATTAAAATTAATTTCATCAAATAAGCGTTACTAATAAAAAAGAGATATCACATTAACTTTTAATAATTCGAATCAGTTAAACAGTTGTATTATAAATAAACGGGCGAAGTTCTCTGAGAATGTGTAATTTCGAAAGAAATTATGTTTATTACAGAAACAAATTATACTCACAATAATGTCGAAAGTCTTTTGCAACATCGTCGAATAAGTTTCTTCTGTGCCTTCGTATGAATAAGTGGTGTTAAGGCTTTTAAAGCCGTAGTGAGAATGACAGCATCGACAGAGATTATCCATATTGTTAAATTCGAATAGTTTAATTCATAATGTTTATGAAAAGTTTATGTAAAATGTACTTCACAAACAAACGCTAAGTTTTATCTACTTCAAAAAGTGAAACTGACATCTGACATCTAATCCAACGACTGTCATCTGACATTCGACATTTATAATTACCAAAGACTATCTAACAGAGTAATAATTAATTATCTGTCGTAATAGAACATTGTCATCACAATGTTAAAATAAAAACCTACTTTCACTGCTTGATTCATTTTTTAATTGGAAAGCAAAGCGTTATTTCATACTGAGAGTTGAATATGCTATTTCCTTTTCTTTTTACAAGATTTATTGGTGATTTCATATTTGCGACAATAAAGATGCTGTCTGGGGTTCCTTTTCTTGTCAATTGTTAGTGTCAAATTGACATAATGATTAGCGCGTAGAGGTTGTCACTTGACTTGTCAACTTGTCATTAAAATCGATAAAGAGACGAGAAAGAAAGGAGAGTTTTATTACAATTTGTAATAAATGTAGTTAAAAGTGAAAATGCCCGAAACGATTATAGAAAGCGTCCTCACAAAAAAATTAGACACAGGGCTTTTAATTAAATGGTTAAACAACGAATCTATTGAGGTGAATACCTAACCTAAAGTGAAAATGTTTGTTTTGAAAATTCGGTGTTTTTTTAATGTTTTTATTAATTTACAGGAAGCTCCGAAGGATTGTATTTTATTATGTTGTAGTAAGAGCGAATTTGTTGCTCATTTTTTATCTTATATACGAAGTCAAACAGACAGGTAAACATAAATTTGTATAGTAAAATTGAAAATAAAAAAAAAATTTACTCGTTTAAAACTAGATAAAGAACTTTATCTTTTTAAAATTCTGTGATAAAAAGCTACAACTTTTATATTACTAATTAGCATTACTCATTAATTTGCTTAGTAGTTAGTGTTCACCTTTCTAAATTTATACCAAAGTCATTTATTTCTCATTTTGTTTTAGTATTTTACAAACAAATAGCAATGCAATACAGCTGCTTCAACAGCAACCTACTCCAGAGAAGATATTGTCAAGGAGGAAGCATCGAAGATCTGTGAGCGATCCAACAAGTGACACTGACCGCACAGCCGACAGTCTTAGTGTGAAAACAGACCACCAAAGTAGTCAAGGATCTCCCAACAGAGATCGCAAAAAGACAGGACGAAAAGTAAAAACAAAACTATTTCCCGATGATAAAATAAAAGATCCTTCTGTTTCACCTGATGAATCTAGGATATGCAGTGGAGTTAATAGATTGGTAATATCGAGTACACCAGTCAAAAATGGATACAAAAATGAATATCCAAATATTACAAGCCCTGTCACACCTAATTATCGTAGCTTCAAAGATAACTATGAGAGATGTGACACACCCAGAATATCACACAGACATTCTAGATCTCAAGAAAAAAATATTAGCTTAGGTGATTTTTTAGTCAATGCACAGCCTAAAAGTGGGAAAAAGAAACGAGGGAAAAATACATCTGACGATAATGATATAGATACAAAAGTCGATCTAGACCTCAGCAATTCGGAAATGTTTCCAGAAATAGGCGCTAGAAAGTCCAGTTCGTTGCGATCTGAGAGAAGACGCATCAAACCTACTAATTTAGATAAAAGTTCAAGTCAGAAAAGTTTCTCTTTGAACAATTTTAATGTTGAAAATTTCCAATCAAACTCTCCATTAGCTTTGGAAGAGAATTCAGCTTTTAAATATCAAAAAGTGCAGCCTAACGAATCATCAAATAGTTTTGAAATAGAGAGGAATATTTTAAAACAAGAACGACACAAGCTTATGGAGAAGTTTAACATTTTGAATACATCTACGTCACCAAAAATTGTAACAGCACCACAAATAAAAGTTACGCGTAAAGAATCGATGGATGTGAAACAGAGGTACATAACAGCTAATGCAAATAGTATTGTACATAAGGAATGGATAGATATTTTTGTCGAAATATATGATACGATACTAAAAAATAACCTAGTACTAAGTCTTAACACAGAATTGTACTTTCTTGTATCTATTTTGCTGTCGAAACAATTCAAAGAAGACAATGCAACTTTAGAATCTCAATTAGACGGTAGTAATGTTAGTGAAAATCTTTTAAAATCAATACACAACAGTACATATTTCGCTGTTAAGTCGTTATGGTGTCAACGAACTATATTAGAAGTTATATTAGATAAGAACTCATTGAAAATATTAGGTGAGAATAAGAAAGTTAGAAGTTTTTATCCGGAATTGGCAAAGTTTCTTTTGAACTCGTACGGACTTAAGGTTGAAGCTGAGATAAATCAGGACAAGTCTAAAATGACAACGGAATGTCGGGCCTCCAATGGTGTCATTTGTTTCAATTTTGAAACAGATAATGCCGATAATTTTCCGTCCCTACTAAGTTTTCAAAACTTTAAGAAGCAAAGAGACATGTTTTATGAAATTCTGAGGTTAGTTTCCAAAAAATTTTTTTTTATTCCATATTAAAGAGATGGCCAGAATGTATTTTAATGTTTTTAAATAGCAAATAACATTTTCTAATTAGTCTCGAATTTAAATTCAAAATATCGCGTAAACCCAAAAATTGAAAATTTACGACGTATTTTATATGCCATATTTTTTAGGTGGTATCAAGATACACAAACAACCGGGGGCTCCAGAACTACGTTTAAAGCTCGCATAAAGACCCTGCTTGCGTCAGGGCCGACCGCCGCCAACCACGCCCACCTCGCCGCATTATTCACCGCACATATGATAGCTGAGTGCTTACCGCCCACTTTACAGGTAAAAGTTAGTCAAAGAAGTTAGTTTCCTATCAATAGGACTTACATTAAAAAAAATCGCTATTTGTTTTTTTTTGTAATTCCAATGTAATACCTAATTTAACAGGAATCAAAGATGAGTAAGTTGCACAGACGGCTAACTTGCCCTAATGCGCCTGAAACTCATAGACTGCCGCTATTCTCTGACAAGGAGATTTTTTATAAGTAAGTAGAATTTAAAATACTTTTGGACATGATCCATTAGTTTCCGATAAATTATAGACTGATTTTTTTATTATTTCAGAGATTTTATAATGTATGCTGAGAACGAAAGCTTTCGTGTCCATTTACGGGACGCGTTTTCTACGGAAATAATAGTTTTAGATGCCTCTTCTATAGCCACTGAGAGTTGTAAGTTCACTTCAATGATGACGTCACAGTAGATTCTAGCATATTACCATCCCTCTTGTTCTCTTTCAAACAAACAGAGATAACAATAGTCATTTGAAATAATTGATTACAAATATTGTTTTTTTTTAGCCAATGAATCAGAAATATCAAAGGAGTTTTTACAGTTGTCTAAGAAGTTGTGCCTTTTGTCCAAGTTTCTTGGATATTTGACGTCTTTGCCTTATTCTCAAGTACCTGCAGATTTTACAACGAAGACAGGAGCTCTGATTGTTGCAACCTCAAAGGAGGTTAATTATGCACCTCCTAAAGAAAAAGTTTTAGAGAATAATCTTGCTTTGAGGAATTATGTAAGTATTGGAAGATATTTATTTTTAAATTAATTAACAACAATGTTTTAAAAGTTTTTGAATACAATAAAATCTTAACTAGCTTAAAATAATTCTATTCGCGTAAGTCTAGATTACAGTAATATAACATTTTTTTACCTATTCGACAATTATTTTGACATATATTAATTACCAGTGTTGCCAGATTGCTACATTTCTAATGTATTTTTTTTTATTTTCCAGAGTCAACCGTCTATAGATTTAAGTGGAATAATAATAAATTCCGATGAAAATGGTCGCTTATGCATCACAGTTCCGTGGATTGTACATTACCTGTCGATGCTCGACTATACGACGCTGCGTATAAAATACTACCAAAACCTACTAAAGTTGCTATTCAATATATACGAAATGAAATTAAAAATTCATCCAATAAGTTTGCTAAAAAAGAACACGGTTATATTTTTAAAATCGATTTTAGGATGGTTATTCGATTTGCCACATTTCCCTCAAGAATTTTTTTATGAAAGTATAACTTGTAACGTCAGTGTTGCCAGTGAGAATGCCATAGATTATTACGATTTGATCGATGAATCGATTTTATTTGAGTTGTGTCCGATTTTAAAGGATGTGAATGTTTTACTATCGACTTGCAAAGTGTCACACGATCAGAAAGATATGGGCAGTTTTAGACACATAACGCCTGTCAGCTTGAGTTTAAACATGGAAGACCGTATGAGGAACAAAGAAAAGGAATTACAGGTAATTATATAAACCTGAGTCGTCAGGACGTCGCACAGTGTTTCGCGTTGTATGGAGAGGTTGGCCAAAATGCCAAACACGAAATTGAAGTATTGTAAAGCCCAAGAACCGTTGATTGTCATGTGATCTTACAAATACTCTTTTGCAAGCATTGTAATGTTTTTTCTGTGTATTTCTACCCCATAGTATGTACTACAGAATTATAGCTGAGGGTGTGTTCTTTTAGATGTCATTTAAATTTTGTGTGTCCTTTTCCGGCGCCCATACTAATGTAGCCTAAAAACCGTAAAAGTGCATATTTATTGATTGGCGTATGTACATAATTATTATATTTTTGTTAATACAATAATTCAGTGACTAATTTACACATATTTATATAAAAACAAAATAAATATCTCCAAATTTGTTAAAAAATATTCAAAAATAATTATTGCCAACCTCCCCATACAACGCGAAACACTGTGCGTCGGTGGCTCAGTGGTTTAAGCACTAGACTTGTAATCTACAGGTCTTGGTTTCAATGATCTTTAGAATCGAAACTTATTCAATACTAGCTATTGCTTGCGATTTCGTTCATGTGAATAATAAAAATATAGCCTATGTTACTAACAGATAAATTACTTTTCTAATTGTGAAGGAATTTTTAAAATTATCCTAGTAGTTTTTGAGTTATTTCAATACATACAAAAATACAAAAATACAAATCTTTCCTTTTTATATTATTAACTGTTGCTCGCGACTTTGCTCGCTATATTCTCGAAATTAAAAATATGGCCTATGTTACCAACAAATAAATTACCTTCCTAACGGTGAAAGAATTTTTAAAATTGGCCCTGTAGTTCTTGAGTTATTTCAATACATACAAAAATACAAATCTTTCCTCTTTATAGTGTTAACATACATGAACAATAAAATAAAGCCGTCGTTCCTATACAACACGTTTTACCAACGCAGGCTCGTTTAGAAGAAGAATTCCTGAAGACCCAGCCATCATCAAGCCGGCGTGTGTTGGAGCTGGTGATGGAGCGCGTGACGTCAGGCGCGGTGAAGGAGGTCGCGGCGCAGCTGCTGGCGCAGCGCCGCGCCACCGCACGCGACAGCGCCTGCGCATTAGTCAACAATACTGAAGATAGTGTTAGTTACACTTTAACAAGAGTTTTTTACTTAGTAATTGTAAAGAGATGACGGTTTTTAGCTAATCGGGTTCCTTAGATTTCGAAAAACTCATTTTTTTATAAAGGAGATATTTTCTAAGGTTGAAACTGATAAGTGTTTGACCAAGCACCAAAAATTAAAAAAATATCAAGTGAAGTGGAAGATAGTTTTGCAGATTTAAGAGCAGATTTTCAACGCAAATAAAATTAAGCTCTATTTGATTCAGATAAGGTTAATTTTAACCTTATTTCAATCGGATAAAGCTCAAATTCTATTGATATAAAATATACTCTACTCAACTCCGGTCTGTGTAACTAAAATTCATAACTGTAGGTGTTTAAATTACGCTACTATATTTTTCAGGGAACTCTCCTCAAGTCGCTAGAGGCGTTATACAACTCTGAGCTTCAGCAGCTGCGGGGCGAAGCCCTGTCTGTGGGCACGGCGTCAATAAAGCGGCGCGCGGGCGCTGCGCTGGCGGCGTTATTGCCCGCCGCGCCTTCGCCCCTCCTGTCTCTCGCAGTTAAAGGCTGTGTGAATAGACTCAATAAGTGGCTTAATGATAATTGGAGTACTACAGGTTAGTTATAAGTTCCACTAATTGATGTTGCTATTCTTAAATTAATTGTTGCGATTCCTTACTTTTATAAAACTTAATCTACACATAATGACACACTTAGTGATTACTTTGGACAATGTTAGAGTCTGCAATAATTTTTTATTGACCCAACACTATTACAAAATCGGTGGGACTTTTCCTCCTGAACTGGAAATAATATGTATTGCATTAACAACTCTTTGAGTGGAAGTCATTACGCGAACACTTTAAAATGTATGCGAGCCGGAAGCCTAGTTTTACATTTTATAATAGAAAACAAGATTGGCACACAACGATAATATCCTCTCTATTTTCCTTCCATCGAATGTATGCAACGCGTCTGGTAATTACAGATACCTGTGCAGTTTGTTTCCTTATCTAACGACTCTATGACATATTGTGGTTTTTTCTCATTATTATCAATATTCCAGCGATTCTCTGCAAGGATATCCAGCAAGAGATGAAAACATTGCAAGTGATAGGTGAGGCGGTGTCCGGCCCCGCGCCCGCGCCGCCAGACCTCGCGCACATGATGCTGCCTGACGACACGTTTGAACACACACACGTCAGCCCGGCAGTCGCAGTTATCAACCTTAAAGTAAGCACATAAGGTTGACATTCGAATAAACATGGTTGAGTAATTAAGAACAAAAAGTCGCGGACTATAGATAACATAAAATTAGATCCTTCGTAAATCTATTTTTTTAAATCTTGTTGGTGATTTGGTGATGAATATTATATGAAAAAATACACCAATTTATAGATAAAATAACCTACATTCTTATTCGTTTATGTGCCATAAAGTAGCGTTAAGCGAAGGAAAATCCAAATTAAATAAGCTTAATTTTAAAAAAAACACGACAATTTGTCTAACGTATTAAAATAACGCCATCTATGCCATAAAAGCAAACTTACATATCCAAAAATCATTACCCTCTTTGTTGAACGGGTCGTTTGTGATTGATTTTTTCATTCGTTAACCAGGAGCACACTTGCATGCTGTTGGACTACGATGATGTGCCAGATGCGACTGCATTACTGGCATCTTGCGCGCTGGCTTGCTCACCCACTAACATATTCAGTCGGCCGCCTACACAGCGCGCTCTGTTGCAGCTCAGTGTTGATTACTGCATCGTATTTGGTAAGTTAATTATGTCCCAGAGTCGGTAATTAAAAACCGCAGACGTGTAAACCTAATTTGCAATAAGTAATTAACAAGATGGTGCCAAGGCTAAACTAATTTGTTTCGATACCGCTAGATGGCATTGTCTTAAATCAATTTAAAATCTCACTTTCACTAGATGGCGTTGTTATTCAATTCGTTTGACATTTTGTACCAACTCGATAAGTCAATATTCTATAAAAGTATAATTTAAATATGTTTTTCAGTAAGTCGAAAACCTGAGCAAGTGGATGATGTTTTTCTCAACAAATTACACGCTATTTGGAACACATGTTGTCCTGATAGACCAAAACAAGCTCCACAAGAAATACTGTTACCTGAGAGAAGATCGGAGTTATCGCCTCAGTTCAGGAACTTCGAGGACGAGGAGCGCGCGCCGACGCCGCTCAGCGATGATGACAATGAACAGAAGATAGATGGCGCTAATATTAATATGGAGAAAATTATCGTTGTTGTGGATGTTTCTAGTCCAGAAGTAAAGAATGGTAAGTAATTTACTAACTTTTGACCGTAATTTGTCCGGGATTAAAAAAATCATTAAGCTGTTTTGGGGATAAGTATTAACAAACATCCATCCGTCCAGTTCAAACTTTCGCATTTATTATATTAGTATGTTTTGAAATGAAGTTATCGAGTTGTTAATCCGTAATTTTGTTTCAATTTATTAGAAATTCGTTGCACAAACATGTCTATTTTTAATATGTTTGTGGATTGTTATAATTTCTCATTTTAATGATATCTAATACACTATGTAATTAAATTTATAACTAATACTTAATTTCGATTTTGTTTATATTAAACGAATTTAGTCGATGCCGTCAACGAATTATCAAACATGAGTTGAGCCGTCCTTAATTCAAGATAATGTCTTACGAAAGTTTAAACAATTTAATTTGTATTTATCGTATATTTGTATTTATTTATTGTATATTGTATAGTGTTGTAAATAAATTTAAATTCCAGCATCTTTAGATCAATCGAAGACTGACCGTCAGGAAGAGAACCCGCTTCTGAAGACATTCGACCGCGTGCTGTGTCCCCGGAACATAGTGCTGCTGAGCCAGTCGCGCTGCGCCGCGGCCGCGGTGTGGCAGGCGCTCGCCACATTACTTGTATTTCTATTGAAAAATGACTATTTAAGTGAAGACTCCCTCACGGAACAGTGTCTAGCTGTATATAGACAGGATTGGCCGCAGGTAACCAAATTTAAACCGCGTTTTACCGATTTCAAGTAAAGTTTAAGTAAGTGGTTATAATTTTTATGTATGGGCGCCCCGTCAAATTAAAAAAAAAAAGTATGTTTTACTTTTTTACTCCTGATTCATCTTTTCTCTCCTGAGTAGGCTAATTTAAAAAAAAGCGTCAAAACGTAAACGTCGAAATAAATAAATTATTTAGAAAACCTATCAACCTCCTTAATCTATCAAAAAATAAAAAAAATGTACTGCTTTTTGTTATATTATATCTTTTCTCTCTTAACCAATAAAAATAAAAGGTACATGTCGAAATTTAAAAAAAAAACCTATCCAACCCCTGAACCCTATAGGGATATAGGAAAATATAGACCACTTGCTTGATAAGCTGTTTATAAAAATTTGTAAATAGTAAACACTTATATATACATTTTGTTATTTTTTTTAATTGAAGTGCATTTAATTACTCCTTAACTAGACCAGGAATTTTATATTCACTGCCTACACTAAATGTTAAATTGCTGTTTAACATTATTTTAAGTCTTATATTACTCAAAAACCATGAAACTCATTTAGCATTTTTTATTACATTTTAAAGAAATTGAATTGATGTTACAGAATATTCTAGAAAACCTATCTACTTGTATGAAGTCGGTGTCGTCTCGTTGGTCGCGCGCCGCCACGGGCAAGTTCACGCTGTTCCTAGACTTCCTGGCGGAGTACTGCGGGGATATGGACTACGACCCTATTGCCTAGGCTTTAAACACAAAGTTAAACTTAGGAATAAACTGAGTATAAGCAGAATTTGTACTAATTGCTTATAATCAGTTTATTCCTAAGTTTAATTTTATACCGCGTTTATTTGTAAGGCTGTAAATCTAACCTTCAAACCGATAAGTGCACGGGTTGTTAAATCTTTAAGGGACTTTATGTGATAAGTATGAAGAAATCAATGTTAAATTTATTATTTAATAACTCGAGCATTTTATAGCAACTTTTAAATCAATTGTTGGCAATTTGATATCTCGGTGCAATTAAATGTAGTCGATAGTAACATAATAAAATGTAACACCTTAAATATGAAAATTGGCTTGTAATATTAGGTCTTTTTGGACGGTCGGTAAAACAGTTTCAATGTGAAATAAAAGATGTCAATATTTTCACCACAAGCCGATAGATGGCGTTTTAACTAATTTTATACAAGCAGAAAAAAATGTTTTATTGAGTTTGTTTTTGTTTATTGAATTAATCTAAATTATTTTGAAATTACCGCAGAAAAAAAATGGTTTGATTTGAAATAATTCATATTATAGTCGTCAATTACAAATGAATAAAACAATTTGAAGTTTCGATTAAAGTTATGTATACTTAGTTAAGAGAGAAATGGCTGCCTTTGAAAACACCATAGTATTGTAATATTTACTGTACAAATAGAATTAATTAGTAATAATTGATGTAGCGATTATAAGATAAAAGTACAAAGTTTGGCAAACATGTGCCAAACATTTGGTCAAATAGACATAGATTTTTTTTAAATAACTACCGTAAAATAATCGAAAACTGTAGTAAAATGTTTGTAAAATACAATCAGGAAAAAAATATTTTCAACGACATCTTTAGACTAATTCAACACTGCCAGCAGACAGATTTCTTGACACCGCACTCAGAGACGTGGAGTGGCTTAGTACAGATTTATTATGAGTTCATTGAGGGACTCCCTTATTGACTAATTAAAGCTTTGAGTGCGGCGAAAAATGTTGCTTATAGTATGTGATGATAGGCGTAAGGCGTTAGATGTGAAGGTAAAAAATAGTATAAGAATGGCTGTATATTATTTTTTTTAATATTATCATCAAAAAAAAAAATTGTTGACTCAAAACCGTCATGTATATTTTTTATCTTCCAAATTTCGTTATGAATTTCATTTAATTTTATTACTATTTATAAATTTTGATCACCTTACACCGCAAATCGATAAAAGGATAAGGGCCTGTATCACCACTGGCTGATAGAGACTCAGATAGCTTAAAAAATGACGTCACTGTCAAATAAGTGAACAAAATCCGATGTTTCCATCACATATTTTACACGTTAGATTGCTATCAGACAATTTACAATTTGGTGTAAGTATTATATATAAATTAAAAATGACCGTAGCTCAATTTCTCATTAGAAATATAAAATGAAAGGGATATTGACAAATAAATGTTATCTAGAACACCAATTATAAATTAAAATAATATTAAGAATTTTTTAATAGAGTAATGCTTGCAGTTATTTTGAGAGCAATGTTTGATGTACGCTTTTGTACGAAATTGTATTTTAAACTGTGTTTGAAATTAATTGACAGATTTATTGTCATCCTTAATATACCCTTTGAAAAAACAGAGACAACCTATGTTTGATTTAGAATGACAAAGTTATTTCAACTTTCTTAACACATTTACGGCTAAATATCGAAACATTTAAATATGAACGTCGTAAAAGTTAGAAAACCGATAATGAATTGACGCGGATTCGTTTGTGAAATCCGAGAATAATTAAAACATATTCATGTAGAATATAAAAATTATTATTGATCTGTATTTGTTAAAAATGTTAAAATAGTTTAGCAAAACGATTTACTATTGTAATAAGTTTCAACATTAGAATCGAATGTCTATTTTCGTATTTTTACGAATGTCAAATTAATTTCTTTTTTGAATTTGGCTGTGAGTTGTCATGACTATAAAATTTAAATATTTAGACACGTTTTGATATACTTTTAACATATAAACGAATATGTTAATAAGGATTCAGCTCTTAACCAATGATGTTGCAAAATCGCTAGATGGCGCTGTGCTTTCTTATTAATCGATGTACGAAATTTTATTGAACATTGCTTACGAGTTAATTTGTTGTATTTATTTACAATGTGTAGATATTTAACGTTTTTTTTATCCAAGAAGCCATTTAAGTCTTATGTTTTTGTTAGATATTTTTTGTAATTAAAAAATAAAATGTTTACAGATGTAAATAGGTTACGATTTAATTTTATATCGCTGTATGTTATGTTTTTAAGATTAAATAAATAAAGTAAACGGTACATATTACAAAAATTGATAAATTACTTGTCTAATAACCACAACCTAAACCTCATAATTGCAGGTCGATTATACCTTTATAAAGCACGTGCAGAGTAAAACTTTCAGCTTTTATAAAATAAGGAAGGTCTAGTTGTCGCTGGCTCTAGAGCTAAAAGGAGAGATTGGGATTTTGTGAAATAAAAGAAATGATGTAGAAAAAAAAAACATGTAATTATAAAATTTAACGTCACTTTCTACACAAAAGAAATGCACGAACATCGATATCTTATAAATTTGAAAGCTGGTAATGAGGTCCGTTTGCAGTTGACGATGAAACGAACCTCTCACATAGTAAAATTTACTAAACAGAGAAATGCTATAAATATAATTTATTTACAGGAATCATATAATTTCACTTATCCATACACACTCACAATATTGGTAAAAAAATATTGTTCTATTGTTAAATTCACATTACTCATATTGGAATACACTTCACGTTTAATGTCTGAAGTTAGCTTCGCAAAAGCACAGCTCACGGGTGCGAGCGAGACAGCATACACTAGACTGGTAAGTGCGAGAGAGAAACGTTTCGAGACATGCAACTTGTTGCTAACTTCACGCAGATTAACGCGATATATAACCTATTTTTAGTTAATAATATACACATTTAGATATTATTGATACAAAATTATTACTATGAGTTTTGCACATTTAGTATAACTAACAACCGTTTATAGAAACGCAGCCAGGTCTTGTATTAAAAGTTTATAATAAGAGGTGAAAAATCGTTGACTTTTGAGAATATTTTTAGATAACTATAAATAAACACTAAAATAGATGCAAGAGTATATTTAGAAGTTATAAGATCATAAATCATTATTTGATCATTTTGTTTTGATACAATATTTACCATACTTTTAAGTTTTTTTATTTATTGCTTGAGAAAAATGACATAAAAGTTCTAAAAATATAAATAGGATAGGATAGGAACATAATTATATTTTTAAAAATGTCTTTAATTTACCCTGTAGTTCTACTTATTGTGGAGTATTTAAAAGACCTGGCAACGGATCGTTGCTCCCCACCTTAATTCTATTTACTAAAACTTTGAAATTACATTTAATATTGACATTAATTTGTTTAATATTAACTTTGTGCTACACATATCATTTTTACAAATTATTTCACTCAATTAAGTACACATTGTTAGTTAATTACACATCTTATTTGTGTATTTATGTATTAATTTGTGACATTTAACTAATTATAATGAATTTTTTTATCGTCATTTGGCAATTGATCGTATTATTTACAAGTACTGTGAATTCAACAATGATTTTACGCACGACTTAGAAGAATTTTTTTGCTTGTGCTTCTTTTCTTTCTCTGAAAAGATAAAATAAACAAATTAAATCACGCTATACACTGTAAAATAATCATACTATTATAAATTATAAACACGAAAGTTTAGATGGAAGGATAGACGTTTGTAAGAGTTTTTAGCTTAAATGACTGAATGGATTTCGATGAAATTTGGTATGAATGTAGAAGATAGTCTGGAAGGATATATAGGCTACTGCCTTTTACTTTTTTAATTCCACGCAGACGAAGTCGCGGGCGAAAGCTAGTTATTCATAATAACTTATTATTATTTTATCACAGAAATAAATGTGCATAAAAGATCCTGGATTAGAAAAATATTCAACAATGTTGAAGACGGACTTAATATGAAAAATGAATGTTAACATCGCGTTCTAAAACACCTGTGACGCCATCTAGTTAACGTAAAGTACATACTTGTACAATGTGTAGAGGAACATGAGTGTGAGCTGCGCGGCCACCGCCAGCAGCAGTGTGGTGGTGCCCACACACGACACCTCGGGGCACGACGACTGCGCCGACATTTGAGGGGCTTGCGTCAATCTGTAACGGGATAGTAATTTATTTGTATACAAAAATTGATAAAACCACAAGATTAGTAAATTTATTTGTTGGCCATTTTTGACAATTTCATACAAATTTTCTGTATACTAAAAATACCAAAATTAAACAAAATTGGTAAACGATTTCTTACTTACTTAGCTAACTTAACTTACTTAAGTTCTTATAAAAATGGACTCAAGAGAATCGTTACTATTAAATATGTGAATTACATTATTTCCTCTACGATAAAAATACTCGTTATTGATTACTATATCACCTCTGTGCGACTCCATTAATGGCCTGTTTGACTTGATTGACATTGTCCCTCATCTCGTTGAGGAACTGCGGGTTGATGGCCGCGCCCCCCGCCCCGCCCGCCGCTCCTGCCCCGCCCGCCGCCAACAGCGAATCAGACTTACGAGACACGTCGATAATAAAACCTCTGAAAAATACCACAAAAGCAACAATTAAAAATCACGAAAAAAAGGTATCTAATATTATAAATAAGAATTTAAAGATGGATGGATTTTTGTTAGAAGGCTCTTACAAAAACGGTTCAACGGATCTAGGTAAAAATTGTCACAGATGTAACAGTCTTGAGGACACAAAGGTTTTTTAATGCCGCGCAGATGCAATCGCGGGTTTATGCTTAATAAGTATAATTTTTCTTATCCGTTATTTCATTTAACCCCGATATCTTCGTGATGTAGTTGTATACCCAATATAGTAAAGTTAATTAGTTGCCAGATTTCGAATGTATGGCTTTCTATAGCCAAATTAAAATCTTAATATCGTATATATGAGTTAGTCTACATTTGTATGCTTACTTGAGTTCAGCAATAGTGTTGATCATCAGCTGGTTATTAGCGACAAGCGCGTCCCAATCCTGTCGCCCAATAGGCAGCGCTGGCATCTGAACAATTATAAACAATAAAACTTAGTTTTAGAGACAATCTCGGTGCAATTTAACTGTTTTCTAGATAAATACCTGCATGGGAGGTTGTCCGGGCTGTACGGGCTGTATGGGCTGTCCTTGCGACTGGCTGTACACGGCTGTCAACATTGATAGCGAGTTCATCTGCTTGCCGATCACCTGAAAATAGCAAATTCAATTGTTGGTCCTTCGAGTCGGATAAAATCTTTATTTAGCTTGTATTAATACGTATTTATGTATACCAATATTATTATTTTTCTATGTAGTACATTTTTAATTATTTTATTTTCTTTCAAAAAACATTTAATTAATATCATTCTATTTCTATCATATTTTCGTAGAAAAAAAAATACTTTTTATTATTTTCCTTTACTAGACTATCAAAATTATAATAAATGCTTTAGTTACCTCGTCAACTTTTTTATTGAGATCCCTGAGGATGTCGTGTATCTGTCCCTGGCCCTGGAAGATCTGTCTCAGCTCGCGCTGGCCGTCGGACTCGAACCAGTCGTCGAACTCGCCCTCTTTGTCGCGCACCTGCAAAATTACATATGAGAAAATGCAACGAAATGATATAGAAGAACATATTTATGAGGTAAAATCTGGTACATGATTTTAAATAAGATACAATAAGTTTTAAAATCTCAAACAGGGGTCAGCAACATTTTTGTTTTACGATTTTATTAAAAAAATTATTTCTCAAAATTTGTACAGAGGAATTCTTACTCATTATTTAGTTGCATATTTTTTCTTTATTATTAATGAGAAAAAAAAGTTTTATATTGAGAGTAAGAACTTACTTCATCAGGATGCTCCTTCCTGTACTCAGTCTTCTGCTGCTCCAACTTTTTCTGGTACTCCTGGTATTCCTGCGACAGTTTCTGCTGTTCGTCGTTGCTGATCTGCTGACCACCTGCAACATAAAAAAATCATTTAAGATCCCATATTTAGATACTTATAGTTTCTCGAAACGACTAAAAAAAAAGAGAAAGGCTGAATTACATGGGTTTGGATAAAACCTACTTTAGATAAAAGGAAATACTCTTTTCTTCTTGTATTTTTTTACTTTTTCAACTTTTGATATTTATGGATTTTAGGAATATGGTTAAAAATATCTATGGTTCGCCCATAAGTCGAAATCCGACCATAGTTTATAAACTGTTTTCTCTTCTTGTATTAATATTAAAAATTAGCTTACGCACGCGACTCCGTCCGCATGAAATTAAAAAAAAAATCAAGTAGCCTAAGTGTTCTTCCAGACTATCCTCTAGATCTATGCCAAATTTCATCCAAATCCATCAGCCATTTAGGCTACAAACTCTAACAAACATCCATCCATCTAAACTTTCACATTTATAACATTAGTATGATAATATAACCTTGTTGCTGCGTGCTGTGCAGTGACGTAGTGAGGAGGTGTATGACGTCATGGTCGTCCGCCAGCCCGCCCGTCGCCGCGGACAGACCGAAGTGTCCGCCGCGCGGCAGCGCCACGTTCTCCGCACGGAAACACAACTCGTAGTCCTTTTCGTTATTCGTCATTCCTGTTTATACAATATACACTTTAATACCTATAGGATAAGGTTCATTTTTAATCAAACATGATTGTGTTAAAGAAATTAATACTTTAACTGCTGCAATATAAAGATTTTGTTACTTGTATCATTTGTCATGCTTGTAAAGTACTGTTTTGAGTATTGCCTGGACCACATTTGGCCAGTACAGTTGTAGCGCAGCCTAGGCATGTTCTGTATATCCTGACTGGTGCCAGTGTTGTCACTATGCCAGTTGAATGATATTCTAATTGTTTTGCTACCTTTCCAACTGTACTGGCCAGGTGCTGTGCATATTGTTATGATAAATTTAAAGCGTGAAAGCACTAAAAATTACTGTTTAGATATATTTTTGATTTACTCTTACGAAAGATAAACATGGCGATGCGTCTACATTACAATGAGCACTCTTTTATTCGCTTTTTTTCTTTATGTTTGATTTTTTAACACATTTTTTTTCTCTACATTTTAACATTTTCTTTAAAAAGCAAATTAACTACTACTGACCATTGTGGAAGTACACAGTAAGCGTGTTGAGGTAGTATTCAATACGAGCGCGCGTCGGGAACGGCTTGTTACGGAAGTCTCGCAGGCAGCCGGACAACAGCTGCGTTGATCCATCACTATACCAAACAAACACAATAATGTAAATAATAACTAAATAACTATATAGATAAATGTATATATAGTACAAAACATAAGAACCTATTCTTTAAAGTCAATCTGATGACTTGTTTGTTTAACTTTTATTGAAAACTAGCTTTCGCTCGCGACTCCGTTCGCATGGTATTAAGAAAAACAAAAGTAAGTAGCCTATGTGTTCTTCCATACTCTGCTCTATCTATGCCAAGTTTCATCCAGATCCATTTAGCCGTTTAGGGTACAAACTCCAACAAACAGCATTCGCATTTATAATATTAGTTAGAAGTTAGATTAGATCAAATTTAAATTTATTGGTAATTTGCATCTTGTTACTCTATATTGAATGGATTAACATATCTATTTTCGTTAGAACATAGTTAATAGTCAATTAAGTTATAAACATTTCAGTTTTAATGAATAATTTTATAATGCACTATATTTGGTGCAATCGACATGTAATATGCATTTTCTTTTGGAAAATTTTACACCATATGACATTTATTTGCATTTTTAATCTGTAAAATTATCATGTAAACTTGTTTCACAAGTCCAAGATTAAAACAAACAACTTTAATAAAAGCCAGAGAAAATATTTATCAAGTATATAGATATATAAATAAATAGACTAGGTATAGTAAACATTTTTTCATCTGTACTTTCTCTGAAAGGTACTGTACTGTTGGCAAGTTTAATGACACCTATTGGTATTTAATTTTTATACAACTAGCTTTCGCCCCCGACACCGTCCTCGTGGAATTAGTTAAAAAAATAATAAGCGAGTAGCCTGTGTTCTTTCTGAATATCTTCTACATCTATGCGAAATTTTATAAAGATCCGTTCAGCCGTTTAGGCTACAAACTCTAACAAACATCCATACATCCATCCATCTAAACTTTCGCATTTATAATATTAGTAAGAGTAAGATTAACAATATTGCCACGAGGATCTATCAATAGACAGTTTTGTTGTGAATAAGTAAAAATTTTTAGGTAAAGTGTCAACCATGCCTACTCTATGTATTTGAATCTCTTTGGCACTTACCTCTTGTGGTCAAAGTTCTTTGTGCCATCATTGACAACCGCCATTATATAGGGGTTGTTGTGTTTGTTGTCATTATCAAAGGAGTCAAACATAACAGCGAGCCCATTCCATCGGTCTGATGAACCAAACACATCACCATTGTAGTCACCACGTTGCGTCGTATACCAGAATGCCTGGAAAATATTTTTTTAATTAATAATTTCATAAAGTAAAAAAGAAATAATTGGAAATAAACATTATAATATTGTTCTTGTTTTCATCCCAAAAATTTTTCCAGCTTTCCATAGGTGTAAATATGGGTCATTAGAATTGTCCTATTTTGGGTTCGAACCCACGTCCACAAGATTGGTAGTCCTCAGTCATTATGTTATTCACGAATCGGTACTTTATTTTAGAGTCAATAAAATTATTAGATAAATATTAGACTAACCAAACCATCAGCTCCTATTCTCCCTCGGCCGGTGACCTTGAACATGACGTCCACCTCCCACCAGTCGAAGTTAATCGGCTGCTTGGTCCATATCGCGCCCTTCTGACTGCGCAGCGACGGCGCCAATCGGACGCTTTCTCCTGATGCTATCGCATCTGTACAGATAGATTACATTTTGTAAATACTGTAACAAATGAAGGGAAAATGCAGCGGAAACTATGAAGTGGACATTAATACAGACCAGATGCATTGTTGGCATTTCTAAAAGTATGATAGCTTGGTTTATTAAAAATGTTAATAGTGTCATTAGTGATTCATTTATTTAACTTATTTAAGTACACTTTAGATTTCAAGAAATACTAAGTACACAATTAATGTTGGATACAGAGTAATAACAGGGATACAACGTCTTTAGAAACATATATTTTTTTTTTATAATATAAGGTGGCAAACGAGCAAGCGGCCACCTAAATCCGCCAAAATGGCGAAGCGACCGCTGCCCATAGACATCCGCAATTGCAGATGCGTTGCCTACCCTTATACGATGGAGGAGGAGACGCATATAAACAGGATATTTCCCCTTCCGATGCATCTCCTCCACCGTCAAATCCACTTCCCCTTCCCATCCTCTCCTTATGAGAAAAGGGTGGTGAAGGGAAAGGGACTTAAATTAGGCCTCCGGTACATATACAGTATAACCTCGATAACTCAAACCTTGGTAACTTAAAAACTTCTATAACTTCAAAAAATAATATGTTCCCTTCCCATCAGAGCCCAAAACCTCTACATCATAGACTCTTGATAACTTAAAATATTTTGTGTTTCCCTTGGACTTTAACTTATCAAGGTTCTCCTGTATTATTTCATTACAATTGTGTAGTACTATGAGAATTCTAAAAAAAAAATATAAAAAGGTTTTTTTCTCTTAAAGCTAACATTTGTGTAGCTCCAATAGTTATAGCAATATACATTGGACTTATCAAGACAATCCAACCATAGCATACAAAATTAGTCAAAGCTGTAAAATGAAATGTAAATATTTGAAATGTTACTGCCTTTATATTAAAAGGTGAAGTAAAAGTCATTCCACTATTAAATGTTTAAATTTGATAAGGCTGTAACACAGTAAATCTGTTTTATTAAATAAAAAAATTAAAATAGAGAAAAAATAAGATTCCTCAACTGCAGAATCTTGTTGTTAAAACTAACAAAAGTTTTAACTACATTAATCTTAATACAACTTGATTGATGTAAATGTGTTAATTACAATGTGTTAGCTATGCTTAGATCACTGATAAGTAGCTCATTATTTACGACTTTTATCAATTATTATCCATTCGCTACTGATATATTCATATGCTACCAATAAAATGCCATATGTATACATTTACAATCCCTGTATCAGCTTTCAAAAATTTGATAACACTATACTACACTATACATTATACTATAATTATTGTAATTATGTTAAATTGTGATGTTTATCTAAAAGGGAAGTTTGTTAAGAGAAGCCAATGTAGTTTAAAAGATTGATCTTTGTATCAACTCTTGATGTAATTAGGCACAGATGTAGAACAGTCTGGAGGAAATGAAAGTGTTTAATTTAGTAATTTTATATCATGCTGATATTGTAGATTACGCAGAAAATTGCACGGTGTCATTTTGATGATTTAACCTCAATAAAGTGCAACAATAACAAAAATGTAGCTGACAGTATGAACGATAAAAGTAGGCAATTATTTAAGATGTTTTTAACACTTATGGAAGCAAAATTTACATTTGTGCTATATTAGACTTTCCATACATCTTTTAAAATAGATATTTTATAATTATAACTTGAAATTATAAAAGTGAAAGAATACAAAGACTTATAAGTTTATCGCACAGTTAATGTATTTTAAAGGGGATATTTAGTGCTGATGGATATTAAAAACTACTTCAGGCAATTAATTGGGTTCAATCCATTAAGTTTAATTGGTAAATGGTAAGAAATGTTAAGTAGCAAATTAAGTGCATCGAAATATTTAGAATGAAATTAGACATATGGCACGTAATTGCTATTTCTATATTTTTCTTTTTGTTGTTAACATGTTTAATTACTTTTAACACCAACCGTAACCATACCGAATGCTGTCGTGGAACTAAAAACAAGAATCGAAACCCATTCTTTTGTCACTTTCTTACAAGATCAAGACATATAAATCCATCTCACTCTAATCTGACAGTTTTCACTGACGTGTCGGTGTCAATTAAAACTACCTCAACAACAAGGGATTTTTACCGAATATGCAATTTTTATAACTTAAAAAACACAACATAATGAATAAATTATTTACTTTCTAAGCAATAGAATGCTATATGAATTTTGCACAGTGAATATTTCGTAAAGGAAACAAGAATAAACTGTACTTACTGCCACCGTATTCCCAAAACGGAACCGTTCCATCTTTTTGAGCTAAATATGGTGGTTTAAAAGAATATTTATACTCAAACCGTTTGTGTACTGTTTGAGTGTTTATACTAAAAATAACACTAAGCACCGTACATATTAATAAACTTAATTTTGTCGAAGACATGTTCACGGTATAGATCGCACACGGCTCGCGAATTTATGTCACATACCAATTGTCAAGTGTCATGTGTCGAATCTTGACGGTTACTAATTAGTGTTGCCATATTTCGAGGTTACTGAATTGCATAGTTTTTAAAACACACAATAAGTTCTTAAATACTTTTTTTTAGTAACGTGAAGCAGAATTCGTGTAGGTTTATAGATTGACGGCATTTAGAAAACTTCCGACATATTTTACCTAAAAACTTAGTTTATTTATGGTTATTAAAAAAATCCTAGGTCCTTTGAACAAATTTATTTCGTCAGTAAACAACACGTTTGTAACATAAGTGGTCTTTTAAAGGGATAGTAGGGATTATCCAACCATTTTAACTGCGGAATAGTTCTATATTCACGGTCATATGCTTTCAAAATCGATTTTTCTTCCTCCGTTAACTTAAAATCGAATACGTCTATGTTCTGTTCAATTCTTGATTTTGTCAATGACTTTGGTAGAGGAATAACGCCCAGTTCGATCTGGAATGGTAATTATAAAACATCATAATTTCAACTTAATTGAAGTAACAAAAATTGTGATATAATCACAATATGATGTATAATTACCAAATATCTTAGTGCAATTTGTGGCACAGTTTTATTATATTTTTCGGCGATTTTGACCAAAGCGGGATCGTCTACACGAGGTGGTGGTGCATTTGGTTTCGCTTTGCTGTAGAATAAGGAGCCGAAAGGCGTGTATCCCATCACTACGATATTTTTCTCTTTACAATACTTGAGTAATTCCGGTTGCTGTAGATTCAAATTAAGCTGAAAAAAAAGTATTACTATTTTATACTGGCAATATTACATTGTAGGTTACGTTTAAAAAACTTGAACTCCAAACTTTTTGACGTAGAAATACTTCACGTAAGTTCACGATTTTGCTTGGTACATTTGGCTTGATTTTGCTCATAAGTTGGCATGGTAAAAAGTTAAAACTGACGCCTTAAAACTTCATCTGTGGAGCTCTGTTTCTTTCGTTATTACAAATAACGTTTTAATACGAACCTCAACTTGCAGTACTGCGGGCATCTCCAATCCGTTTTCCAGGATTCTATCGATCATTTGCTCGTTGAAGTTAGACAATCCAATCGATTTGGCGAGCCCCTGATTTTTGGCATCCATCATACCGCGCCATGTCTCCAGATAATCCGTCAAGTCATACGTTAGATTGGCCTAGAAAGACACACTGCTGATAAGATCTGCTCATACCTTTTTAACTTTATTTTAGTCTGTTTAGTTTATCTAAATAAGATTTAAGAACTTACGAACTGTCCGACTGGCCAGTGAATGAGGTAGAGGTCGACATAATCCAAGCTCAGTTTTTTTAAAGATTCCCGTAGAGCTGGGACGACTGCGTCACGCGCGTGACAGTCATTCCATAACTACAAAAAAAATTATGCAAATTAAATGCTATTTCATATTTTATTTGAAAAGAAAAAATGTAACAAAACGCCGTGTGTTTTCTACTCATAAAGGCTAGGGAGTATCCATTACCTACGATACCTAGAAGTGTGGAATAAGACTGGATTGAATAAAAACATTATTATTTACCCATCTGGGTGACAGTCTGGGTTGATGATTTCTATGTTTTAGAACTATACCCTTTGGTTTCTTACCTTTGTGGTAACAAATATTTCGTTTCTCGGTACGTCTGCGAATTTGGCCGCGAGTCCCCTACCGACCTGGTCTTCAATCTTATAAGCCCAGGCGGTGTCGATGTGGCGATAGCCCGCGTCAAGCGCCCATTGCACCGCCAGCTCCACTTCGTTAGACGACGGCTCAACGCGGCCATATTGGAAAAATATATTTATTAACCTATGTTTGCTATTAATTTATTTTAGTACTCTCTAATGGTTTACGGATATTCTGATTCAAAATTGTTATCGGAGGTTTATTTTGTTATCTACTTAGAACTACAATGATATCACGAACCTCTCTTATTGTGAATCCCAAGTTTTTTGTTTATAGAAAATATTGGATTAAATAAATACCTTTGTGTTATTCCCCAGCCATGTGCCTAGAGCTAAGGCGGGAATTTCCCTACCATCGTTTAATTTTAATTTTGGAGCTAGGATGTTGCCATTCTGAAAAAAGATAAAGCCAAGAATAATTAAGATAAATTAGTTGCTTATTACAAACCTTTTTGATTCGTGTTGATATCTTATGTAAATTCCGTTAATTGTAATTATAATATAGACGTTTTGTTAAATTTAACAAAAGAATTATACAATGTTTCTATTGTTTATGTTTCAATCAGCTTATCGCCCACTATGGGAAAGGAATTACTGAAGTTATGATGTACATTTTTTTATTACGTGCTTAAAAATATTTTGTTGACTCAATAGGATTAAACAAAAGAGGACTGTTTAAAGTCAATCAAAATTAAATAAAAATTCAGTAATAGTATTTCAAAATGTGGTATACTTACGGAAAAGACGATAATTGTAGAAAATATAAACAAAATAACAATTTTATGCCACATAACGTCGGTTTGATATGTGGACGCGGCGATCACTGCGAGCGTTTACGACAATGACCTCAACCCCTAACATGGGTTAAGATAACTCGACAACTATCGAGAATCGAGTGAGTATTATCACAACATTATTAAACAATGATATTGCCTACATAAAATTGTTTTCTGTAAAAATAACTTTTCAAACAATTTTGATTTATCCCATTCTCTTTTAATACAAAGATTAGCATAATTAATAGCAACAAAATTACTTCTTCCGTAGCCGTTGCAAGGTCCGCATTTATAGAACATCGTGTTTTCATAGTAGGGGATATCGTAAACCGGTAATCTAAAAAAATCCTTTTAATTTGATTGCAAATCACATATTTCTTAGTAGACGTCACGTAGGTTCTTAGGCCATAAACTTATTGGTAATAGACTGGCAAAATTAGTTGTTTATTTTAACATGATATTCCTATTTTTTAATTTTGGGACAGAATGGGACAAGGACAAGGGAACGATGTTGATGATTTTTATTTTATTTCACATCAAATAGTTTAAAGAATATGTATTTCGTAAAATAAAATGATCCGAGTGTTGATAAGGCAGGGCACGGAAATAGTGAGACCATTGTAGTAAATGCCAAAGAAACAAAGTAAAAGGACAATGGACAAAGGATAAGAGAATGTTAGTAAATCGATTGGTTATTTAAACATCGTTAAGAATAATTTTTGCTGTCATTTATGTTATTACCTTAGTTAATATTAATTGTAGTTACTGAACAATATTGAAACTATTTTATTTAAACTATAAAAGGGGTGAAAAAGGATGTAATTCAAAGTCAGATGGAACACACAACAGAAATCTTAATATGTAGTTATTTTGTGTCTGCGAAATGGCATTGTGACGCTAATATAGTTGCTTAGTATTAATAATTAGTATATACTAACTGTTGCTCGCAACTTCGTCCGCGTGCAATTAAAAATTAAATATAGCCTATATTACTCACAGACAAATTATCTTTCTAACGGTGAAAGAATTTTAAATATCGGCCCAGTAGTTATCGAGTTATTTCAATATATAAAAAAGTACAAATCATTCCTCTTTATAATATTAGTATAGATAAAATGTAAACAATCGCTTTTAAATAAATTTACAAAAAGGTTATATTTCTTCGTAATGTTTTGCGATGAACTTGTTATGTCCATTAAATTAATTTAAATGAATTCACTATACACCTGTTATCCTTGTATGATTCTTACGTGCTTGAGTTTTTTAGAGGCTCATTACGAGTTACTTGTTTTTTCTTTTTAAGGCTGGACAAAACAAAGGCCTGTTGATTTGGTCTTATCGTATGTAATGTTGTACTCACTCAATTAAAAATCATTATTTCTTGTTGATTTTGGTAATTTGACCGATTAAGTAATGGACATTTAATGGAGATCAAAATATCAAAAGACATATTTAGTGAAATATCGTTTCACATTTGATATTAAAATTTTCATGTACAGGATTTAATTTTTTTCCAGAAAAAACATGGACGTTTATAAAAATCTTCATTTATTACATGATATAATTAACAACGTCATCGTAACAAGCTGTAAAGATGAAAAACTTAAATGTTGCTTATTTCTTTTAAAATGGGTAATAAGGAGAATCTTCCCACATCTTAGGTTCGATAGTTCTGTAGTTTTTGTCGTAGCTTTTTAAAAGATTGCGTTCTTCTTGAGTTAGTTTGAAATCGAAGATATCAATGTTCTGTTCCACTCTAGATTTGGTGACAGTTTTAGGAATCGGTACTATGTTCAGTTCCACCTGGAAAAAGTTGACAGAACATTACGGCAATGTGAAGAACAAAGTTGAGACACAACACATCTTTTTCATTTCTAATTACAGTCTGCTACGTTCAGTTCACTAAACAATACAACTGTTTTGTTACTGTTAAAGTTTTACTTTTTCTTTATTAATGTTTTATTACTTAGTAATTTTTGCCTAAAATATCGTCTGCACACAATTACAAAATTATGTATTCCTGAGATTGTGCATGTATTCCAAATGTATACATATCCTGTTTTTAACGCCTAGTTATTTTGATACTCACCAGATATCTCAAAGCAATTTGCGGCACAGTTTTATTGTATTTGTTAGCAATGTCGATGAGCGCGGGGTCGTCGGCTCGCGGCGGCGGCGCGTCGCTGCGCGCTCTGTTCGGAAACAAGGAGCCAAAGGGTGTGTAACCTGTCACCACTATGTTCTGTTGTTTACAGAACTCTATCAGCTCTGGTTGTTGCAGGTTTAAGTTTATCTGTAGAGACGACAATATTACAAATCAATACAAATAGTTAGATTCCAGCTGTATAATTGTCAATCAATCAAAATTTTAAATTGATTTTTAAAGACGGTTGAGAATTTGTTGTTAATAATTCCTTAATGCCGAAAAATTAATAAATTATTCACAAAAGTAATTTCACGGATTCTAAGGTACTAAATTTTTACATTAAAGAAAATTTCTTCAATTTCTTTTCACGATTTATATAAGCATTGCATTTTTTTAATTAGTTGATTTACTAATTAATTATATTAATTTAAAAATTGAAATTTTATGATAAATAACATTTTACCTCTACTTGCAAATTAGCGGGTTTCACAGTGCTTTTAGATATGAGTCTCTCCAACATCGCTTTGTTGAAATTAGACACGCCGATGGACTTAGCGAGACCTTTCTTCTGCATTGCGATCATAGCTTCCCAAGTCTCTAAGTAATCTACATCGTAAAATGTACCGTTCAACTAGAAACAAGCAATAAATAACTAACATTATAAATAACAAATTCACCCAACTTATTCACAGTTATTTGTTGATCATTTAAGAAGTCCTTTAGTGTAGATTTCTTATAAGTCCAAGAAACAGCATATTTTTTCTCGCTTATAGAAGTTTTTTATTTATCCTGTTTTTACTTATCCTGTTTTGACTGTATATCATAAAGATAATGATAGTCATGGCAATATATTTTTAAATCTCATTTAATTACTTACATACTGAGCTATTGGCCAGTGAATAAGGTACATATCGACGTAATCCAAATTAAGTTTTTTAAGTGAGTTTTCTAATGCTGGCAACACTCTATATCGGCCATGTGCGTCATTCCATAGCTGTAAATATAAAAATATTTATTTTTTTAAGTATTATATATACTTAAGTTATTTAACATGATAACAAAGAATAGCTTAAGTTAGTGTGAAAATACCTTTGTAGTAACAAATAAATCCTCTCTCTTAACAACTCCCTCAGCTATTTTCTTGTTAATTGCATTACCAACCTGAAAATAAATAAATATTTTACCCAAGGAGAGTATATATGTTACTAAGTAACCTAAAAAGGGAACCTACGTAGACTAAACTTTTTATAAGCCGATAGTTTGATCAGGTTGGACATTTAAGCCAAAATTATATTACACTAAATCGGTGTAATATATGGATTCATGTTTTAGATGTGGACTGATGTTTCTACTATGTTTTACCTAGTATAAATGTTAGAAAAATAGAAACCAACGGTTATTTTAGACATCAATCGATTTTTTTACCTGGTCTTCAGTATCGTAGATGGAGGCTGTGTCGATATGTCTGTAACCAGCGTCTATGGCCCATTTCACTGCGTTTTCTACTTCCTCACTCTTATTAGTCCTGACAGTCTTTAGAACAAAATAAAGGTTTTAAATGATGTGATAATTAACATTATCTGGCACATAATTCAATAACCGTAAACATTTTTGTTTCTTCATTATATTAATTTTGTTTTGTCATTATAACAATCAGTTATAAACAAATAATATGAGTTTTATAACTAGTTAATAAATTTATGTTTTAAATTATAAAAAAAAATCACGTTGAATCTCGCAATTTAAATCAAGTCGTTTAGGCAACAGATCACAATGGACCGAACATTCATACCCACAAAAAATCACCTTTCAGCAAAGGTAATTTTTTGTGGGCCTATCTGTAGTCAAGCAAAAACTATAAAATAAAACAACAAGTATGTAACAATTATAATACTTTGTAATAAGAAATGTTATTACCGATATAAAGCCGAGCCAAGTGCCGAGTCCAAAACGCGGCATCTCCCGTCCATCATTGAGTTTGAATGTCTGAATTGGTCCAGAAGGGGACGCCACCTGTAGTCGATTTTCGTTAGTTTTGGTAAATTGTCGGAAGATAAATGGAAAGGAAAATAGTATTTCTACACATCCTCTTTCCCGTTTTCCTGGAAGGTGACCTACGGTATAGCATATGTCTATGGTATAGCAGTATAGCTATTTTAGTGATTTCTGGTGGCCGCTTGTTCGGTTGTCATTATGTATATTTATAACAAAAAAATTATCGGTTTTTTACCAAATTGGCGAAGTGTTAATTTGATCGAAGGTCAATACGCAATGGTTAACATTAGATTATTTTGTAAGATGCTGTATTAATAAAGACATTGACGTTGATAAGTGTTGTACATATTAATTTGTTATTGTTTGTTATAAAATCTTGTTTGAAAAGTCAATTAAAGATAGGAATTGCAAATGTGTTTATAAATAACACCACTTAAATCACCATTGAGATTCATTTGAGATTACAAAGTAAATTTTAAATTATCTGAGGTTAATGATTGATTGTTATGTTGTCATATTCTATTTTATACGTTATAATAAATAATGCCGAACTTGTGCGACTCATCACAAAAACAGGTAACTAATTTAAGGAGTACCAACACCGGGAATACTAGGTTCGTTACCCATCCTAAATAAAATGTAGTTACGTTACGTTTATACAACTGAGTCCACGTTTTAAGTGGGATTTAGTTTTATTAACGTGCGAGTAATTCTATGACATAACCAAAATAAGCTACATGTATAGCAAATTAAACTAAGAGATTAATAGCAATAAGAAAGGTGAATTGATATATGAGAGGATCATTAGCAATTACGTAGTTATAATGACAAAATAATGTGCTTGATGCAGAACCAGTAGACCTTGTATCTTCGGCCATCTTGATGGAATATTTCCAATGGTTTCTATACTTGTTTGCAATTATGGTGCTTAGAAACAGGTTCACTTCTTATTGTTAATGAGAGCTTATGAACATTACAAATTATTTTATTACCCTTAATAATAGAGCATAAAAACTTTGGCCTTTTATTTAAATAAAATGAGTATAATAACTAACACGTTAAGTTTAAACATTGCTTATATAACTTATGTAACGTTACAATTGTTTCATTAAACAATTAGAAGTTTAAGTATGGTTTGCTTAGATGATTTAACAGTGGAATCAGAAAATAACGTAGCCTGCGTATCTTTGTGCCCACTAGATATGACACACAAGAATTCAGACAGACGATCCAACTACGTCTTGAGTTTGGCTGATAATTTGTTAGACAGAAATACGTCCAATTAAACTACTGTTAGTTATGTTTTTTGCTGTTGACTGGAATTTCGTTTGCTTACATGAGATTATTTATATCAACAGTCCAAAGGGTATCGTCGTTAAAAGCGCCATTTTATCTACATTATTTAAATTTTTGTATCATTCTTGTAAGAACAACTATATCTAGGTAGACAAATGGAAGGTATATTAAAACTAAATTGCTTTTCTTTAATATATAAAACCCATACATGCTATCTTTACCTTTTCATCAAATATATTAGTCAATTGCATTAGTATTTACTGTTTTAAAATTGAAGCTTTTTGCATAGAGGTCGTGGCCAGTCGTGGCTTCGAAATTTATCAATGATTGCAACATTAGTGGAGGTGAACCAGGTCGAGTATAAAAGTACAGTTTAGTAAAGTTACTTTATTGTTAAAAGTTCGCTGAGAAGGGCTACCAAGTAAGCTTAATAAATAAATTAGTTTGAAAACTACTTGAAAATTTCCCTAAACAATTTGTTCAAGCAAAATACCTTCGTTTACTTAAAACACAAAGGTAGACAAAATGCAATTATAGTTTTAATTAGATAGTCAATGTTAAAATAAGCGTCACATAACAAACCATGCTGATGTATTAAAGTGGTTAATATTTTTTTTTGTCAACTATTGGTAGACTTACAGTTGCAGAAAGCGACAGGATAACCATAAAAAAGTTGTGCACAAACATTGTTTATCTTTGTTTAGTCCTCACAGAGTACCGCTCAGTTCCGCAGATGGCGGGAAACTGGACACTGCCTCTACCAAGATTAATTGAATTTAAATTGAATTCTTATCCTACACGTTTCATAATGGTAATTGTTTATTACTAGTGATTCTGCTCGCTATCATTGAACTATTTCAAGTAAAAGTTAGCCATCGGAATACATATTTAAATGTTCATATTAGCACATTCAAATAAATATCATTATTTTAATGGAACGTTTAGTTATAATTATGGGTTTTATATAAAGACCATAACAGAGTCTAATAACGTTATGTTTAAGTAAGAATGTGCAGTTTTCCCCCAGTTCATTAGTTCACATTATATTTAATATAAGGAGAGGTAGACGTAGAGAGAGATGACTTAGATGACGGATGATAGAGTTATTTGGAGGACCAAAACCCGGTGCGTTGACCCTACGGGAGTAGTAAAAGGCAAGGGAGATAAGGAGAGAGAGAAGGAGAAATAATAAAAGAATAGAAATAAAAAAGGGTTACTGTAATAGGAGTAAGTTCTTCTGCAACTATCGAAAGACTTACAAGCATTAATCGCCGGTTTCCCAGCTACGTTCAACCATTCGTTAGTGTTCTTGGTTTGATAACTTCATGTAATGCGTTTCCGAACTACGTAAATTGAGTTTTACTCCGTTAAAACATACAGCAATTACATGTACTTGGTTTGCATAAGGTATTTTTTTCTGACCACTCGTTTGCCGTCCAGATTAAAAATAAATTGGACCGTGCAGAAAAAGTGTTCCGCTGAAAACATCCTTGACGACCCTTAGTACCAAAAAGACCTGAAAAGGAATATTAATAGTGTTGAATTAAATAAAGCTAAAAATACAGCGTTAATTTTTTTAATATTATCTTTTATCTTACTGGGTAATATGCTTAATTACTGATGCCATTAAGACCTTCTGTCATCATAATAAAATAAGGTCGAGAATACACATGTAAGTAACTGCCACATTAACATGCAAGTACCTGGCATGTTTTACATGTTGGTACAAGCCAGCGGCGGCGGGTACGTGTTGTCATCGACACCAGACAGAGGAATTGTAAATGCGTTGCCGGCCTAATATGCATAGATGATTTCACTTTTTTGTTATTAACTATATATTTGTAGGATAGCCAAAAATAATGTTTCGTTATAAATAAACTGAACTGTCGTTAGGCAGAAAACAACAGAATTGCTTTAAGGTGCTGAAACAAGTCAAGTATTTTTACCAAATAAGATACGCATATCATACATTTTTCGTTGATAATTATTATAATTAGAGGTAATTGACAACAGTTTTGCTTATAAAGACTTGTTTTTTTGTTAAAAGCATTCTCCACAATTATGTTTTCAAACATTTTAGTAACGCACTTCTACTTGGCAATTGTGGTAAGTGTTTTATATATTTGAATTCTTTGTGATTTGTTGATTTATACTTATTGTGTAATTAAAATAAAAACAGTTTAGTCCAGCATCTAATATAAACTTTAGCTTCTTTTTGCAATTTAACTTTTAGTGTGTTTACGCATCGAAGAATCAGCCGCCAACATACCAGCTTAATGACGGACGACATATTCCCAGCTTCGGCTTAGGGACTTGGTTTGGGGTTTCCAATGTTTGTATTTTTTTTAATGTATATTCGCTTTAATTTTTTGAACACAACTAATGTTATACGTTATCAACAATTTGATATTTTTTTTACAATTTTTAATCGTCATTATTTGTATTGTAGACATCATTTAATCCAGTGGACGAGGAAGCATCGGAACGGGCAGTGGGCTGGGCAATCGACGCAGGTTATAGACTGTTTGATACCGCCTTCATATATGGCACAGAGAAATCGGTACGGAAAAGTTTACAGTTGGCTTGATCGATGTTGTAAAACAGTCGGGAGGATTATCTGATGAGTCTCTGAGGTCTTCATTAAATAAAATATTGCAATATGTAGTTACTATTGTGTACTAAAATCTGTATTTTGTAGGTGGGTCGTGGAGTGAAACGAAAGATCAGTGAAGGAGTAATTAAAAGAGAAGATGTTTTTATATGTACAAAGGTAAGCTTTTAAACATGTGACCATACCCTATACACCGGGGGCTTTATAATCCATAATTCCTTTTACTCTGTTTATAAATCGAAAAGTGTTGCCTAGATTGTTTATTTCTGTGTGTTATAAATATTAATTTATTTAAATTGAACAGCTTTGGGTCGACTCTTACGGCCGTGCGGCCGTTGTTCCGGCCCTACGTAAATCTCTGGAAGCACTCGATTTGGACTATGTTGACTTGTATCTTATACATTTCCCTATCGGACAATTTGTGAGTTTTAAACATTTTTTTTGATCTTTGACCGTTGGTGTTTATCGATGTGGATGTAGTTTTCTAAAATATGAAGTATTTGACCAAATTAAACAAATGGTAGACGTCACCAGTGAGGATTTAAATTGCTCCAGTTGTAATGTAGATTTAGATGATTGGACTGGACTGGAATGTAAACCGGGTAAAAAGATAGTAAGTATTTAATAATTTCAGGCCAACGGTACCTTGGACCTGACTGACTACAGAGAGACTTGGCAAGGCATGGTGGACGCGAAGAGGCGTGGTCTCACGCACTCCATCGGCGTCGCCAACTTCAACGCGCACATGATGGACAGACTCATCAAGAGTTCGTGTGTGAAGCCGGCAGTGGCGCAAATTGAGGTCATTTTTTAGTACATTTTGATCCTGTTCATTTACTTTTCCTTTCATCTACGCACTGTTTATGAGATAGTTACTTCGGCAGGCAAATTGGTGGCACTGAACGATACCTAACAAGCTATATGTTACTCATGATTTATTGTAGGTGAACCTCAACATCCAGCAGCCGTCGCTGCTGCATTACTGTTGCCAGCACGATATAGCAGTGATGGGCTACACGCCGTTCGGTTCTCTGTTCCCTGAGCGCGCGCTGCCCGGGGCGCCGGGCCCGCGTGTCGACGATCCTCTGCTGAGACAGATCGCCGCGGCACACAACAAGACAGTGCCGCAAATCGTATTGAGATATTTGGTACTTACCTATTTGGTTCTTTTGGTCACATATTGAAATTGTTGGTCTTAGTAATAATCATAGCTAGAAATGGAATTCAGAGAAAAAGTAACGATGATATTTATGTCACGTCGCTGTATTTTTAAGACAAATCTTACCTTTTACAGTATGATCTGGGAGTCATTCCCATACCAAAGTCGATTACAAAGTCTAGAATAGAAGAAAACATTGACATATTCGATTTCGATCTGTCGCCAGAGGAGAGCATTGCACTTGGAGGCTACGATGTGAACTACAGAAGTGGCAAGATTTGGTCTGACTCACCTTATTACTTAACTAAACAATTTACATCGAAGTAGTATTTTCGATTGGAATATGGATAGCAAATGGAAGTTATTAAAATCAAACAATGTTTTTATTATTAGTTATATTTTATTACATACAAATGTAAGTCATACTCGTGTAGATACCACAAAATGCCCCAACTAAGTTATACATTAATTACGAGCTACCAGCTGATCTAGAATATAATCCAATAAAACTTCATTATAAAATTAACAAATTAATATTTACGAAAAACTAAACGAAACTGATTATTTGGCGTTTGTTGACGATAAAATGAGAATGTATTAGAATATATTATTACCCATATAATTACAATATTGATTATAAATATGTATCTTATTCACACTAAGCAGCTACTTCAGCATGTTCTATGAATATCTAATTCCAGTGATACTAAAGAATTACCGCTATCGACACTTCATTAGTCGAAATTTTGTTACTTCGAGTTATTATAGAACGATTACATAGACGAATTAAGACACAATAGTTAGCCTTATTTTACTTAATTAGTTGCTTAACAATCCAACCTGTAGAATTCGAAATTATCATTATGGCAACACTGCTAGAGTGTTACCAAATAAAGTCATATTACCGATATTGATATATTTCGGACAATACAGGCTGGTAATAAATTACGAATATATACTTCTCTAATAATAAAAAAAACTGCGCTACTGTAAATTGTACACATCTAACCTATTTGAATTGGTGTTTCAATACCTTCAGTGGACGAATCGCTTTCGCGGGCATCTTCCTATAACCTATAATTATTCATTAGTTTCATACATAAGTAATTTTATTTTCAATTTGGTTAAGGCACAAAACGTATTACAACAAACGTTTATCAATATATTTATATATTTTTTGTCCTTTCCATAAATCATTATAAACTCATTTTGTTATAATATTAATAATAACATGCTTTAATGTTAATATAGTAAAAGTTAATAGGTTACTAAATCCAAGTTAACTCGAAACGATACAAAAAACACAAAACACTACTAAACACATTCCAAAAAATGACAGCTGTCAACATAATTGCCAGTTGTGTGCAGATAACTACCAGTACTATAAAATAAAATTAAAGAGATTGCAAATTCAAAAAAACACATGCAAAAGTAACAAAAAAAACGGAGATCGAATAATTTAGGCACCATTTAATTTAGCAAAGAATAAAATATTTAATGTTAATTAGACAAACATGTTATGTTATCATAAACAAAAATTGCACCGTATAAATATTTCCACTATAATAGACTTTATAACAAAAATATATTTTAACTTATTACGTAGTTGTCTATGGCACATTTCATAATCTGTCTTGAGGTCAAGTTTATTGTTATATAGAAATTAATAAAAGGTACTTATCGTTGTTTGTATAATTTTGTAAATATATTCAATAATATTTTTAAAGGCACGATGATAAAAAATTTCTAGGTTTGAATCATTATGTACTATGTCCTGTTTTTCTAAGAAAACAGTATCGTATTGGATTCAAACCTAAACTTGGCAGTTGCATTTTCGTTCCTGTTCCAAAGCTGTATAACTTTGAAATATTACCTTTTTAGCTGCTATTTTATTTGTATAAACCTGCCAAATACTACACGAGACTTCATAACTATAAAAGGCATCGATAATAAGGTCCCGCAACGGGGTTAGCACTTTGTGAATTATAAGGCCGGGAACACACGACATTACAAAATTTCCATTTTTTCGTGGACATGAAAATACGAGAACGATGACAATATTTATTACCATGAGCATTTCGTCTTTTCAGGCGTTATTACCGTCGGCGTAAACCACTTTAGACTTTGGTGTCACACCGGATCTCCTCGGTTTGTAATAATTATAAGAAATACTAATTTAGAAAGTTAAATTGTCGTATGTTCCCCGATTTAAACATCATAAAAACGATCAACCACAATATATCTTTAAAAATATAAAATAAAATATAAAATAGCTTAATTGTACCATTAGTACGTACAGGCACTACTGCATTGCGACGTTTGTCTATAAATATTATAGCACCTCTGATTATCTCTTACAACTAAGTCCTTGTGATTTGGCGTTAAAATAATTGTAAAATGTATCAAAATCTTTTATTTTTTAATTCTGACATTCTGATTTTCATTTTAATATACTAAATTGCATGTAAATACATATTTAAGTTCAACAAATTTATTTTTCAACTGAATAGTTATCTGTTTCTGAACTATTTATTGTTCTTTATAACACCATAATCACAAGGAAATTAATATATTAAATGTACAGTTTTTATCTTTGTAACAACTATTGAAATTTATATAAAATGCATTTCTTTACATAAATAAATACACTTAAAGCATTAGAGAACTGTTAACGACACACACGACTAAATAGATGCCAAGTTTAGAAGTTGCCAAATTTCTTTGTTACTGTCGAACTGGTTTCGGATTTGTGGGAGCTGGTCATAACTGACTTGCGTTCAATAGTTTCCGAAGTGATAGTTTGCTTGGAGAACTTCTTGTCCAAGCTGTCGATTTCCTTCACCAGCTCGGAAGGTTTCTTCACCTTCGATACGGTGGTGGTCGTCTGGTAGTCCGAGGACTGGAACTCCGAGGGTCGCATGAACGACCGGCTCGTGTCAGAACTCAGCTTCGAGTCCAATGTGTTGTAACGAGAGTCCAGCGTGCTGTATCTAGAATCGTTGTCGAAAGACTTCGACAGCTCGTCGATACCTTCCAGTTTGATCGGTTCATATTTAGTGCTGGTACTAGTCATGTTCACCGGGGACGAACTATAGATCTTTGTGGTCGTGATCTTCTGGGTACCATTAGGTATCTCCTTGACCTCCGTGGTGGTCTCCTCGTGGTAGTTGGGCCCGCCGTAGCTGTGCACATCCTTGCCGTACGGCGACGATATTCTTTCGAACGTTGGCGTCGGAGCTTTCACTACGTCCATAGAGTTCTTGGAGAACTCAGTAAATTGGTTGCTCTCGTACTTGGTGGGCGTAGAGGTTGTGAAGGGGGATTTAACTTCCTGTCTGGTCTCGGAGGAGATGAACTCCGTTTTCGGGTAGCTTTGATAAGATTCACTTTTTACGGTGTATTCGGAGTGTTTGATGCCGCCCGGAATGTTTTCGGTGGATTTTTGGTGTTCTGAGAAAGTTTGTCCGACGCCATCGAACGGCGATTTAGGAGTGGTTGGCTTTTTGAGGGAGGAGTAGATAGGTTCTTCGAATTTTAAGTCCCTGGCGTTGAACTTAGGGCTGAGGGGCGAGGAGGGTAGTTTTTGCGAATCGTACCCGTACCGTTGCTCCTGCTTACTGAACTGATACTGGCTGGACTGATTGGACTCGTATTGGCGTTGCTCCTCAGTTTTAACGTACTCGTTAACAGGTCGTGGTGTGTCGTAGAGTCGGGTCTCGTAACTGTAATATTCGCAATTCGATTACTGATTAGTCCGTCATGCGGGCGATCGATTATAATTGAATGAATTTCCCGCAACCGAAAAGAAAGGAAGGCATTAACCGGCACCGGCATGCTTCATGCGTTAGAAGATAGTTATTCACAACATTAAAGAGTTATTACTTGGAAATCGGGTATGTGAGATTAAACAGCATATCGGCCAATCGACGAACATGGGAGAGGATTTTAGCACAAGTCTTCTCTGAAATGCGAAATGACAAACATGGCGGGTGAGGTCTTGATGGTGTTCGAATAGTATTTTTCCGGTGAAGGTGGATGGTGTCTGCGGGCTGCCCGGTGCGCAAAGGATGGAAGAGCCAGAACGAACCCAATTAACTAGCGTTGTCCTCGTACTTTAGGAGGGAAATGCGCCTCGGCGGCGGCGGCGGCGGCCGCTCCCTCTTGTAGAAGACGCGCTCGGCGAGCGGGCTGTCGGGGCTGTCGTCAGACACCAGAATGGCGGTGCGCACTTCCGGCAGTTGTAACGACTTCACCACCACCGTCTCCTCCGTCACGCTCGTCCTATTCGGTTAGGTTAATCACCCGCATGCAGGTTAAGGAAGGGAGGAAGAGAAAAAAACAATCATTAGTTGTTAGTCGCTACATATTTGTCCAAGCGAGTGGTTTCCAACCTTTAGCACGATTTTAACTAACAAAGATAATTAGGTTCGTGAATACGACTAATTTTTTTCATGTTACGTACTAGCGTTTCACAGAACCATATAACACTAATTTACTCGATGAATGCCTCAAAACATTAACTCAAGATATAACTGTAAATAACATCAAATCTAATTAGCATTCTTAAAGATGTTTCGTCGATATCATGTTCCAATGACTTGTTCAATCATTTCATTTAGTAGCAAGTTTTTCGAAACTAAAATATTACTTTTCAGAGCCGCGGGTCAAGAACGCAAGTCGCCATAATGATCGCCGACCTTCGAAAGAAGATGGCACTTTAGGAAGAAAATATTACAAATCTTGTAAGTAAATCGTTGTTAATTACTAAATAAATCTTTCTAAAGTAGAGTTTGGGAACCACTGGCCGGCATACACGTAAAGCAGTATGAGAATGTCGTATGTACAGAACGATGTACGTGAGGTCGCGTTCGCGGACGCAAGCGGCGCGCGGCGAGCGCACATTCAACAAACGTAAGCCGAAGCTTTACAGCGACTTACTCGTGTTTCATCGTTCTATCATTACTGCTTCTATTTTCTCTGCAAACGAAACATTACTTCAGTATCTATTTACTGCTAAGGTTATGTTGACTTCTAAATAGTACCTATAGTTATTAGATTTTAGAAAGAATTTGATTTACTATAGTTCATTTTTCACACATTGATCTCTGACGAGTTAACATTCGTTAAAATGGACTTTCTTAATTTCATATTTTTAAAAATATAGCTGTTTGTTTATCGGGGAATATTGTAAAGCTGTCAGGGATCATTACATAAAATATAAACTATGATACAACATTAAAATTATTATAAAAGCGATTCGTATCAGCAACATAAGAGTCTCGTATCTCGTTGGAATTCCACAATATTAATAATAGTCTTAAAAACTAAATACAAATACAATTCTAACTTAATGATTCAGTCATCTGCAGAAAGCGTAGCCTTACATGCGTTACATTAGCTTCTGGCAGATTTATTAGAGCATTTCAGCATTTTCAGTTTATGATGAACAAATGTATTTTATAATTTTTAAAGCATCAACTAAAGTCTAATATTACAAATTTGTTTCATCATAAATTAACATCAGAAAATTGTTCAATTCCATAACACAATTTATATTTTCATCAAAACAACAACTTCAGACATTTACATGAATAAAGCATGATATCATGAAATGGTAAATGGATTTCTTGTAATATTCGTACATGGAAATTATGCAATTATTGGAAATGTTTAAATTGTCATTTTTTACATAATATAATTAAACAATCCAATAAAAAGGATATTTTCCACTTCCTAAACAGTTTATAAAGATTTTAATTTACAATACAAACCTTTGACAATAAATTTGGAAGAATCTATTACAATGTTATATGAATACATATTTAGTTTAGGCACGTATCGTAATGATAATGAAAGCACTTTGTACAATAATGGTAGCGAATGTAACTCGATCATCTGTCCGTGTCCGATGGCAGCGTGGAAATAAGCAAACATTCATTATAATTAAATAAATCTTGTGATTTATGTCGGAGTTTAGATTGAAATTTATCTTATTATGATAAATATCTATGTATCTATGTACTTGGTGACATCAAAATGAAAGTTAATATGATAAAATATAAGTAAGATGAAAGAAGTGTCTTATATCTACTATACATAATGATGAAAACAATATGATCTAAACTTCGACCAGTCAAATTTATACAACTCACCGTGTTGTAAACCCTTCGTAGTTCTTGGGCGTGTCGTCCTGCGGCGGTCTGAAGCTGGAGAATGTGGGGCTCTGCGCTGTGTATTTGTCCTCTCTCTGGTATCCGTTGGTGTCGGGTTTGGGGGCGGGGCTGTGGGCGTGCCCGGGCGCGCTGTGGGCGGGGCTGGGCAGGTTGTGGGCGGGGCTAGTGGCGCCGTGCACCGATTGGTTGAGGCTGGTCACGTGGTGCGAGATATTGGTCGCGTTCTGACTTATGTTGGTTGTGTTCTGCGCGGAGTATGTGCTGTTCGGACTGTATGTGGTGTTAGCGAAACTGCTATTTGGTGTTTTGAATCTGTAAAAATTGGATGAATTATTTAATATGATTAGACATCGACATTAATAAAAATAAATCATAATAAATAATTAGAAGTTAGTAGTAACATCAGGAATTGATTTTGAAACCATCAGTGCTGTCACCATTGCTCTTATCATAGTTAATATGTTTTAGTTGAGACCGTTCAGTAGTAGGTTAGTTACTGACCTGTGTGGTACGGAGGCGTCGCTGGCGTACCCCATCTGCAAGTCTGTGTCGGTGTCGTCTCCGGAGGTGTCTCCGGCGCGCAGCTTGTACTTGGCCTGTCGGATGGCGGTGAGCCGGCCGCGGGCTTCCTCCAGCTCTTTCTCTATACGGAGCACTTCCGACCTGTAATAAAGTATTGTTGAAAGTCATGTTTCTTTATTTCCGACAAGCTTTTGCCCGCCATTCCGTCTGCTTGATAAAAAACAAAAGTAGGTAGCTAATGTGCTCTTCCAGACTATTTTCTACATCTATGTCGAATTTCATCGATATCTGTTCAGTAGTTTAGGCTACAAAATCAAACAAACATCTATCCGTCTATCTTATCTTTCGCATTCATATTATTAGTACGATAAAATAAAACGTTCTAAAACTGTAAGGAATGTTTGTCTGACCTGGCGTCTATCTCCTGCGCGATGCCGCCGACCATGCGGCGGTTGAGCACGAGGCTGCGCTCGTCGTCGCAGTGTATGGCGTCGCGCGCCGCACGCACCAGGTTGTCGGTGGAGCGGATCACCTCCGCACCCGCCGCCTGCAGGCGACGCGTCGACTCCGATGATGGGTCCGCCTTCACCTATGATAAAATACGTCTTGTACATTTCTTTTACCGATAAATAATATTACACCGAAAAGTTCGCTTCAGTAAGCAAGTTTGTCAGATCTGCCAGATCGTTTTCACATATACTACCTTTTTGCGACAACATTTGCTAACAACAAGCTGACTATATCTCCTTGAGAATCAGTTATAATAACTAATAGTCTTTACAAAATGTATAGCTGTCATCATTGGCAAATCAAATACTTGTTTAACTCCTGATTTGGTGATATCGGTTATTTTAAAATGTATTTACTGTGTTGAAATAAAATATAAATTAGGTAAAGTTTTGTGTAAAGTTTTTTTCTATAAATAAAATATTACCTTGCAAGCGACCAGCAGCTGCGCGGTGGAGGAGGCGACCTGCCTGGCGCTGGAGATGAGACGCTCCTCGGAGGCTGCGCCCTGCACCAGCGCGTTGGCGGCCTCCACCAGCGCGTGCGCAGCCGCCGCCACCAGCCGCGCCGCTGACACCAGACCCTCAGACCACTGCCCATCATCAGAGGACGACGCCGGTCTCCGCGCCACCTTGCCCTACACACATACATTTATTTACACTACTGCCTATTTATTAAGATACTTCATATTTAATTGTGTAATTTCAGTAATGTAAATATGACATCAGTTTGGTATAACATTATCAATGTGTCAAACAATCAGTACGGTCGTCGCTGTAATCATCATTTAGAAATATATCAAAAGCATATAATATTATCTTTCTAAGATACCTGATCGATAAGTTCTCTCTGTGCGGCGGAGGCGGCGCGCACGAGCGCTGACGTCGCGGTGATGATGGACTTGGCCGCTTCTAGGATCATCTCATCGAAATTCAACGTTTCATCAGCCTCCTGCAAATTATTACAGTTCATTAAATATTGTTATAACTTAATAAAATTACAAAGTCAAATACAATGAATTGAGGCATATCTTCGGTAGTAAACTTCTTTCTTCGGCGATGGTTTGGGTCACGATCGATATGTAATATGTTTGATTCCCGGGTGATAGTAAAATACAACCAAGAATATCAAACATATCTTACCGACACGCGCCACTAGGGTCTCTTCTCTCTTGTATACCATTTCATTATTCTTCATATGAATTCTTCAAGTATACACAAAGACATAATAGGAAAGATGGGTAGACGTAAATATGTTAGCATACCTGTAGCTTGGGCGGCTTGCGCGGGCGCAGCGCGTCCAGCTTGCGGGCGGCGGCGTCGATGGAAGCGGCTGCGCCCAGCAGCTCTGCCTCCGCAATCACTGTCGGGTCCTCAGGGTCCACCCATTCCGACCCTGCAATATACAACGATTACCTATATAATCTATATTGTAGTTTCATATACTATGACTACGCAGCGTGCCGATTACTTTGTGCTGTCAACAAATTTGAAATAATACAACTATGTAACTTTTGTGAAAAGCATTTCCAAGTTATACCTTTGAGTAGTTCAGCGGCGGCGAGCATGTCGGCCACTGCGCGGGCGACACAGCGCGAGAGGTCGGGCAGCGCGGAGCGCGCGGCGCCGCCCGGGGCCGCCAGCACGGCCTGCAGGAGCGCACGGAACGCCTCGCCGGCTGCACGCGTCGCTTCCAGCGTACGAGTACGTAGCTCCTCCGTTTCCGCCGCTTGTGCTGCTCCCTGTCAATATTGAAATGATTTGTATACAAGAACTTGATTATTAAATGAAGTTAATTAAAGCTATTAAGCTAAAAACTCCTAATACTTTGCATAGTAGATCATGGTCCTTCGAGCAGGATATGGATCAAGAATATTTACCTTGGCGGCAACCATCATGTCGACGACGGTCTTGCGGCCGAGGTTGGCAGCCGCGGTGAGCTGGTCCTGGCTGCCTGCGCCCGCCGCGCTGCCCGCCGCCACCGCGCGTGCTGTCGCCGCCGTCATCAGCCGCGTGCATCGCACCAATTCTTCTGGAGTGGCCGTGCTTTTAGCGGGCGTTGGCGACATTAACACCTGCGATCAAAATACATTGGTATAGTTTAGTATGCCATTTCTCAAAGCTATGTTCTGTAAATTGATTGAATAGAAGAACATGCTCATTTATCTACAACCTGTAAGTTGTCCAAGCGATGAATTGATATCTACCATACTTATTTCAGAGTAGTATACCTCGATTTCCTGTGAGATGGCTTCAATGGTAGACTCCAGCGCTCTAGTGCCGCGTGTGTGCTCATCCTCCACAGCTTTGACAGTCTTCAGCAGTGACGTCACGTTGGTCACCATCACCTACATACGAAATACAAATCATTATGATTTTATAATACTTTGTAGCTACAGGTAATATTGATATTAAGCTCCCATTAGTGAATACCAATATAAAATACTTGTGAGTGTTATAAATTTATTTTAATACGTATATGTAATTTGAATTTTAAATAATATAAAGCATTTTAAAATATTATTCAAATTGTTCCCTATAACCCTATTAATATTTCGATGAAACCACACAAGCAAATAAATTAATGTGCTGTGAATATATTTCCATATAAAGCAAGTATTTACAATATATTTAGTTAAAAACTTTAAAGAAATACATAAAACAAATAAATATTTAAACATTGGAAAAGATTATAGGTATTTATGACTATGTTTTTTTGTGTGTTTGTAATAATTCCTGCTAGACAAAAATCAGTGTTGTCGGTAAAACTAAAATTTTAGTACTATATATTTTGAAAAAAAACAAATCTTTTGTTATATTGTTCACATGTTAGACAAAACAAACAACTAAATGTCAATTTACTACACTTCAAAAGCTTAGGGTTGCCGAATATGAAAATTAAACTATGGCCGATATAATTTATTAATCCCAATGATTTGCAGTCAAAATATACAAGCTCATGCTATAGCAGGAAACCCATAAGCTTTCAACCATAAAAAAATCATAAATATACTAAATAAATATAAAGCTTGTTTGTGTGTACGTCAATATTGGACTTTGAAAGCTTCGCTGTGTGTGATATAAAATGAAAGCTTGTGGTTTTAAAGTTATTTACTTTTAAAAATATCAAGCGACGATCCGAGTCACCAGGTAACCGTGATATGGAGCGCGTTTGACGTTTCTGATGAAATGTGTTTAGTGGAGGGGTCTCGAGTTACTGGTCGGCGACCTAAGGTGCGACCTAACAGTCATGCACAGACGCCGATATAAAAAAAAACTAAACACATTTCTAAATCTCATGATTGGAACAACTGAGCTGAAAATGATTGAAGTATGATGATATCGTAAGCATAATACTTTGACTAAATAATTCCAGTGAAATAATTATTTTAATTGGTACTGTACGAGTGCAGTCATATGCTTAAGATATCAACTAATGAATTAAGAAGAGAAAGGAACGACAACAATGATCCGATGATCCAAACACCAGACAACATGACAAGCGACTCTTCTCCACACCATGCGATCCATTGCGTGCTCTGCATGACTCGTTTGTTAGACGCGGTGCACGGTCGGTTATTGTACAGGCTATTTTGAAATCTGACCGAGTCGTTGTCGCTCGTCTTCACGTCTTCGCTCTCGCGGAATCTGCTCTTCGTCATCTCGTCCAACATTCTTAGTTGCTCCTCCATACGACTGTTAGGTCTAGACCTTCTCGCAGTACTCCTATACTCCATTATTGCACGAATTCTATTCAAGTCTTCTTCGGTAGTTTCTTTTTTGTTTATCATAGTTTCGTAAAACTTCCACCAATTGTCAATAGTTCCGAATTGATGTTCGCGATTCTTTAGGATGTCTTCGTAAATAGACCACCAATTGTTCGCATAATATTCCAAAGGATATGTACGAGTCATATCAAAGATGTCTAAATTACTCTCAGAATGTTCATTCTTTGTGTGCGGTCTTTTCAAAGAACCACTACTATAATGATTTATGTTTTTAGTAAGATTTTGACTTGAATGAACATTTAAAATTACATTTCTATGTAAGGAAGGCGGTGCCGATTTTCTATCGCTCTTATTAGAGTCCGATGTTAATAATATTTTAGGCATCACGTTGTCTTTTATACCAGCCTCAATCTTGTACTTCCTTATGACCTCTTTATAATATTTTTCAAGCAAACACAATTCTTCATAGGTATACTTTGAAACGTCGATCTGGCTGTAAATATTTATAATATCTTGGATATGCACAACTTTTTTCTTTCTACCTTCAATTTGAACGTTGGAAAGAGCCTTTAGTTTCTCAATAAGGGGATCGAAGCCTTTATATATGAAATCTTTCTTTGCAAATTCAATTAGTTTTAATACAATGTCTTCATATTTCTTATTATATTCTAAATCTTTTTTAACAGCCTTAGAATTATCGACCTCTTCAATGAAGGTTTGCAGAGTTTCTTTTTCTTTTTCATATTTATCAATTTCAGTTTTAATTTCTTCTAAAACCAGTTCATGGCCACTAAAGCGGTCTAACTCACGCCTCGTCTCTTCCATTTTGTCCAGATTTCTTTTAGCTAAAGCCTTCCACCATTCAGTATCATCTTTAAACAATTTCCAAAATTCTATCTTGACCTCTTTAGTCCTAGATTCAGGTCGGACGGTTATTTCGTTTGGTTCATCTTTCTGTTTCTGATCTGGACTTGAAGGTTCAGAGGTAACTGGCTGAGCATGAGCGCTTTGTAATATTTTTAAATCTGGACTTGGACTTTGCCGCAAGTTTATAGGCTTTACTTTTTTGATTTTAAATATTGTGTTTCTGAGTGTCGGTGTTAACACTTCTGGTGTTGTATTCTTCAATTGGACAATGGTATGTTTTGTTTTAGTGCTTGTTACTTCTTTTTTTACTGGTTCTGTTGGAATTGTAACTTCGAAATCCAGATCCTCTATAACTTGGGATAGCCTTTTCATTTCTATATCCAAATCTGTTGTGGCTTTGATTCGTTTCAATGTATCTTGCTTTCTTTTAACTTCATCTTTATCAGATATCTGAACGACAATATCTACTAACTTTTTCAATTCCCCTAAGAATATATTTTCACCGTACTTCAACACCCTCCAATCCATATCGAAAATGCTATTTCGAGATGTTAAATTATATCGTACATTCAAGTCGTCATCTTTTATACTTCTTTCTGGAGTTTTCCTCATTAGACTTTCTATGTATGCTATTGCCTCTTCACAATTATCGTGGAATATAGAAGGAGAGACATCATCATCTTGGCTAGAATAGTCTAGAAGCTTGACAAGTTCTTCTTCTTGGTCCGACTGGAAGATATCTGTCTCAGAATCGCAAGAGTTGTATTCAGTCCTGAGGCCGAGGGTAATAGAGCGGCGCTTGTTCTGTCGCGGCATTGTATTAGGTTTGATGGGTAGACTCCAGCGCTTCGTTGGGTCGCTCAGCCGCTATCGGAAAACCGTGAATTAGTCGCGGTTAAAGTCCAATATTGACAACATACATTTAACTAAAACAATAAACAGGACAAAACACACAAATGACAAACTTTGTAACATAAAGAAATTAAATTTTAAGTTAAAAAACCTGCATGATTAAGTGAGAAAAAATAAAAAAATACCTTTCGTGTGTTTCTAATTTATTGTGCAAGAATTATTTGAGAGCTGAACTAGTGATGTGCTAACAAATAACATTCTGATAAGTAATACAATGAAGCAAACATTACTTTTAAGTTAAGTGATACCTATTTTTAACAGTACATTCTACAAATACATACTATCAGTTCATAATCAGCTCATTATACGTCCCCGTTGAAGGGATCGGAGCGTACTCTAAGTTAGTTAGGCCTCAATTAAGGTGGCCCACTGCAAGTTAGTTAACTTCAACTTAACTAAATTCCTCAGGATATGTTCTCTTACACTTTAAAGTATCTTTCGGTGAAACTTTCGATAAATGAACTAATACACTATATATATTTTTCAACTTTGTGTAAATTTTGTAAGCTCTTAGTGTATGGTAGCAGCTGTGGTATGTGTGGTCGTACAAATATATTCAAAAATATTTAGAGAATATTTTCACATAATCTCACAAGGAAACTATTTGTTTTTTCAAACACTGAGAAGCATTTCGTCGTTTCAAACTTGACATTGATATATTACCGTACAAAGAAGTCACCGGGGAAAAAATGTTATTCCTTATGTCTAGTCTATTTATTTATTAATTGTCTATCAGGGTTTGGTAGTTGTAGTAGTTGTTTGTGCTTTAGGGTGTGGTCGTGTTCGGCGAGTGTGGTCGTATGTGGTCGAGTATGGTCGTGTATGTTCGTATTTGGGAGGGACGTGTGTGGTGCGTGTGGTAGTGTTACCTTGGCGGCGTGCTTGAGGCGCTGCATGTCGGGGTGTGCGACGTGCTTGCCGCTGGCGGCGGCGGTGGCGGCGGCGAGGTCCCGCAGCGCGGCGGCCGCGTCCCTCGCCGCGTGCAGCACCAGCACCTGCGGCTCCGCGCTGCCCGCGCCTAGCGACATCGCGCCCTGCTTCACCACCTCGCACAGTTGCACTACACACAACACAAATATAATCAAATTTAAACGTATACTCATCAATGAAATATTTTCACTTGATGATGATTTATATTTGTCTAATCTATTATTTTAGAATCAATATTCCACAACATTTTTATAACATCTTGATCGAACTGGTAGAGATAAAGTTTGTTGTTACAGAATTGGAAATCCATAAAAAGGCACTACCTTTTCATTAGTTCTTTTTCAATTCCTTCATAATATATGTAAGATATAGCTTCGTACCTATAGTGCCGACAGCGCTCTGTGCAGCTGTGGCGAGCTGCTCCTGGGTGCCGGCGGCGCCGCCCACCAGCGTCTTGGTGTCCTCCACCAAGGTCTTCGCGGTTTTCAGGATATTCTCGCGATGGTTGGAGAACGTATCACCCTCCTTATCCGAGTGTAATGTACCTGGGTAGAATTAAACATTTTTAATAGACAATAAAGTGTATAATGGGTGTACATAAAAGGTGTTTAGTTAATTACCAGCGCTGGCGAACAGTATGGTGGTGTCGAGATCTCCAATTATAGTGGCGATAGTGGCTGCGGCGTCGATGCAGGCCTGCGTGCCGCGCGACCCCGCCTGCAGCGCGCTCAGCACGCCCACCACCTGCACACGAGTACACATAAATACACAATCACAGATCCATTAGCTAACTATCGAAATGCCTTCTTTGATCAAAACGTCAAGATTTATATAAATCTTATATGACCTGTTCCTTTACGCTACCTATTTTCATGAAGTGCATTTTACATTTTTTTCTCCAGTTCATAATAATCTGTACACAATATGTACCTTTTCATTGACGCGTCGTGCCGCGTCGGCGACGGCGCGCTGGTTGTGCGCGATGGCGGACAGCCGGCAGTGGCCGCCCGCCTTCACCAGCTCCGACACCGCCTCGCCCAGCTCCACCGCCGACATGCGGATCCTACACGAAACATATGTTACAAACAATGGCATAAACAGTGTTGGAATACAAGTATGCCTGAAATTTCATAGATTTTTTATCTATTATAACTAGGCTTCGGCTAGGAAGTTATTGTTAATCTAATTCTATTTCTTTTGGGAAGGCATACAAAGGTTAGCACGTCCCAACTTCGCTAAGGTGCTTCCTTTTGCCACACTTTTATATCTATTGAAGTTTACGCCTTGTGAGTGTTTCAATACCATTTCTGATAGAAATCCCTATTTACAAGACAATCAGTTAGACAAATTCGTTACTAATGAAGTACTACATACATATTTAAATACTTTACATTTGCTTTGATACCTAGCCTTTAAAGTATAGTATGAGGGATAGTTAAGGGATGGTTCACGTCACCTGTTGGCGACGTCAGCGTTGGGCGTGGTGGCGGAGGCGCCGACGCTGTCGCCGGCGAGCTGCTCGTACTTGCCGCACATCTCGTTGCCCACTTCAACAAGTCGACTCGGTTCCGTCGCTGATTTCGCCGTCTGCAAAGATTTTATATTACCTAATTACATCTAGAATATTCTATAAACTTTTCAATACATTCTATATTCAATTTACTCGTCTTTTATTAGTAACCCCCGAAGTCATGATATGATCATTACATCTAATGATATTAACAAATTACAGCTATCAATTTGAAGCTGTATTTATAAATTTTATTTACTGGACACATAAAACATCAATCGTAGTTTGACGTGTTTTTTATTATTGGGTCATGGTTCTAGTTTCTAGATACTTAACCTTGTAGTTAGATTAAATTGAGGGCGGAAATGTAACTAAAAAATGATTTTTTTATATTTTATTTTATAAAATTACTTATTTTAGTTAAATTAATTAATTCTTTAGTATGTAAAAGTTCAAAATAAACTACAATCAACTAACACCAGTTGGGATTTAACAAATTTTTAACCCAAACTATAATTTCTTTTACTATTTAGATTGACAAAACATTCTTACCATATCAGTGGCCAAACGTGCTATATCCTTAGCGGCTCCCACCATCCTGGTCTGGTAGTCGACAAACGAGTCCGTCTCATCGAATGATCCGATTAGTGACATCCTAAAGAAAAAAAATTAAATTCTTACTACAAAAATTCACCACACAAGTTTCACAGGTACTTATTCTAACCAGGAATAAACCGATCTGTTAAAAAGATGAATGAATGATAATTAAAATGATCGCGTCATTCGCGCATTACACACATTTTGTTCATAGTCGCAAATGATGCGTCCGAAACTCCGCGGTTCATCCGCACTCACTGAGCGGAATATCTGTTTATACACATTAGCTTTCTTGCATTACGTCATCGCGGCTTTTGATGCGACTATTATGACAACATTATACAAATATTACGGCCTTTTTCTAATAATTTAAGCAGTAACAAAGTATTATACTTCAAAAAATGTAACTGTTACTGAAATAAAACAAATGAAAGATTTCATCGACATTAATGTAGCTCTTAAGTAAAAGGGAGATAAAAACATGAAAATGCAAAAAAATGTTAAATGATTACTGAAGGTGAAGTTTTACGTTTTTAGTGTAGTGTTATATTAAGTAAGTAACCATAAAAATGACTGAATGTAACAATTTCTTCGATAGTACTATAGTAATTAAATACATTAGTGTGTTGTATAGGGCACGGAAAGTGGCGTAGGTCACTTCAATTTATCTGCATCCAATGATTGCGGCTGGCGACGCGCCAGACGAGTCGATGCCCTAAATTACACGACGATCACCTAACCTATACAGTTATGTCTAAATTCGAAATAAAACTGTTAAAAAACAAAAATTACGCGACATATATGATTATGAATAATAATTTTAAATACTAGTAATTTCTATACCGTGATAAGTTTTTAATGTAAACGAATAAGTAAGAAAACTCTACTACTACAACTGATGACTTATAAGAGAAAAGCACGCATTTGAGAGAAAGAAACCTCTATAAGTGATAAAAATATCGCGTTCCCCCGGACTTTTGCTTCTCCAGGTTCCGTTGACATATTTGGTAGATTCCCAGCGTATAAGCAATAATAAGCGTTAACCATAATATTCCAATATTTTTTAATCTTCTATCTATCTTTTTCCAACCAAGTGTTAAATACTGCAATGCACAGGATTCGAGTACAACGGTCGATGCGCACAGCATCAACATAAAATTCACAAATAGTCCGTCCGTCAGACCGCCTATATATACCGCAGCCGGCAGCTGACCGCGCGGTTAAGGCCACTTTAGGTATTTATATACCGCTTTACCAGACCACACTCCTCAACCAAATATCAGATATGTTAAACCGTAACACCAAACAGGCTTAAAAACTTTTTTTACAAACTCCATATCGTTTTAGACATGAAATGTTTTATACTACTCTATTTATTCAGTATCGTAAGGCAAGAATATGTTCGATTCAGGGAATTGTACATTTTTTACCCAAGGAAAAATAAAAATAAAATACTAGCTTTCGCCCGCGATTCCGTCCGCGTGGAATAAAAAAAAAACAAAAGTGAGTAGCCTATGTCTTCTTTCAGATCATCTACATCTATACTAAATTTCATCGAAATCCGTTCATCCATTTAGGCTACAAACTCTAACAAACATCCATCCAACCATCTGAACTTTCGCATTTATAATATTACAGGATGAAGTATGATACAAAATATACATTTTTATACTAAAAGTTTGTGTTTCTGTATACCTATGTTCAGTGAGCCGTGCGACAGCGCGCGCCAGCGAGTCCAGCAGCGGTCCAACAGCGCCGCGCTGGGAGCTGAGTTCGCGAACATGCGTGCTTAGTTCGCCGAGCGCCGCGCGAGCCAGCGAACACTGCGCCTCCACCTCGCCCGCCGCGCTCACAGCCTGCGAGAACAAATTATTATTGCTTACTATTTTAAAAGCTACATTTTAAGTAGATTTAGCAATAAGATCTGGTTGTGCCATTACAAATTACACTCTCTGTTCGTTGTTACTTTATGAGGGTCACGACTCATCATAAGATCTCTTAAGGTGGTTAAAACAATCAATGTCTAGTTCCGAATTTTAAATTTACAGTACTAGTTAATTTCACGGATAATTGAGTTATTTGGATGATGAAAACCCGGTGCGCCGATCTGCAGGAGTAAGATAAGATAGAAGAGATGATATTTTTTTAAATAAATAATCAATAAATAGTAAATTATGTGAATACTATATTTCACTTACTCTAGGGTTGCCCGCAGCGAGCTTGGCGGAGTGCACGAGCAGCGCCAGGGTCTCGAGCACGGTGCGCGCGTGCTGCAGCAGCGCGGCCTGCGCGCGGGACTCCGTCGTGTTGGAGGCCGCGCCCGCCGCCGCGCTCACCAGCGGCTCCGCGTACGACACCTGCACACACGCATATTACAACATATAAATTACAATAATTTTTACATATTAGTGTACGACAGCGACCCCATCGCAGAATAAAAATAAGTAACATAATCTTCCCTCATCAGGTAGCTTTCTATTAAACCTATAAGAATCGGTCTAACCTTTCCGAATATTAGGCATAGTTCCTAGCACCGAGGCGCTAAATTTTTCTACATAATCTATATTTCTATACTGATATTATAAAGAGAAAAGATTTGTATTTTTGTATGTATTGGAATAACTCAAAAACTACTGGATCAAATTCAAAGATTCTTTCACCATTAAAAAGCTACGTTATTAGTGAGTAACATGGTCTACTTTTTTTTAAATTTCACACGGGACAAGTCTCAAGCTACAGCTAGTTTTAAAAAAATTCAAAGGCAGAATAGAAAACAGACGAAATATATGTGATGATTGCAAACTCACAAGCTGTACGACAGCATGTCCGAGGTTCTCAGCCTCGCTGCGCGCGGCGAGGCGCAGCGGCTCCAGGCGCTCCAGCATCTCCGCCGCCGCGTTCTCTATCTGCTCCGAGTACCCTGACACAATGTACAGTGTTTAAAATTTTAATTACAGTAGAAAGTACTGTAGAAATCATTTTATAAGGCGTCTTTGGAAGGACAGTTTTAATATAAATGTTTTGTAAATGATATTTCTCAAAATATGAATAAATTTGGAAAGAACCTATTTACCTTTTGATAACCATAATTGGTACTATTTTTGGCAAAAAGAAAAAAAATAGAAGATAGAAATACCTTGATAGAGATAAAATCTCTCCCTCTGTCTTTGAGCCTTAGATAGAGGTAAAATAGTATTCATTTAATTTATTAGTACCTTGCAATGTATTGGCCTGTCGTGGTTGTAGTTCCTGTCCTACAGCCTGTATGGCTACTTGATCCAGTTCGCGGAGCTGTTTGTTGAGGGTCTCCAGTGCTGCGGCACACTCCCGCTGTCCCGGCGCCTTCTCACTGTAAAAACAAAAGTTAATAAAGCAACAAGTTCTAAAATCAAGACATTTCAGACGTGTAAAAAATTAGATAAAACAGTAAACTAACTTCGTGTTAACATGAATCTCCTTTGATTATCAATTACTATAGGGACACACTGTCTTCCTTACATATATTGTTGTCTCGATTTAATCTAAGAGAATGAAAGGGACAGCACTATGTGAATACACTGAAGTCGGATAAATCTGTAACATGTTCGTAGAAGAGACCAACCGTATGTTTGTGACGAGTGCTTTAATACTATCAGAGACAGTCTTGCTGTGCGCGGCGAGCGCCTGCCACTGCGCGCGCTCCTGCGGCGACAGCGCCAGCGCGCGCGCCGCCTCCAGCATCGAGCACGACCCAGATATTATGTTCCTGTACACAAACACATATACTGATATACTTATATGATAACTAGAAATTATTGCAGAAAAATTGTTTATTCCAGAAAAAACGTTATGCAAGCAATATACGCACATCCATGATTTGTAACGTAAAAGTAATAAAACGTTCTGACAAGAATACAATACGAAAAAACTACAATTAGATTATAAATATTACTGTTTCATCAATCACTTTATTTGTGTTTATTTTTCTCTATCTAATCTAAAATTATAAAGATGAAAGTTTTCTATTTATGTATGTATTGAAAAAACTCCAAAACTACGATTTTAAAAATTCATTCACCATTAAAAAGCTACGTTATCAGTAACATAGGCCATGCTTTTTATTATATTTTTAATTTCACGAGACAAAATCACTAGGCACAGTTTGGTTAATTTATATAATAATGTTACATACCTTCCGCATACAAGTATAGCCTCCTGGCTGGGGGGCGCTTGCGGCGAGATGCGCGCCGGCCCCGCCGCAAACTCGGGGCTGTCAGCGAACTGGCACAGGCTGCGCACCGCGTCCAGCAGCGGCCCCGTAGCTGACGCACATCGCGCGCGGTTCGTCTACACAACAAAATGTTATTTAATTATATCCATACAATATAAGTCCAGTTTGAAAATAGCTTAGGGAAAATGGGACATTTTAATGTGCAAATATATCCATACTAATGTTATAAAGAGGAAAGATTTGTATTTTTGAATTTTTGCATGTATTCCATTCCCGTAAACACTACTGCGCCGATTTCAAAAATTCTTTCACGATTACAGGTAATTCATATGTGAGTAACATAGGCTATAATTTTATTTTATAATTTCACGCGAGCGAAGTCGCGAAAAACAGTAATACTATTAAAAAGAGGAAATATTTATAATTTACATATATTAAAATAATGAAATAATTCGAAAACTGCATGGCTGATTTCATAAATTCTTTCACTATTAAATATGGACGTTATCACACTTTAACTTGGCTATACTTATAACATTTCATTCCGCGCGGACGACGCAAGCATCAGTTAGTCTTGAACAAGCTAAATAGAAATTTAAATATCAGTATCGTAACGTAAGGAGTATTATCTATCCTATTTACTAGTTAATTGTGTTTTCACCTCGCTATAATCAGCATCAAGTGCTTTAATTTCCTTGACGAGCGCTGCGGTGGAGTTGGCGACGTCCTTAGCGGCCTGCACGAAGTGTCGCTTGCTCTGCGGCTCCGCGGAGCGGCCGGACGCCACGCGGCACGCGTTGCATAGCGCACTTGTGTGCTTCGCTATCACTGTTGCCGCTGATAACACCTAAAAACACCATCAGTATTATAAAAATATTCTTACAGACTTCATAAATGAATGAAAATCACTTGTTTTCACACAAAGCCACATTTGAAATACCATGCATTTTATCTCTTTAATTGTAAATTGCTATAGATTTATATTTCTGTGTGTCCTAAACAACTAGCACTAAAACGGAAGAATTCTGGGTCATACAAGACGGGCCTAAAATCTAGTGTCGCCTACACTACACTCGACCACTTTCCTAGATAAACAATTTTGTAACATACATAACTAAATCTTCAAATAAAAATCTTTAAATATCATATAGTCATTTCAAATATCTTGGCGGCTCAAGATCTCTTAATGCCCAGTAACACCTGAAATTCTTCGCAGAGACTCGTCTTTCCGTATCGCCAAAATATACGTTATACCTTTATACGTGTATACCTGATTACGTGTATACCTGTTGTTGATTGCTGTCCTTGTCGCACAATGTCTTGCAGGCCTGGTCTATGGCGAGTGCGGCGCGCGCGAACTGCGCCTGGTCCACCAGACCTGGCCTGCCCGCCACGCTGGTCTCGTCAGACACCGCCACCTGAATAATACGCAATAGCGAGATGATCATCGACGTTCACTGAGGACGAGGATCTAGCAAATCCAGAGGGAATAGACGCATTGTCGGTCTTTGAGAAGGCACTGCTTGCCTATTGTAGAACTTTAAGTTAGTGTAATTAAGCAGTAATATGTGAATATTGACTGACGAGGTATGCGGCCTGCGCGGTGCACTCGACGAGCCCCTGCACGGAGGCAGCGACGGCGGCCACGGAGCGCGCGAACTGCTCGCTCTCGCCGCGCTTCACCGCGCCCGCCATGCCCGACATGCCCTCGCCTGGAACAATTATAACTAATTATAAATATATACTAGTATATGAAAAGTTTAGATGGATGGATGTTTGTTACTTTGTAGCCTACATGGCTGAACAAATCTGGATGAAATTTGATCTAGATGTAGAGAATAGTGTGGAGGAACACATAGACCACTTAGATATTAATTCCACGCAGACAGAGTCGTAGGCGGAATCTAGTCACTTATAACACTAACAAGTTACAGTACTATTGGTGAACTAAAAACATCACATAACTGATTACTGTTGTATTGTAGTAATTAACTCTGATAAAATATATTCAAAATATTTCGGTGTTGTAGCGACAAAGAGATGAATTATGCATAATTTTTTCAATATTAAAATATTTAAAAGGCCAATGATTGATACTGACTGAGTCCCTTGCTCTGGTCGACGACGCAGTCGAGGCAGGCGAAGTAGCCGAGCTCGCTGAGCGGCTGCGTGGGTGCGGCGAGCAGCGGCCGCGTGCTGTCGATGCTGCGGATCGCCGCCGCGCACTCCTTCTGCCCCGGCGCAGCCTCCGTGCACACGTCCACCTGCGCATACAAACACATCTTACTACACGATTCACTCGGATAAATATAAGTTGGTCGGTCTTTTAACTAAAAATAGTTTTTTTTAAATAATAAAACTTATTTTATGTCATATGTTGATAGAAAAAGATTAAGACACATTGAAAATACTTACAAGACGATTAATGCTCTCTGTCACCGCTCTCGCTGCTGCTGCAAGTTGGTTCTTGGCATTGGGTCGTGTTAAGTCCTATTAAAAACAGTAACATTTTTTAAGTAGCTATTAATTAATAGTAAGTCAATTTAAATGTATCGTTTTGAAAAACTTACTTGACTGACAGATTTAGCGGTGCCGAGCAGTTTCGACGAGTTCACAGTCACAGTCTTCATTGAGCTAACCATCGTTGCTTGAGATTCACGATCCTAGGAAACCATATAATAAATTACAAATTTTCGCCACCATTCGTTACAAATCAATAATAGATATGGTGTAATTAATTAAATAATACAGGGCTAATACTATTGCCAATTTGTTACTAACTTCAGTCTGTCCGGCCATCTCCATGGAGACGCCGAGCAGCCGGTTGAAGGCCTGTCCGAAGTGCCGGCCGCTGTCTGCGAGCGCGTCCGGCTGCTCCACCGCCTGCACCACGTCGGACGACGCCGAGCTCAGCCCCACCGCAGCCGCGTTCAGCTCCGATTGCAGCTCACTATACACGTAATTTCTTTAACAACATGCCTTGTCCCTATGAGGTCTCTAAGAGCTTCTACTATATGTTCTACTCTTACATCATCTAATAATTTATCAATCACTCTCTCTAGCATATTCTCTTTCACACAATCCATAGTTTCTTAAACTTTGATTAAAAATAAATGTACTTTGATAACATAACTAACACCCGTAATGACCACGGTTCGTCATTTGGGGTGCTTCTGACACATTTCTCTTCCATCGTAAGTTGAATGATTTTCAAAATTATACCCGAGACTTTGAGTAACATTAATTTGTAACAGTTACCTGTATGTCTTATCAGAAGGCGGGAACTCTCCCATATTCAAGATGTTTAGAGTTTCATTTATATTCTCCATCGCCATGTCGAGTTCTGCGTGCGAAGGTACTGCCTCCATTGTTTGTTCCAAATTCTGCAATCATAATTCTTATGTAATAACAATAGTCAGTTATTTAGTCAGTAGATAATAAGGACTTTTTTGTTACCTGTGAAATATCTTTAGCAATAGCGACTATCGAGGCGGTGTCGACATCTTCCGAAGAGTTCATGTATTGCTTCACTGTCTCCACCAGGGTCAAGGAGGAGTGCAGCACTTGACGGCCCGATGAAATTACGCTAAACAGAAAACAAAAATAATAAGTATTCATATATTTAGTTCACGACATTATTATCCACATTTACTTAAATTGTTTGATTCAGTTGGAAATTACACGCCAACTGATTCAGTAATTTGTCAAGTTTAGTAACAATCTCAGTAATTTTGGTTCCAAGCACAGACTGTAGTTTTCATATAACTTCGCTGTTCAGTAGCAGAAGTCGCTGCGTAGAATACAATTCCACACAGAGGGCAATGTCCGAGTCGATATTTGAAAAACGTAATTAGTTTATATTAGTTGTTATCTAACCGGAGTTGTTTGTGCGGCGCGCGGTGTGCGGCTGCAGCGGCTGCTCTCAGCGGCGGCGTGTAGTCTCGCAGCGCTGCAGCCAGCTCCGCGGCGGCGCGCCCGCAGCCGGCCGCCTCACGCACCCGCGCCGCGCCCGCCAGCGCCGCGGTCGCCGCGCCCGCCGCACGCGATGCTCCTTGCAGCCGAGATGATGCCCATTCGCTCTAATATAACAAATAAATTGTAAACAAACTATCTTACTGTAATTCAAATCTCTTAAATGTTGAATTTAAATATACATTTTATTTACAAATTCACGTGTAGCGTTAGTTGCGCAGTTGTTTAGCACTCAACCAGACCGGAATATAATCCACACATCCAGATTGAATTTACGTTAAATACCATTGTTATTTTCGAATTTCATATGTACATTTTTGCAACGTTTTTACGATAAAGATAAACATTGCGTTGCAACCGGTAAATATCTGCGAAGAAATTGAAGGATGTGTAAAGTCAACCAACATCCACTGGACCAGCATGGTTGATGTGGTTTATGAGCCCCTCAGTGAAGACGTACATTTAATCTTACTAATATTATAAATGTGAAAGTTTAAATGGATGGATGGATGTTCGTTAGAGTTTGTAGCCTAAACTACGGAACGGATCAAAATGAATTTTGGCATAGACGTAGAGGATGCTCTGGAAGAACACATATGCTTCTTATTTTTAATTTATTTAAATCTACGCAGACGGAGTCGCGGGCTAAAGTTAGTAATGACATAAGTAACAAAACACGAAATCTGTGTGTGGCAGTAAGTTATTGTTTACCGTCTGTCCGGGCATTGGTTTGAGGTCGAATGCACGCGCGGCCTCCTCCATCTCGTCGAGCTCCGCCTGCAGGCTGCGGATGATCTCCGCCGCCGCGTCCAGCTCCAGACCCTTGCACGAGATGCGCGCGCGGTTCACTGCAGATCTGTTTAACATACACCTCTTTAGTTTGTAAACAAATGTGAATTAAATCAACAATGTTATTACAGAAATCATATTAATATAAATGCGAAAGTTTGGATGAATGGATATATGTTATTATGTATCTCCAAACTTAACGGATCTAGATAAATATTGGCATAGTTAGCACAAACTCTGGAAGAATTACTCACTTAGATCTTTTTAAATTCCACGCGTACGAAGTCGCGAACAAAAAAAAGACAAAATCTAATCAGGATCTCTTAGTAAAAATGCAATATTATGGTTTAACTTTCTTATTGCAAGATTATTTCGGAAACACGATTCGTGATAATAATTTGACTTATTAGAGTAGGTTTGTTTTACTGTGACTTCTGTAAGTCTGTGTACCTGAGGTCGGCGCAGCTGGTGGTGAACTGGTGCGTGGTGTCGGCGAGCTGCTTGGCGGTGGGCGCGTCGCCCACAGTGGGCAGCACGCTGCGCGCCGCCTGGATCACGTGCCCGCTCGGCTGACAATATCAACATTCATATTATTTCTATACTTGTTATTACATTATATTTATCTATACTGGTATTATAAAGCGAAAAGATTTGCAATTTTGTATATAAGTGAATAACATAGACATGCAGGCGAAGTTGCGAGCAACAGCTAGTATACTATATACTAGTGGTAAAGTATTCGTTCTAAAGAAAAAATAAACCGTCAAAAAACTCTAATATTAAATTTATAAACTGATCAAAATTGATGGATTAAACAGTTTCAACGCGCCTTTCTGTTATCCGTAATTTGAATCTGGATGAGATGTACAAAAATCAGTATACTTGGAAAGACTTACCATTGTGAATACAACAACATATAACATGTTATACTAATATACCTGTAGGAATGTCTCTGAGGCGGATATCAGGTCTAGTTGTGCGGCGGCCTCTCCGGGGCGCGCAGACGACGTCTTGGCTGCGTCCACTACGCGTGGGATTTGCTCGTTCAGCACGCGGCACTCTTGTAGCAACGATTCCTAAAAACAAACATACTTTTAGACACATATTAATAACTTCTATCGTACTGATATTATAAATGCGAAAGTATAGATGGATCGATGTTTGTTGGAATTTGTGGCCTACACAGTTGATCTGGATCAAATTTGGCATATATGTAAAACATAGTCTGGAAGAACGCATAGGCTACTTACTTTTGTTTTTATTTCCACGCGGGCGGAGTCTCTGGCAAAAGCTAGTAAATAATACATACCTGTGAGTACTTATTGGTGTTGTGCTGAGTGGCATTATGTGCAGATGTGATAAGTTGTGTGGCGCTGGACGCAGCTAGTCTCGCGCTTTCCTACAATAATTACCATTATATCAACATTTCATAAAAAATACATATTTTATGACTGATATTTATTGTATATTTTAATATATTAACAATAGTATCAATCTATACTGATATTATAAAAAGATTTTTATTTTTATTTGTTGGAATATCTCAAAAACTACTACTAATTTTCAAGTGTAAAATATATTTACTTGTAGTCTGGCGACTTGCGTTCCAACGATGTCTTGTCCCTGCGCGTAATCCACTGTGATATAACGTACTTCTTCAGCCGCCCGACGCAGTGCCTCTTGTTTATCACGGTCCTACAACAACACAAACATCTCACTGCATTCATACTTTATGTATACGAAACATATTTTTTACTATTCAAATCATGATCACGTTAGCTCATAAAATGTACGTTACTGTTTAATGCTGCACTTAAAGACGTTGCTGGCCTTTTACTAAAGAATTCCCTTCGATTTATGATGAAAAAGCTATATTAAAATACTGTTACTAATAGTTTGTTGCAGCAAGCTTAAGTTTACTAATTTCAAGATACCTGTGGCGATGAGGCACACAGCCTGGCAGCTTCGACCATGCGGGCGGTGGCGTCTGCGAGTAGCTTGGCGGCCGCCAGCAACTTGCGCTGCGAGTCCGACGACTGAGTCTCTGCCTCCGTCTACATCAAAAACAATATCTATTAAAACATCTAAATATGGAGGTGCGCATACAACTCGATTTTTTGTGCTACTAGACATTTGATCGCAATCGCACAATAATTGTGAGATAGTTTCATAAAAGGTGTGCGTCCGCTGTAATAGGCCTTATTTAAACTATAAATATAACAACACTTTAACACAGAGCATTGTGTGTAGGGTAGATGACCTGCAGCCGCTAACTTCGGAGTAAGTAAAGTGCGATACATTTATGTGGCCCGGTGATATTGTCAATGACCAGTGGGTCAGATAAGTCGTGTAACAAGAACCTTGATATCAGCGATGAGCCTGGCGGTGGCCTGTCCCAGCAGGCGCGCGCGGCGCACCATCTCCGGCGCGTCGTGTGCGTCCGTGACGCGCTCGCTGGCGGACACCACGCTCTCCACGCTGCGCTCCATCACCGTCGGCTGCACGCTGCGACGCTCTGCACACAGTTTACAAATATTAAAATCAAATTATAGTTTACTACATAGCAAATTAATCATAAGAGAAATCGGCTTGTTTCCACATATTCTTTCTAAATTAAAAAAAAAAACAAAAACAACTTTAAATGGTATTAGAAAAACAGTAATACTAGATCAAACATATTTTTTATTCATCCCTTAGCTTTTAAATAATTCTAGTGGATTCAAGCGTTTAATCTATTCTAATATAATAAAGAGGAAAGATTTGTATTTTTGTATGCATTAAAATAACAGAAAAACTACTGGGCTAATGTCACAAATTCTTTCATCATTAAAAAGCTACGTTATCGCTTAGTAACATACATTTTTAATTTTCACGTGGATGTAATCGCGAACTACTATTACGTATTATAATATTTGACAACAACAATAATTTAATTCCCTGCTACAAACTCACCTAAATGACAATGCGCCAGCAATCTCTCCAGCTCCTCCGACACCCTGTGTGCGGCGGCCGCGAGCTGCTCCACGCCGGGCCCCGCCACCTCCGGCGCCTGTCTGCTGGCGTCCACCAGCCGCTCCACTGCCGCACCCACTTGCCGAGCTGCACTCGTCAGTTGTTCCCGGCATGCTGGGTTGTGGAGGGTTGGTGCTACAACCTAAAAACAACTTTATATTTATAGAGAAATGTCATACGATTAAGTTATAATTTAAATACAAAAAAAAATTGTTTAGACATTTCAGTCCAACACAAAAAGCTTAAAAAGATCATATAGTTTGTACGCGTAAAATAATAGTCATATTGCTTTACATTTATCTATAAAACTAAATTCTTTAGGAATCGCTTGCGTACCTTAGCGCAGGCGACTAGCTGACTGGTAGCCAGAGCGCAATGCGTGGCTGCCGCTATTATATTATTCTGCAGCGTCTGATCATCTTTGCACTGCGCCGCAACATTCTTCGCCTTCAGCACCAACGCGGCAGTTGTATTAGCCACAGCTTTAGCCAGCGACAGCAAGATATCCTACACAAAAGTAAAAATATTTATAAGTACAGCATATAAAAATCAATCAGTGATATTGTCTTTTACGTGCGGTTGAGCTGCGCCTGTCATTTTATTAATAGCAATAAAGCATTGACACAGTTTTGCATTATAAACACAGAGCGAGAGTTATTTTTAGTACATAAGAATTCTTGTATTGATGATTTGTATCCAAATTTAAAAATAATTGAATTGATTCCGACCAAAAAAATATTTGAACCGGTCTTTGAAATAAGGTCACATGAAAACCTTGAATCACAACTTTCGAAAAATTACATAAAATCAGTTTCGATGTTTCAGTGATCTTAATCTCGAATAACTGTACAAATGTTAGAAATTAACGTTTTCGTAAGTCGATGGGATTGATTAGTAATATTAAAATTATCTTTGTCACTACATTCACTTTTACGGACAGTTAGTCGTAAATAAAAATCCAGATTGTGATGAAAAAGCAAATGTATTAACAAAAATAATATAGCAGTGCTATTTATACTAAGTATAATCTGTAATTGTACCCAAACTTTAATGTAGATTATGAAAATAATGCACTATTTAAAAAAAATAGCAATTTTATCCGACTGTAACAAAACCCTAAATTGCTAATTTAATTAGTCAAGTGTTCATTTTTTTTAAAAAATATGTTTCACATTAGTATTTCTATCTCATGTTATGGCACAAATTAATCAAGACATTATTTCATTATTAAGTTTAGATAATAAAATATGAATAGTTTACGAAATAGAAGTTTAAGCTTTATGGATTGCTGATTATTGAATTATTGTATTCGGTGATCATAATTTTTAAATTGGTATTTATACTTTTAAGTAATTTTCGTTATTTGTATGTATTTTATTGGACTCGTCAAAAGTCTGAATGCATCTGAAGTCAGATAAAACTAGAAAAAATATTGTAAAAAGTAAATGAAATGTTCTTTCCCTGTCCTTTAACTGATCGCGAGAATACATTTGTCTCGCTTACTCCGTGTCAAATGCAATATTCCCAAACTGACTTCAGACACAAAAAGATTTATGACGACTGCCTGATGTTACGGTAGTAAATCTGAGACACAGCACCATATTAGTGAACACATATTTACAAAAGTGGTTACAGTCGTTATATGCGTAGTATGATATGGAAAAAAATTAAACCCTTATACATTATAAAAACCATGTCCAAACAAAAAACAGCAAATATAACTTACAATCTATTAGGAGAAATGAGATTCTTTTAGGAACATTTTTGGCATGACCAGATTTAAAATAAAGATGTAATTTTGTAAAAAAAAGCTGCCATGAATTTTTCTTATTTCTATTACAATAAAATAAACATTTATATTTTACTTTTATGGACGGAATATTTAATTAAGTACTGTGTAACGTAAACAAAATCTCTGGTCATGCATAAAGCTAGCTGCCAAATAAATTCCAATTTAACCTTAACAATAAACGGAAATATAAAATTAAAAAAAAACATACATTAACAAAAACAAAAATAATAACTGTGCAAAAATGTGATGTATAACAACTCCTTCAGCAGGATATCTTTCAATAACACCAACATATTTAAATGTATAGCATATGTTGTATATTGTAATAGGCAAGTATTCTTATGGCAAGCCAGGAAAAGAAGCAGTCAATTTCATACTTGACAATTTTCGGCTTATAAAAATCCTCTAGGGAAAAATCTAGCAAATTCAAAGGTCTTACATTCCAGTCTTGATTTCATTTACATCCATGTCTTTAAATCACAGCATTTCAAAACATTTTCGACCTGAATCAGTGACATTTCCTGTCACACATTCATCGTTCGAAAACATTGATTGGATCAACAATAATAATAAAACGAATAGAAGAGACAAAACGCATAATATATTCAACCAGTTGTCTCTCCATATTTTACCCAGCTCTATTTCTAAACAAACACATTCCGGACAACATTTCTCCTCAGTTTTCGGACATCGTCTTTGACAAAATTGGCATAAACCTAGAGCTTTAGCGTCCATTGCAGAGAACGTTGGATTATAGAATATACGAATTTCAGTCTTTCCTTTAGGCGGGGTTTTCGTATTATTCAATTCCACTGTTGTAGTCCTATCACGTGTTTCGCTTGTGTAATATTTCTCGCTTCGTTTTATAAACGTTTCTAAATCATCTCTTTTGAGATTTAACTCCTTTTTAGTGAAACTAGCTTCAACTATCTCTTTGTATGACTCTTTTGTGGTGAGAGTACGGTTGTATTTATCGATATTTAGAATTTTCATGTTAAGAGAACCCGAAACTTTGACTTCTGGACCTGATTTAGTGACGTCATTCCGTATAGTCTGACATTCGATTCTTTTAGAATTATTGTACCTATTGAATTGTTCGTTAATATCGTTTTTGTCGTTGTTATTAGAGAGGAAGAATCGTTCGCGTAGTAATTTATTTTTAATACGTCTATCTATATCGATGTTAGCGTATTCATGTTCTGGAGTTTCTTGGTTGAAGTTTATGTTAACATAGTCGTGATTAGAGAAGTCTTTTTTGAAATTATAAATCTTCTCCGAGGTTGATTTCGGCGGGAGTTTTAAACTATCATTGTCTCTGTCTTCTAAATAGTCTTCGCAATTTTCTAAAATGGATTCAAAGTCGCTATTATTACCAGAAGTGCCGGTAGATGGCGTTTTACTTTGATTGATTTCGTTCAAAGTTACTGGTCGTCCAGGATTAAAGTACGTGTTGCAGTACTCCAAGCTTCTATAATAATCGCTATCGGATTCTTCTTGTATGACATCCAGCATTCGTCCATATGTGTTGCTTGTATCAATATCTTCATAAATACCCTCATCTTCTACTTGTTTAGGTCGATTAGTGACGTCATCGACGATGATTGTTTCAAAATCAGATCCATATTCCTGTTTATCCTTGTTACCAAAGAAAGCTTTATAGAAATTGTCGTAACAGTAATTAAGTTTTCTGTACAAAAATGACTTTTTGTTGTTTTTATTTTTCTGTGTGTTGTCGATTTGTGTGATATTTACCTGGGTTTCCTTATCCTCTTCGGTTTCTTCGCCGATGGTGTGCAGGACTGAGGTAGACGCTTCCCCGACGCGTGATGCAGCATTGAGGAGGTTCTGACGAGGCTGAAAACAAAAATCAAATCAATCAAGAACAAATTCTATAATCAATAAATATGGTCCTTCGAGCTGGATCGTATAATTTAACTAAAAATTACATATGGGTCTGCATGTAGCAAATACGCTTACCTCCTTGGTTTCAGGTTCGGCAGCTTTCAACAAATCGCTGAAAGCGGTACATAACTTTCTAGTCGCGTCAAGAAGTTTGTCCCCATCATCGGTGTCATCCATAAGTGCGGCAATAGTTTGTACGCCTGCGGAAAAACATCACGTAGAAGTTTTTTTCATAATACTAACAAATTATATGGAAGACTATAAAATACTATACCTTTAGTCATTTCTGGCAAGTTAGTGGTGATTGTAGTAATGGCAGCGCCTACGGCGGTGTGGTCTACTTCTTCGGTAGGACCTGTTAAGAATAATATTATAGTATACAATGTTTACAACATAAAAACATAATTATTTTTTACCATATTGTAGTGTCAGTAAAGTTCTTTTTCCCTTACCAGATGTCAGAGTAACCACTTGCGCCGTGGCGGCATTCATAGCTGCTATTTGTGACGTCACAACTTGCTTGCTGGTATCCATCGTCACTTGTTTCCATTTTACCGACGCCGCGTCGTGTCCTAGAGCTGGTAGTGAAGCCTGGAAATTACAAACATGATAATTATAAGACAATAAACTGAATTTAAATCATTTTTATGCAATAAAAACCATAACTGACCCTGCTAAGACTCTCTTCAGTCTGTCGTATAATCTCTCGACCACCAGTGATGGTAGACAATAACGCGCGTTGCGGCTCCGTCAGTATAGACGTGACGCGCGTTTGCTGCACCTGCGACGCCTGCAAATATTACAAAACAATTCAATACTACGTAAGTTGTTATTCTATTTTGAGACCTATTACTACTTGTTATAAAGTCTATATTTCTAGAAAATACCTACACAGCCCACTTCGAAGACTGCACATTTCCATTATAAAGGAAGCGTGAAACAAACAAAACACGGTCAACCATTTTTCATGTCACATAAAATTACTGAACATAAGAGAGAATAACGAGTATGGTCATTTGTAGGCCCGTTAAAACGTCGTCATAGTACAATTTATTCCTGCAAAAAAATATATACAAAAGAAAAATATACTGACAGTAGGAGGTGTGTGGCCTGTGATGATCTGACCGGAGACGGTGGTCTGCTGCGCGCCGGTGAGGTGGCCCACCGCGAACGACTTTGCACCTAACGTAGCCAACGCATAAGCTTTCATAAATCACAGCCAAAACAAAAATATAAACAGCATTATACAGCATATCAATAAAATAATCTAAAAGCGAGTTTCTTATACAAACTTACTGTATTACATATTTATATTTTTATCGGTAAACATTTTGTTTTTTGTATGAATTTGTATGTTTTCTAATAAAATAATAGAAGCTAAATAATTGCTAAATTATAAATAAAGCACTGTACAAGTCAAACAATTAAGTCATTAATATTACCTTCAGCTCCTGGCCTGAGTACCGCCGGCTTGGCCACTGACTCCATGTTCACTTTGCCCGATTTGAACGTGTCGTGTTGAATTATATTGGCCCTAAGAAAAAAGGAAATTTATATATGCGACATAACTTGTGATTATATTAATAAAAAACTGTGAAAGATTGATCCCTAGAACCCATCACATAAACACTACATTGGATAAACGACCCTAACACAATAGTAATAAGTGTCAAAATGCAGTACTCACTTTGACGGGGACACGGAGTCTTCCAACATAGCGGAGCCCTCATCGCCTTCGATACCGAGGTGGTCCTTAGCGCGCTGCTTACGTACGATAATGTCGATGTAGCCCGCGATCACCTGCAATATCTGCTCCGCCTCAGTCGTCTGCACCGAGTAGTACTGGTCACTGTAATACACAATATTCATTTATTTCATACACAAACAGATTAAAAAAATACAGAGGAAGGATAGTTGACACTACACTTGACATTTTTAACATGATTCACTAACGCTATCTATTAAAATGTTCTCAAAATCACGTGTCAAGATAATTAGTTGTATTGAAATACCTAATATGTGTCATAAAATAATGTTTAAATGTTTATCTTTTTATTTTGTGACACTGTTTAATTTATTTTATAACAAAAGTAGAGCTTATTACACTATTTTGTAAATTTTTTTGGTCAACACAAACATGAGGTGACGTAGTAAACTTGATTACTAACTTAGTACCTTTCAAAAACGTTACCAGTGGAAAAATCTTCACTATGTCGAGTATATATATTTCTTAAATGTCTTTGATTCATCACGAGTTACTAATAGAGTATTGTAAGCAAGTGGTGGTATGTTATAAAATCTGAATTTCAATATTCATTATAGTGACTGATGAAAGCGATAATCAAATTTAATTCCTTATACCTGTAATCACCAAAGTCCAAAGTGAATGTATTAGGGCTGGCACACCAGCGCCGCACCGTGGTCAGCGGCCACGTCTGCAGAATCTCTTTGGTCTTCTCATCCAGCCGCAGCACTGAGTCTTTGGTCACGCCCAGCAGACGCGGCACTAACTTATTCTTGCCTTTCATTTTCTCCTGCAAATTGTTATTTAATGAATTTACAAAAATAAAAAGTCATCCATCATTAGGACCAGAAAATCATTTTTAGGCAAGTTTTTTTAAAACACTTAAACATTCTCTTATTATACTAATAGTTTAATGCGAAAGTTTAGATAGGTGGATGGACGGATGGATGTTTGTAATTCTCATGTAAGTGACTTTGTACTTGTCTTTTTGAGAATAAAGTCTTTCAACTTTAAACCTTGTTAGAGTTTCTAGCCTAAACTACTAAACGGATCTCGGTAGAATTCGGCATAGACGTAAAATATAGTCTGGAGGAATACATAAGCTACTCACTTTTGTTTCTTTTTTAAATTCCACGAGGACAGAGTCGCGGGTAAAATCTAGTATAATATACCAAAGAACATAGAACAAGACCGAATCATTTTCGAAGCAATTCGAGATTTTTTTTAATTATGCGTTAATTTACCTTGACTAAGAAGAAGGCAACGCCATAGGTCTTGAGATCTCTAGCACTCTTGGTGTAGAGCACTTTGGCGTCCAGCTCGCTGAGGCCGGCGTGCCTGCGGTGCTCCTTGAATATCTTCTTCTCTATGCCCTTCACCTTCACGTAAGACGCCGGCAGGAATTCTTTCAGACTGTAACAACAATACTTTAATAAGAATCATCAGCATTTAAAAGAAACACTATAAATAACATACACGGTGTTTAATCTTAGATTAAAATCTCTAGTGGTTGTAGTGAAATATATGAAACTTACTCTAAAAATCCCGGAGTATGTTTGTCCTCTTTGTGGTCACCGAATTGTATCTGACATTGTATGCCGGCAAACTCGCACGCTGTAAGTAAAAACAAAATTAACTTCATACAACTAAAATAACTATACTAATATCATAAGAAAAAAAAAATGTATTGTACTTTCGAATGTATTGAAATAACTCAAAAAAACTACATGGCCGATTTAAAAAAAAATAACATTAGAAGGCTACGTTATCGTTGAGTAACATAGGCTTTATTTTAAAAATTTCACGTGGAATTATATTACAGAATTTAACTATAATACAAATATCTTAGTAACATCGTACAAGTCTTTCCACAAAATTTTGTTACATGTGGAGAGGCACATTGAAATACAGAGGGAGAGCAAAGTACAACAAAGTAGTACGGATGACCTTGAACGATTAAGATATTTGAAAAATACCACAGAAATCAGTATAAAACGGTGTGTTTACCTTTGTCCTGCGTGATGGGATGCGTGCCGGCGAGTATGGCGTCACGCGCCTGCACGTACAGCAGGTTGAGTTGTACGGGGTCGCGCGAGTCCACGTTGCGGTCCGAGTAGAACAGCTTGCGGCGCAGCAGCAGCGTCTCCGCCGCCTCCACGCCCTGCTCGCGCAACGTCTTCGACGGCTCCACCCAGTTCACTACAACAAGTAGAACATTGTAGTAAACTTTTACATTTTTTATATTTCTCTAACTGTTAAGAAAATAGGACAACGTTAGAACATCTTCATAGTCGTCACGATTTTGTCCCTATGTGACAGCTGTCAATGTCATTTAGACGTATGTAAATAGGCGCCTTTGTGGCGGGATCAGTAGCTCTGAGTGTTTAAGTTAATTACGTTAATACAATTAAAATCATCTCTAATACTATGTACGTCTTTTTGTAACTCCTGAGGATTGATATGAATGATGTTACGCGTAGTGTGTTTACGATTATTCCTATTTAGTTTAGAAGCCCGTAAAATAACAGAAATTATATATAAAATATGCCATAATAATAGAATAAAGTGAAAATTGATATTGTAGAAATATTTAAATGTGTATTTATTGAGTGATTTTAAGTACCAAGTGTATCGTCATCATCATCAGCTCACTATACGTCCCCACTGAGGGGCTCGGAGCCTACCCTAAGTTAGGGTGACCAAGTGTGTATGATGCGCTAATCAACAATTTACCTTCATCATCAGTCCTCAGTTTCTTCCTCAGCTGCTCCATCTTAGCATCGCGCTCTTTCTCCTGGTGCTTACGTTTCAACGTCAATGTTCCGTAGTTTGGTTTTTCGCACGGATCTACTTCTTCCTTTTGTTCTTCGCGTACCTAAAAGAAAACATCAAAGACATTAGTATCTAGTAAATTTAATATTATCTAAGTATTATATTTTGAACATGATAGCTTACCAGTCCATACTCGTCGTAATTGGTGATACCAATCTTGGTGCATATCACTACCATGAGATTAGCCACGATCTGACTGTCGTCCACTAGAAGTGTTTTTACGGTTCCTGCATACAAAATCGTATTTAGCTTACAATTCTTATTTTCATCGTCGCATTTCATTGTGAAGCATTTTTACTGGAATACTCAGACACTTAAAGTCCCTTGGTGCAAACACGTTTTATCTTTATTTTATTTACTTTTAATCTGCACGAAGATACTCTGTATTTAGTGAGCTAAGAACGCCAGTAAGATTTATTACTCACCGTCCAACATCCTAACACGCAAGTTGCGTGTCTTCTTGTTGTACTCGAGTAGGTCGCCATTACGTAGCATGTAGTAATCGAGGCTGCGCGACGCCTCCAGCCATATGCCCTTCTTGTTGTCTTCTTCTGATGCCAGGAATAGACCGTATTCTTTCGCTATAAATGTATGAGATAACGTGAGGTACTGTTCTTTGAAATAAAAGTTGTCAATAATCTTTATTATACTTACGATCACTGGAGCTCGCTTCCAATATCTTCTCTCTGATGATTCGACACGCATCGTATACTGTAGTTGAAGGGTCGAACTGTATGGTTTTCACCACTTTGCCGCCCTCCAATGAGATTTTAAGAGATAAAGTTGCCATTTTGCTTAGGGATTGTGCCCTGAATCAAAATAAAAGAAATCATTACATACACTAGGTAATATTAATCCCGTGTCTCATGAGATCAAAGTTTCATTTTCATTACAACATAAGGGACACTACCGAATTGCAAATAATCGCGTGAATTCGGACCAGAAAAGAAGTTTATTCTCAAAGAAGCGTTCATAAATCCAGCACATTCACTGAGAGTAAGCGATAAGTACGTAATATGAAGAGTTCATTATTTATTGAAAGGCAATGGTAGCGTATGGAACAAGAAATATTTAGCTTATGTCATTCGAACGCCAACATCTTGGTTGCGTCATGGTTGTACAAGGCAGTGGCTTGTCATTAATATAAATAATTTACAAATAACAAAACATGTTCTATATAAAAAAATCAATTGTATAATCCATTTACATATCTTTTCTAACGATTAATACAAAAAATTTCTACAACATATTTTAAGAAATTGATCACTAAAACTCACTTGATACTGTATTTTATTAACCAAGAAAAACGATTTACCATATCAATTTTCAAACATTTTTATTCTTTGCTAATCTACTAGAAAAATTCGATCTCTCCGTTTTACCTCTAAATTTATTAAATTGTACGTTTAAAAAGCAATTTGTGCCGCAATATCTATCGCAAACTAGTTAGTGTGAGAACAATTATCAAGTGCATGTAACATATTCGAGGCCAACTGACCTATGTATAGTAGCGATGTTGTCAGACCTCTCGAGGTCGAGGGAGTGCGCGCTGGCTCTCCTCCGGCGAGGCCCCTCCTGACTGAAGGAGCTGTGTCGTTGACGGCCTCTGAACGACTCCTGTAACAACCAGAACAATAGTTAAAATCCACGGTAAATGATAACTATTCTCTAAAAGGAGGAAATCCAGTGGCGCTTGCTCGTGTATCACCTTAGAGCGGGCGTACACCTTTACTAAACTATCGCATAACTTTTGTAGATTGTTTCGCAGCCAATCCAACTGTTTAGTTCCATAAAAAAAATCGAGTAGTGTACGTACCTCCATATAAGCTCATAGGAATTAAAGCGCGACTAAACTGTCGTTCGATAGTTTAGTCAGAGGTGTATACGTGCTCTTATACTATAAATATCAGAAACATTCGTGAATAATATTCAGTTATAATACACTTACTAACTTGAAACCTTATAACTGCAAAGCGATTCCAAGCACACGCGTTTATATTTCCACAATTTTTTTATTACCGCACTTTTGTATTTCAAAGGTTTTAACTAAGAACACACCACCAACACCAACTAACGTTTATTTTATTTCAGTGGCTTCCCTAAATACATTAATTTTAAATAATTTAAGATTTTAATAATTAATTATTTTCGCATGTATCGTGTTTTCACAGTAGCCGTTGACGAAATGAGACATAAGCCTCATAATAATAATTTGTAATAATGATATTTAATGACTCATTAATAATAATGAGTAATATTGTAGTTTTTATAATTTGTTAGTCACAACAAGGGATTTTATTACAAAAACACAGATCGTGACAATTTACGTAAATTAGAGAACGAAACTTGATAACCCCTGATAGTGTGGGAAAGCATAGAGAAATTCTCTAAGGGTCTTTACCAATCGTATTTTGAATGTGGTATACTTTTGGAAGATAATTAAATCCATGTAGAAAAGTAAGATACAATAATAATGATTGCATTTACGTTATTCGTGTCTTAAAAAGCTGACTCAATACAATTTTAATTTATTAAGCGATATAAATGCAGTATTCAGTGACGGAACTAAATTAAATCGTAATCAATACAACAGAGTATACTGGTTTAACGGTACAGCATTGCAGAGTACGCGGCGAGTGGCGAATTACCGGGAAGTGGAATAAAAAGCAGCAAGTCCAGCGGTAATACGTTATACTTCACCGGTACGGGACGAGCATTGCGGACACAGGGAGAGGTACAGGTGGTCGGTACTGGTGATCTCGATCTTTGACTGAGTTACAAAGTCACGTGAAATTCCACACCATGCCACATAATACTATCTCTTTCTTTTCAAAGAGAAGGAGTAAATGACATTCAATCGAGTTCAAATTCTCAAACTTCAACATTTCGATGTCATTATTGCAACCAACAGTAAGCTAAATATTTGTTACCATGTGCCTCTAGAAGCTGTACGGATCTGAATGAATTTGGCGCAGAAATAACCGTAAGTACTCAGGAAAAACGCTTCGCCCAGCACTTACCATCGCGGAAAAATGTGCGGTTCCCGTAATAAACGTTTGCGAACTTTAAAAAGCTCAAGGTAAACAATGTTTTATAAAAGTTTTTGCTTCGTCCATATAGCGCATTGCGAGATGACATCACGATGCACTAATGTATTTCATAACCAAGGTCGACTACACCGCTGAGGTTCCGAGAAAAAAATGTTTATACACTTTGTAACCGCGTCAAGTATGCTTTCATAGAACTTTATCTAATAGAGTAAAAAGATTTAACGTTACTTGCTTAGGGTTTTAGCGTTTGTAAAGAGCAAGTAAACTATGTCCTAATATTTTTTTTACTATAAATAAACCAGCGATTAACCACGATTCCGCCTAAACTGAATTAAGTGAAGACGTGGTCGATGGAGGTTACACGCTAGCTCAGTAAGTACCGATTCACCCTGCTCTTAGAGCTTCAAGACCGTTATAGATCGAAGGGAACACCGACGCCGGCAACTTGTTCCATTCCTTTACTTTGCGCACGAGATAATAGATAACAAAATTATTACTACTTGATCAGTTAAGAAAGCACTTTTACTTAGAAGCACTTCCGAGGCGCATTTCTGAGGAGAGTACTTACAGAGCGGTGCTGTGTCAGCCGCCGCCAGTTGTCTTGGAGGGCTTGCTCCAGGCGGTCACGGAGGCTGCGTCACGAACTCGCCTCCGCTTCAAATTCGCTCGACACGTTCGCCGTCTGCAATACAAAGGTTACATTAATCGATGGGTGGCTGAATATACCTAGACATAGCATTATAGAAAGCGAAAGTCAGATTTTTTTAAATGGGAAAAGAAAGTACCAAGCTTGTCACAGATCACTCAGAGAAAACTGAGACAGTCAAATCTTTAGCTAGAAACTTTATCTTGAAAAGAGTGTCTATGCATTTGAATTTTATTTATTTCCGAACATCATCAAAATTAGCCATAGAACTAGATAAGTTAATAAAACCTTAAATCATTGCAACTAAACAACTAAACTTTTGTTGGTCTCTTGTCTTAATAAAAACGTCAAGTTTTTATAAAATCCAGTTATAATACATTTGTCTGCAAACAAACCTTGGCCTACTTGTAAAGTTAATTCTATGTCCATATTAGGAGAGAACTCAATGAAGGTTGACTATGTCCACTCACCTATATTTAAATGTAACTGGAATGAACCATTTTGCAAGTGAATTAAAATATTTAATGAATCGAGATATTATGTCATTGAAACGTACGCAAATCTTACCAATATTATTATAACGAATGTGTATATGTTCGATGGTTGTTTATTAGTCGGTTAATCCAAACATGTTTAACGGATATGGATAATCATTTTGCACAGAGATAAACAGTTTTTTGCTGTTTTTCTTGCCTTCAAAAGTGTAGTGTACAATAACCTTCCACTCTCTCTCCCTCTAAGCCAAGAAAATATTTCACGATGCATCCAAATTAGTTATCTTTATCAGTTGTGTGCCCCTTCGTTATTGACGATTATATAAATAACTTTATTATTACAAGAATACATGTTAAATCAGGCGTTTGTACTGGCGACTATTTCGAAAGATGGCGTACAAATCCGGCGCGTAGGAGTTTACCTAATAGTTTATTTTTACCGTTCAGGGAACTAGAACGGAGCCGCTTGTACGCCACCGGTTTCTGATGATTATTGACCGTACATAATATTTATAGAAGGTCACGAAAGGGCAAGTTACAGGAACTACGAAAATAGAAACGTAAAAAATTGGCCTATTTTTACGCACAGGATAATAAAAATTAGGCAACCAATAGGAGGATTAATTTTAAGTTGCACCTAATATATTCTTCGAATCTCGGAAATTCCATACATTCTTATTATAATTATATTTAATTTTTTTTAAGTTAGTAAACAGACGCCTACACTTGAATACCTGATTTCTGACGTCATGATTTAACATTTATCGAGAAATTATATAAAACAACTTGCACCTAAAGAAAAGCATACTATTAGTCAGTCAAAAAACTTACAAAAACGTTGAATTTTCATCATTAGTCGGCATGGTTTAATAATAAAACTAAAAGTGTAATAAATTCTCACATGGAAAATAAAACATTTTCAACGACATAATCATAAAAGCTTTTGATGTAGAAAGCAAGAATACAACTTGAATCTTAAAGCCATAGACATAAGGACTGTATAGAGGGTGGGAATACATAGTAGAATTCCTACGCGTTCATTAAAAGGGCCCATAGTCATAAGGGCGCGAGTTATTGCAGGGAGTTTTGCATAAAACGGATTGCAATGGCCCGCAGACGGGCCTTTTGGAATTTTAATACTGTGCAATGATCGAATGGGCAGCTGAAGAATGAGTCAGTGATGGCTGTTATACTATCATAAAAAATTTAACCAGCAAGAAATACGAGCTGTCGTAACTCATTTTTCAGGCCCTCGTCTTCATTGTTCTGTGAGAGGAGCTTTTAAGCAGCAATGAACTTATTTCAAAAAGTCATTGTATACGACAAATTTGTTGAACGTAAAATGAATTTGGTCAAAGCAGTACATCGTTTTGGACTATGAGGCGTTAAAAGAGCTATTGACGGTGTAACGAATGAAAAAACTTTTTTGTTTAAAAGTTAATTTTTAACCTATTTACAACTGTAAAACTACATTCATTTAGCTAACTAGAAATAAAACATCATTGCGTTCCAAAAGTTATCACAATTCAGCAATAATTAAAATGTTGGACCCCAATAACCGTAGAGGGGTACAAGAACGTTCAACAAGAAACATCGCTTTCATAAACTGTAACTGTAAAGTACATTATTAAAGAAAACTTTATGAACAAGTGATAACCAACTCGCCCCCGACAACTGAGAGAGCGAAGGCGTCTTAACTCATTTACTTCACGTTTCCACTTCGCTGAACATTGTGCTTTCATTTATATGACGCGACAATGGACACGTTATATGAAATCTGAATAAACTAAATAAATTAAGAAAGTAAAAAATCCTATTCCCAAATAAAATTAAGGCTATTGTTCCTAAAGGTTTGTTGATCTTCGTTAACATCCACAAATTTAGTCATCGAAAACACTCTGGAAATCTTACTAATCTTACATTTTAATGCGAAAGTTTGGATGGATGGATGTATGTTAGAGTTTGTAGCCTAAACGGCTGAATGGATCTCGATGAAATTTGTTATAGATGTTGAACATGGTCTTGAAGAACACATAGGCTATTTACATTTGTTTCTTTATGAAATCCACGCGGACGGAGTCGCAGGCGAAAGCTAGTATAAGATAAAAACATAAATAAGACCAAGAGAAAATAATGGATAAACCTTTCCATATCAGAATAGAAAAGACAATGGTAACCCTAGACGCGGTTAATAGACTTGATAATTTAATAACAGCCCCTCGGGCCTGTCGGGCACCTCTCAGCGCCGAGACAATAGCCACAAAGGGTTGTGTGACAGGGCTGACAAAACGCAGCCTCCGACACATCACAGCGCGTGTCATCTCGACATACGTGTAGCAAAGTTGATAGCCTGTTATCGTATATAGTTACACTATTGTGTGATTTGTTGATATCCATTAGTGGATTATCTGCTAAAGGACAGTCTATTGTTTCATTCTTTCACTTAAGTACTCTTGTGTAAGATAATACGGTAAATAAGAAAAGTTTTCGGGGGACTTATTTTATACTTGCTAACATAATTGCACGGGAACATATATATACCCAATCTTTGGTTTATTTGGTTATCTTGGTAGTAATATATTATACAACGAAATAAAAACAGGATAGGTTTTTAACAAATTCATCTACACTTTAAAATACAAAAAGCATAATTTGATATTTTTTTTGTATTAAATGGTAGCAAGCGGTCGCCTGAATTCGCTGAAATAACGAAACGACTGTTGCTAACAGACATCTGCAACAAGTTGAAAAATAACACAAGCCCTGCCCACCCTTAATAGATAGCAAAGGAAATGATATTTGCCATTATCATCGTTATATCATAATCGAAGTTAAAATTGAATATTTTATAAAAATATAAAAAAAAATATAATACATTAAACTTACCGTTGAAGACTTTGTTTCCTGAACATGATTTTCTTTTAATTTAAGACTTAAAAAAATCAACGATAAGAAGAAAGAACTCTTTACAAACAAACATAAAAAGACTAAAACCAGCAATAAATAAATCTCAATAGCGAAGTTGAGCCGAGCTGCTCCAAGATGCTGTAGGTCTTCCGCTAGTCCGATTAAGTATGGTGCTAAGAGAATGTGCGTAGGAGAAAATCTATAATCCTGTGGGATTTGCGCAAACAAGTACTACGCATGCGTTATCCCCACCCCTTATGATATGGTGTCATTTGAGAGAGAGAGGGGAGAAAGGAGGGGGATCAATAGACTCCGGCGCCGCCAAGTCTGGCGCCTGGGAGACTGGAGCGATTTTCTTAGCTATTGTGTAGGCAGGCTTGTCATAGGTGTGGTCGTCAGAAAAATAAGTTATAATAATGTGGCTCTTTATTAATACTGAAAAGGTTAATTTAATCTATATTAATAATAATAATATGAAGAGGACAGATTTGTTTTTTTTTTTATATTTCTATAGGTATTGAAATAACTCAAAAACTACTGTGCCGATTTAAAAAAAAATCAATGTTAGAAAGGTAATTTTTCTGTGAGTAACATAGGCTATATGATAGTTTAAATTTCACAGAGACGAAATCGCGAGCAACAGTTAGTATTACCTTTAGTGAGAAGAAATGTAATTGTACAATGTTTTCTTCGTTTTTATGTTCAGCAGATTTAAATGTAAACTAATTCAATACAAAAGTCGGATTATTTTACAATAGAATATATAGTTACATACGTTTACGATAATGGAAATGAACTGTAATACGTCGAGTAAACAACTCGACAATTTATCAAATATAGAAAAATTGCGACACAAACTGTGATGCGCGTGCAGCGCTTCCGGCATATCGGATATCCGGTTCGAACCGGATATCGTCACGGCTGTCCGACAGGGGATATCGGATAGTAAGTTTTTATAAGTGAATTAGGGGGATGGAATGGACACTGAACGGACGTGGGGTGATTTACACGTCAGCGACTCTCAACGAAATGCAGATGCCGAATTACCGATTCGAATGATTTTTATCGAATTTAATAAGATTCCATAGACGAGAGCAAATGGAAAAGACATGATTGATGACCGGAATTAATATTTTTTGTGGAGATAACATACTATTAGATTATATCTTGGGTACGATAAATTACTTTCGCAGTCATCTCCAGAAATTTCGGTTCGATACCATTCAGTAAGATCCAAAATTTATATGTTAGCCTTGAGTGAGAGTACTTAATCACGTGAGGCTCGAAAGGGAGTTCCAAAAAAAGTCAAAACATGACTCTACACGTGATTTTAAGTATTTCAGGGAAATGGTAGTCGAAAACCTCACCACGTATCACCATAGGTGAGGTTCAGAAGTTGAAAAACATCACTAGATTAATAGAGGTCCAGTAAACTAAATATACAACTTTAAAACCTTTTCTCATCTTTACAAAAAAAGCCAACCAAAAGACCGCTAAGAAAGGCACGACGATAAAACAAACAAGGGAATTGTTTAAAATAATGGCGGGAGCATCAATGTACCCCGTAGGTTGCCAATCAATCAAACGTGCCCCTCCGAGCAATCATCTCGGCAGGAGACCGAGCCGAGAACAAACACGTATTACTCCTGACTGCAACAACTATACTAATGAATGACTCGATGATTCCCCTAATACCCCTAATTTATGGAGACGTCCTTATTCAATTAGTAAGGATCAAGGCACGTCGCGAATAAGCCAAATTGCAAACATTGATTGTAGTAGATTAAGTCTTTTGATGGTTTGTATACGAACCAATTACAATCAATAGCACAATAACTACTAAATATTTTGTTTGATTATGCTATTACGTTACTGTCGTAATAAAATTTGTGGTATTATTTGAATAGCTAATGGAAGATTAAATTGTTTTATTTAAACAATTTTAAAGAGGATAAAAACATTAAAGAATACAGTTACCTATTGAAAAATCGAAAATACGTAACTAACAAGATAAAGTCAAAACGAAGTCGTACAAACAACAATTTGATATCATCTACCTACACTTGCTCTTACGGCTGGTCTGCTCTACTCTTCCTTACATCTCTATCAACTGTCATATAAAACACTGCGTTCTTACGCATGACACAATTCCATCCAAACTTTTTTCGGTATTCGTCTACCTTTTCAGCCACCAATATTTTATCTTAATACTTCATTGTTTATGTAACATATGTCTCTCTACATAAAATGTCCATACCGCGACTAATTTTTGCTTTGCAATTTCTCCATCACCGGCGCTAATTACAAACTTTTTCTAACATACACATTCCTAACATTAAAAAATGATACATTACATTTTATCTTTTAACTTCTCTGGACTATGGGGCGTCTTAATAAGCTACGATCTACTATAAAATAGAAGGATATTCAGAGTGTTTTATTTATTCTTTCAAGAACACATTTTAAAATGCGACAGAACACTTCAATAATGTGTTAATAACATTTCAACTAAAGGGGTAACTATTATGTTACAAATCTTTACATTTTTGGTCTAGATTTTAAGTAAGGCAAAAAGGGATTTCCGGTAACCCTTAGATTAAGCCTACGAAGTAAATAAACCCTTGATTACATTAATTACTATCTGATCAAGGCACTCGTTTAAATCTAAATGAAGGTTAGCGCAAGTATAACTCGCGGAAGGAAAACTCTACGTAGCGAGCGACTCGAGTTCAATGACCTTAGTAACTTAGGTTACGAGGGTATTACTTAAAGTTAAATAGAAATAAATAAACAAAATGATACTGTATACGTGGAGATAAAAAATATAAACAGACATGTAAATTAAACATTTATATATTCTATTAAAATCTGTGATGTATTTGATTTAATAAAAACTGTAAACACTGTCCCTTAGTGTAAGAAAAGGCTTAAAAAATACAAACACTGCTAATAACAGTAACCTAAATTTAAAAGAACAGCTAATATCTAAAAAAAACGAGTAACCAAAGCGTGAAGCAAGAATGAAAATGAAAACGCGGTTCGAATCGACTAGTATAGGTCCACGCTCGACCTGAAAAGGGAAACTTCGTGAGCACGTGGCCGCTCGTAACTCGGCTTGCACTTACCTCAGGACGGAGTGCAGGCTCATCACGTTGTCTCGTTCCCACTTTTAAAAAATACTATACAACCCTCCTTCTCGCTCTCTCACAACCTTTTAGCTCTTCTGGTAATACAATAATGGGAAACGGATTTACCATGAATCGTAAATGGCAAGTAGGTTGTGATACAGATATTCGAACGTTTTAGAGATTTGTAGGAGAATTTGAGGCAAAAGAACAGAGTTTCAACTAGTTTTATGTTATGGATGTAAGAGAGCGGCAAGGGATGTGAGAGAGCGGGCCACCGCCTCCGCGGACGGTCCACGGAGGAATGTTCTTGGTGGTCGACGACGCGTCAGGATCTTGCGCTTGGCACTACCAAGCGTCTCCAACGTTGATGAGGGGTCGGTACGCGCACGCGCGCCAACCTCACCCCATCCCCTTCGCACTTGCGCGCCGCAAAAGGGAAGCGAGCGGGAACTTTGGGGATGATATTCGGAGGGTGAAAAGACGTCGAAAGATGGAAATGCATCTCGAACTCCGCTCGGATTTCCGGAGATCGTGATTTTGTTTATCGATTCGTATCGTTGCGAATACTTGGATATTGGTGGCCCTTTTTTGGGGCCGCTGTGGGAGTTATTAATCCCTTCATAATGTCATAAAATGATTTAGGGTCAATAAAGTTACCCATCGAATTTTTTAACTTACAATAAAATTACTATTAAAATTGATTATATTATCTCCTTGGCAATCACTTTACATGAGATCAGTCAAGCGTCAAGGAATTAAACAATCTAGACTTTCGAATCAACCTAATTTCAAAATTGAAAACATTTGGCGCCTAAAATGATCTGACCTCTTGTGATTCAGATAACCTAAATACACCCTCACACAATCAGCCAAAAAAAAAACAAGCAACTCTAGTAAAGCCACGTAAGCAATCAAGTTTCACCGTTACCAAGTTTTGTCACTAGATGGTGTTGATTTTAATTAAATTACTTTTTGCTTCTATTTTATAAAAGTTATTTTTAAATATTATTATTTAATTTTATTAATATTATTTATAAAAATAAACCAGCATATCAAAAACTATTTATCCATTTAATGAATCTTTGTATACCAAAGTGTAAAGACACCAAACATCCAGGGCGTGTGTAGGAGCTACATGACAGCTTCCGACTTGTGCCGGAAGTCTCAGCTATTGACGACCGATGGGATTTCATTAGAAATTCTACGTATATGATCAACATATTAATATGTTCGCAATTATTAATGTTGCCTAGTAATTTTATAGCTAAATCTTGATAGACAAAAATCTTTTAATACACATCACGCTAAAGTTGTTACTAAGGGCTCTTAAACAATTAAAATTCAAACACAAAAAGGAACATGTTAGAAAAATTATGATGACTAAACATTTTTTATAGTTACTTAGAGGCCATATTGAGCCACGTCATGGGTAACTGTGTATTTTTACTATCGTGATGTGAACTTTCTAGTTTCCGACACCTGGGATCATTTTATGCATTTAAGGCGACGATTGAGTGCAATCACTTGTATCAATGGATACGTCAACAGTGAGGTCACAGGGGCGTCCCCTAGCGACCCCATTCATCCCTATTGCACGCTGGACACTGGCCTATGTTAATGTTTGTAATTGCACGCCAAGTCCTATTGTATCAATCAAATATCATCCATCGCATCCATTTATAGTAACAGTTAAGATAAATTTATTGCAATTAAAATCTTACGCAACAAGCTAAAAAAATTATACATTCTTAAGAGTTACTGTAGAGATGTAAGTATACATACATATATGCAATTCCAATTCCAATGTTTCTTTGGACAAAGTAAACTTTGCCCTAAACAAAACATTTATATTAACATCATGCCTGTTATCGAGTTAACTGAGATGAGACATGTATATTTGTTAAACGACATGAGAACTCTTGAAACACTTGTGTTGTTGATGTTACAGATACATCATAAGTGTTTGCAGATTTATGTTTCGCCCAAATTGTTATATCAATTGAGTAAATTGAAACAATATGTAAAGTGCTTATTTTAATAAGCAGTACACAAATAATTTTCAATATCGTCTTTATGACTTAAACTAGGGACTTCGTCCGCGCGGGATAAAAAAAACTTGTAAGTATCCTATTCTTCCCGACTATGTACTATACCTATGCAAAACTCAATATAGATTTGTTAACCCGTTTTGGTCATACGTATTAACAAACTATAGTGTATATCATGTTTTTGATATGTCTAGTAACAAACATCCATCCATCCAAATAGTACATCTATACATACGACTTGACAGAACATCACCCTTTAATAAAAAAAAAATCATTATACGCATATGAATAGAACTTACCAGATAAATTTCGTTTCGTTGCGTTTTTTCGTTCGTTTTCTTAAGTGATGCGTCAATATAAAAATATAACTTAGGTTTGTGGGTAAATATAAAAATAAGGCACTCTGTTTGGCGTGTATATCTGTCCCGTTCACATCGCAGCTCTCATACCTGTGGAAGAAAGAGAGATTACAAATAAAATAAAACAATACCATAATAAACAAAGTAAGGACCATATAAACTTGACGAAACGAAAAACTAAAATTGTAATTTCCAATATCGATTAAATATATCGATAATAGATTCCTCAATACATTTATAACCACAATTAAATAAACTTAAATATCCAGGTGTTTACAATTATTCATTACTTCCCATACATGATCTAATCTGATCCCCTTGGTAACATCTAAAACTATGATAGAATAAAAAAAAAAGTAATCAGCGATATCCTCATTCCAAATGAACTAACTGATCCCCGGCCTCCCTAAAACCTCCAACCATAACTCAAACCTTCCAAAACTAGAAAGGCGACTGTAAATTTCAGCATATCAAAAACCCATAAAGCTTTCGTGAAAACTTCTCGCAGTACAGTCGCGCACCTAATACATAGCATAATTTAGAGGCTAAAGGCCTGGTCCCACAATTCTTGTAAATTGTCAGAAAACAATCCAACACATAAAAGATGCGATGGAAATATCGGATTTTGGTACTCTATCTGAGTGATGTCACTTTTAAGCTATCTTAGCCTCTATCAGCCTGTGGTAAGACAGGCCCTAAATATTATTAACGCGGCAACATGATTACTATAAAAAATTAATACGCCTCACTTAATGTGCTCCTAGGATTCTTGGAGTACATTTGAGTATCAAACTCCTGGGTAGAACCAAATCGCATGACATCATAGTTTTCATAATCTGTAGGTTTTTTAAACCTACAAATAGTCACAAGGGAATAGACATATGCACATACAAACTCGTGATGTCATATGTCAAGTAAAATTTTTCACAAAAACTTTGCAGTATTGTGTTTGCGGCTGTACATGTTCAGGAAAGGGCGCCAGTAGTCTCGGTGCGAGAGGGACGACTCGCAAAAGTTGTGCGTCTCCCTCGGGGCGCCCGCCAAGCCGGCGCCGTCTAGCGGCCGTCTGTCGCCACAATGGAGCCTATTACATAACCTGAAAGCTCTCGGGCCTCAGCCTCCGGATTTTGCTAATATGAAAATTGGGGCATCATAAAGCCGATGTAGGGCGAAACTTTTTTTAATGACCGCTTATGCTGTATCAGAAGAATTACATGGCACTCGTTATGGAGTTATGAAACCAGCGATGTAATTTGTTCTTAATTATTTTTTGTGATATTCTTAATAAATTATTCATAATTATAATTTTAAAATAACGATTATCCGACCATGATACTGACCCATTTCAAATTACTGAAGTGATGAAAGGATTTGAAATTAAATACGTTTGCGTGGGATATTGTTAGTAACATTTTTAGTTTTGTCTAGCATTCCTTAATTATAAAAAGAATATAAAAACCTACTTTTAGAAACTAGCCTAGAAATAGTTGGGCTACAAATAAAAACACGTGTTACAAAGAGGACACTTCACAGCCTTTTTCATTGAAGTATGCTCTTGAACTCACGAAATAACATTACATGTACTAATAATAAAGTATTTTAATAATTAAAAATTACGTCGTTATTAAAATTAATATTATAGTCTATCTAAAGAAAAAACTAACTAAAAACTATGTACGAATAAGGAGATTTCTATTTTCTTAAATTTTTATCACTTGGTTTAATTTTATTGAATTAAATATTATTCATAACTACAGTATTAAAAATCCCTGTCCGGGCGTAGCTGATGTCAAACGGAAGCCGAGGCCACTGATAAGTCACACGTCGATATCATTGTACAACTGAACATACAAGTTCATAAGCATTTTATAATGCACATGTCTGTTAGCGCGTTTTCAAAACTGGGTGTCGACTATTAAATTACTTGTAAAAAATAATTTCATCCCTTTAATTTTCCTTTTAATAAAGGGACAACATGCCAACACAAGTGTTGCGGCAGTCGAATTATACGGAAACATAAAACGTCACCACCCGCATCTTTTGCTTCGGATAAACTTAAGGCGGAATATACATGCAGATAAAAAGAGGTAGCTGGCATGCCAACTAATGGCACGCGCCAGCTACTAGCGCAATACATCGACACATGCCATTAATATGTCAACGAGATTATTCTAAACGAGATGAGTCAGGCTCTAGCTACCACTTTCATTCGTTTCCTCGACTTATATGCACGTACATGTCACAAAACCGAAGAAGGTGTTCGCGTTCACACATGCCAGTACATTTCATATAAGCGGCCCAGCTACCGACACGTGTGTTGTAGGCCTTAAAAATAATAAACGATGTTTTGTTTACGCACGGAATAAAAAAATACAAACTGTGAAAACTGAGGTAGGTGTCTGTTAGAAGACTCATTATCCATATGGCTAAGAACTAAAATGTGCCGGCATCTTGCCAAACAAAAATCTAGAATTCTCCCAATCACTTCAAGTCAAGAACCTGAGTTGATTGTGACAAATACAATCCATCAACAAATGAACTACATATCGGGAAGGAATGTTGTTATGACAACACAATGTCTATTAAGTAACGCGTTATCTTTAATGTAAGCCTAGACGATGATTGTGCGCACAGAAATAAACATGTAACAAGATAAATACGTCACGCGTGAACTCGTTTGATAAATTGAATTACTTCTTGAACTTGCATATAAAGTTTTTACCTATTATTCGTAATCAACTTAATATATTTTCATGTGCAGAAGCTTTGCCGATGACCTCATGACGTCACGTAACTGACGGTACTAAGCAGACGAGCGGGGACGTGGTCGGTGTTAGGTGGGGGAGTCATCTGTGCACATTATGCGCATGGCTTATGCAGAAACACACACGTAAACACATACATCAGAAATAATTGAATGTTATGTTACGCGCAATAATTGATCTTAAAGAATTGTAAGCAGCATTTACGCACATGTATATTAAAAAAATGGAATGCAATTATTGAATGAATCAATGAAAAAGAAATAATTGCAGATGTTTTTCATTTGGGCCAATACTGTGTAATATGTTGAAATTAATGCTTACAAGTTCCGAGTTATCTAAACACAGCCATATGGGTGTACACCGACAATAATATCGGGGCATAGACATAAAAAGTAAACTATAACAGGTCACTATCGCTACCTTACGCTACGTATAGTTCTAATATAAATCATACGTTTAATTTTTACGATACAATTATTATTCCAACTTGACTATATCACATATGTTTCATTCAAGTGTTGAATGTTTTCAACATCATGAAATGTTCCGTCGTTCATTGCTTCTATATCATTGTATGCAACAAGCAACTTGCATCATATGACTGAGTCCTCACCCACACATAAGTCAACGTGTTCACAAACATGCAAGTGGGCGTATTTACCGGTCGTTTCAAGTATTGAACGGAGTTGCGTCGACGCGACGAATGTTCCATTCAAGTATTGAACGTTCTAGAAGCTACTGCGTTTTACTTAGAATGAGTCAAAAAGTGTTAAAATTCGATTCTGCTGATGTAATTAGGTTTATTATGATTTATCGTAATCATGAGTGTCTATGGGATACTGAAAATGAATATTATAAGAATCGTGAAGCACGTAATGCGGCACTAGCATCATTTGTACAGGAATTTGGAGTTCATGGATTAGGACCTAAGGATATAACAAACAAGATAAAAAATTTAAGGACACAATATCATGGGGAAAGGAAAAAGATAAAAGATTCGATTAGCTCCGGGTCTGCTGAAGTTTACACTTCTAAACTGCCATGGTATAATTTAATGGATTCTTTTGTAAGGAAAACTTCTGAACACAGAGAATCAACATCAAATACGGTATGTATTTGTATACATTTTCTTAAATATAATAATAGGTATTAATAATTGTATGAAATAACTATGTCTTGAGGTTATATAAGAGATACACAATCTGTAGGTAGTTCTAAATTTCTTCTTTGTGATAATTTAATAATAATTCCTTGTAAAAATAATTAAATAAATCTGATTGCAGAACGACACTTCAATGCCACAAATCGTAGAGTTTAAATATGAGATTGAAAATACAGACAATCTTTCAAATTCAACTATGCACGTCCTCGATGAAAAACCAATTCCAGTACCCATTAAAAAACCGAAAATAACACCTGGTTACACAGAATCGACCTCAAAGAAACTGGAAAATATTGAAAAAAGGGCGAAATTAGGCAAAAGGAACGATGAATTGAACAATTTTGGCAAATATGTTGCCTCTTCATTACAAACATTGAATTTCAAAAATAGCATACACGCTCAGGACGAAATACAGGCAATATTATCTAAATATAAACTACGGGAACTGGAAGAAAGTGAGAGCTCTACTCCAACGCCAGAATCACCGTCATCTAAACAAAGCAGTGAAGAGGACGCATGGTGTGACTTGTAATTATTTATTTTAATAAGTATTTCATTTACCACTTATCACTTTAATGTATCAAAATACATGATACTATTCTAAAATCAGTTTTTCTTTCGTACGTACCTTAAATAGCTTCTAATACTTGACGCACTGCATTCATGTTTTTAAAAGTAGGCCGAATTGAATACAAGATTTGCTTATTAAATTATTGCATGTGCTATTTTAGCGAGGGTAGTTTTGAATCGAAACTTGTATCAGATATCATCAATTTAACGTGCTATGTACAGCATACAAGTCAATTATTGCTTCAACTTAATCATATAAACAAAAGTAATATCGTTAAATTTTTGTTGAAATTGATATTTTGAGGACACTTCTGTATGGACATCGGTATATTACGTTGCTATAAGAAGACATTCAATAGGACAAAACCTCATTTTATTTTTATTAATATAGATGGTAGGAATGGGGGCTACCGTACATATAGACTCGAGCTATAACTATTTAAGAAGACATGTCGTAAAAAACGAGCTATTGATTTACATATGATGTTGCAAAACAAAGAGCACGTTAATGATGTACTAGTCCAGTTAAACTAGTCGACGCGTGCCTTATCTTTGTCCCTAATTTTATGCAAATATTCTCGTAAATGATCTAATCAACTTGCGCCAAGACTTAAAAAAGTGGGACTTTTATAGTTGACTTGCTTGATTGCGTATGGCCTTATAAAATAGCACTGGCGTCTATGGTAATTGTACCGTAGACAATGCAGGACTAAGTTGTTTACTTTATTTTTTCTTTAATATTAAATGAAATATCATAGTGTAACCTAAGAAGAAAACCATATAATTTTCATCCGACGCCATAGTTTTGTTGTAAACGTATCCAAGCTTTTTGTGTCGAATACCTACTTGAGATACCATTTCGATTCTAAATTCTGTTCGCTAATTGTAATCGTATTTCAAAGATGTTACCTTATCTTGGTACATTTTGCTATTGTAAATTTCGTTAGCTTTGTATATCCATCGCCGCCTTATTACAGTGTTGGCACAATGTGGCGCAAGGCAAACCATCAATCAAGAGTAGAATGTCGTAATATCACACAGGAAACCCGTCGCAGATGCGATGCAGCTGCGATCACATCCAAAAACTGAATCAAACGGAAACGAAACGTAAAAGAAACAAAACTGTAATGTTTATTAGACCAAAATAGACATTTGAACATACAGGTCTTGTCTCATTGAATTCTAAAAGACTGTTTTAAAAAAGTATCGCTTTCGTTCAAAAAAATAGTGTTCATAATTGTTGTCTAAGTCGCTTCCTTCCAAAGATTCTTGTATACTCTTCATTTTCTAATGAATAGACAAATGCCGAATTATTTCATCAGACATCCGGCCGTGGGCGCGTGGCGACTGCTGCCTACGCCCAAAGGTTGTCAGGCCCTTATTTGTGCCAAGCGAAAGTTGTTCTCATGTAAATAACTTGTAATTATAAGATATTATTTTTATCACAATTACAGTTTGATGGTGTTATTTTCGAGATAATTAAACAATATGAGATACGTAATATTTACTTTGTACAGCTTAAGTTTTATTTTACTTTAAGTTACGATATCTTCTTGTTTGAGTGTGAACAATATCGAATTCAAAGTATCAAGAAGATAACATGAGATTACTTACATATATTTCTATCGAAAGATATTAACATTGCTGCAATAATTTACTTATGCTAATTTTAACTGTATACTTAGCGAGCGTTCGCACGGACGCGAAAACGCTAGGCGGTAACTATGTGTCAAAATAGAACGTATGGGATTGTATGAAGCTGTTCATACGGGGGCGTTTTTCTTCTCGGCGTATTTCTCTACGCGCACTGTTCCATTTTGGACACTAGGCGTTAGCGTAAAAATAAAATGGAACGTATGGAACTTCATACAAGTGTTCGCACGGGCGTAGTGGAAATCGCACGGTACGCTACACTACTATCCAAAATTACTTGGACCATCCAATAATAAACATTTAAAAAAGTCTGATTAAGTGGAACTGTTGTCTTTATAAAATGTTTTTTTTTGGGAATGTAGTCAAAATGTAGATGGACAAATATTTTTGGAGCCTAGTGTAATTGTTTTAA